GATCCCCCCCCTCCCAGGCATAAGGTAAGCAGGGAGGGGGGATATAATCACCTAACTCACAGCACCCAGACACACAGCACACACACACTGCACCCCTGACACTCACAGCACACACACACACACTGCACCCCTGACACTCACAGCACACTCACAGCACACACACTGCACCCGACACTCACAGCACCCTCACTCACACACTAACACACACTGCACCTACACACTGCACCCCTGACACTCACAGCACACACACTGCACCCCTGACACTCACAGCACACACACACACTGCACCCCTAACACTCACAGCACACACACTGCACCCCTGACACTCACAGCACCCTCACACACACACACACACACTGCACCCTAAAACTCACAGCACCCCTGCACCCCTGACACTGCACCCCTGACACTCACAGCACACACACACTGCACCCCTGACACTCACAGCACCCTCACACACTGCACCCCTGACACTCACAGCACCCTCACACACTCACAGCACACACACAATGCACCCCTAACACTCACAGCACCCTCACACACACACACTGCACCCGACACGCACATCACACACACACTGCACCCCTGACACTCACAGCACCCTCACTCACACACACTGCACCCCTGACATTCACAGCTTCCTCACATGCATACACTGCACCCTCACACACACAGCACCCACACTGCATGCATCACACACACTGCACCCTTACCCACATAGCACCCTCATGCAAACACAGCACCCATCACACACACTGCACCCCTCTCACACACACACAGAGCACCCTCACACACACTGTGCAATATGCTTTCCTGGCATTTTTGTCTCCTGGTATCCCAACTATGGAGACACCAGAGACAAATTTCAAGCAAACACAGTGCAAGCATGTTATTAAATTTGCTTGCGCTGTGCAGAACAAATACAGGGTATTTTTCTCATGCCAGAGATCTTCAGCAGAGCTCTGCGCATGGTCTACCCTGGAAGAGCATTGAACCAACATGCTCACTTTGTGATGGGGCATGCTTGTCATTGGTGATGACAAAACACACCCTATCTGGCCCTGCCCCCTTTTTAGTGGGCCGCTGTAATTAAAAAATGCCCGGGCCGAATTTCCTTCCCAGTCCGGCCCTGCTCGGGAGGACCCAAGGTGGACAGACGGCCACCTCTTGGGCCCCCACGACAAGAGGCTGAGAAGGCATCTGCCAGGGTGTTTTGGGAGAGGCCTTTCTTGACACTTCCCTCAAAGTGCCACCCAAAGCAAATGCCTTGTCAGCCTCGTACTAAATACAGCGATGACAAACAGGGTTACTTCCTAAATTGAGAATTACAAGTAAACAGTAAATTTGAAGGCCAGAGCAGCCGAACTGCAAGCATTGCTAACTTTGAATTCTCACTTTACTGAATATCCACCTATAATTGTACTTTAGTATCACTGCCTTCCAGATGGAATTGAAGACTATAATGCAGTTGTTTTAGCGTAGGTTCTATAACACTTTAAGAACTGGTTAGTGAGATTTTTAGCAGAATACGGAAGCAAGCAAACGCCATGTATGAAAATGAATTCCCAGTTGATGATAAAGCTGGAATAAAGTACTAGAACGTAATTTGCATGTGGTGCACCTGACACATTTCTGTTAGTTTGTAGGGGTTTTCTTTTTTATTTTCATTGGTGTTCATAATTTGCTGGTAATTAAAAGCTTCACTGTCATCACACTGTAAATAAAAATCCCTGACAATCTTAGAGTGAGATATAAATGAAATGTCATCATGTTAATTCCATTTTACCAACATCCACTCTGCTACATGTCTGGAAGAGTGGACACACTTTTTTTTTGGTAAGGACCCATGTGACTGACTGGGGATTGGACATAATTTAAAGGATCACTATAGTGTCAGGAAAACAAATCGGTTTTCCTGACACTATAGTGCCCTGAGGGTGCCCCCACCCTCAGGGTCCCCCTCCCGTGGCACTGAAGGGGTTAAAACCCCTTCAGTTACTTACCTTAATCCAGCGCCGGGCTCCCTCGGCGCTGGTGACCTCTCCTCCCCCGCCGACATCCATATGAATTACTGCCCATTACATCTTACAAAACCCTAACCATACTATATAACCCCTAATCTCGCCCACATTGTTAATGGGGGGGGATTAATGGCTAGCAGTGATATTAATGAGTTTCGATAACTTGGCCTGACATTTAAAACTCATGTCTGCCTTTCTATAATGGCTTGAATGCTACATCCCACACTGCTTTACATGTGGCTTTCTATTTGTCATGGTGAAATGCCGCCAAAAGAAAAACCATTTGGGGGTTTACAGATGCAGACACACATTTACAGAGGCTGCAAAACTGGAGGAGGAGGTAACAGAAAATGTCATAATTCTATCTGCTGCCGATTGCAAATGCAACTTAAACAGGTTCACAATAAATAATATGTAACCTCGTGGCTTCAGCAGCTGACACGCACTAACAGGGTTATTTACTAATGTGGAAATCGAAAGTGAATTTTTAATTTAAGACCAGAGTAGATGAACTGAATGCATAACTGATTTAGAGAGTTTTTCCAGTTTAGCTATTTTCACCTTAAATTTTAAATTCAATTTGAATTCACCTTGAATTCTCACATTAGTGAATAACCCTGTATCTAATGGGTGCTCTAATCAGTACACCTAAGGCTAGACACAAGCTCGTTGGTAAAATGAATGTTCTTCTCACATCACGTATTATTTTTGAGCAGAGTATGGTCTTAGTCATAAAGTTTGAGATCATCTTCCTAAGAAATCAACACTCACAGCACCATAACCACTACAGCTCCCACTCAAAAACAGTATAAACTCTTTGCAATGGGAAAGGGTGCCAGCGCACTCCTGGCACCATAGCCACTTCAGTAGGCTTTAGTGGTAATGGTATTTGAAATAGTTATGTAATGCTTTTTTTTTCTATTAGTCACACATAAACATATATAGATGAATGATGTTCTGCTAGTACTGGAAAAATAAACATAAAATAGTTGAGTCAATAGTGCCATACCCATTTTTGTGGTAGCATAGCAAAGTATTTTTAGTCCAATTTACTACCTGGCATATCTCTGGTATTATATAAGAAAAAAAAAAAAGAGGGAAACTGTAGAAACTGCATAGATATGAAATCCTGAACCTAGAAAGAATAATAAAGTTCAATTAAGTTTACACTAGGATGCCAGAAAGGCTACTTTGTATAGATGACGGGCATGCACTCCACTGTTGATAGCAATCTTATCAGCACCATAACCAGTGGTGTATTTTGGATTCTCCCCCACCCCCATATTTAAAATTTCCCCATCCCTTCCTGTCAAGGCTGTACTTTGATTGACAGACACTTTCTTACTAATGCATTCACAGACATACACTCACTAAAAGATACACAGTCATTGGCACACATACTGTTTAACCAACACATACTTTCACTGACAGACAGGCACACACACTCTCATATACACTGACAATGACATACACACACACTCACTGATTTGACACACTGACAGACACACACTATTACTCAGACGCACACACGTAATAACAGACACATACACTCATTGACAGACACACTCTCATATACACTGACAAACAATGACATAAACACCCAATGATTTGACACACTGACAGACACACACACACACACACACACACATTCACTTACAGACACATTAACTCACTCACAGGTATAAACACTTACAGACACACACACATTCACTCAGACATACATTTCCCTCAACACTCACAAATTATTATTATTTTTATTTAAATCCACCCAACCTCCCTGGGAGAGATGGAGTGGATTACTTACTTGCAGTCCAGTGGGACTGCTTCATGTGCAGACAGGGGGCGGACAGGCAGAGTAGGCGGCGAGGGAGCTCTAATATTCTTGCTCAGCTCCCTCACGCGCCGCTTAGTGATGCCGGGTGCCGGAGTGACGTCATATTCCAGCTCCCAGCTTCATTAAGCGTCGCGATAGAAACTTCGGCCAGCCTTGGGGGGCCTCAAAAGTTGCCAGATGAACAGCTCGAGCCCACCAGGACATGAAGAAAACAAAGCATCTGCCTGGGCGTTTGGGGGCGGCTTTTTTGGTGAGTGTGACAAGATTAAGTGGGTTAATGTGGCAGGATTAGATAAATGTGGAAGGGTGAGTGCGGCAGGGTTGGGGGGAGAGTGTTACAGGTTTTGGGGTGAGTTTGGCACAGCTGGAGGACAGGTTTGGAGGGGCTTATGTGGTAGGGTGAGTGTGACAGTGTGAATGGTGTGAGTGGAACAGACTGATAGAGGATGAGTGTGACTGGGTTGGGGACTGTGTGCGACAGTGCAAGAGAAGGTGAGTCTGACAGGATTGAGGGGGGTTAATGTGATAGGGTAATTGTGGTAAAGACATTGTGTGGGGGCTTGAGGGGCTGTGACAGGGTGGGGGTTGGAGTGGCTGTGTAAGGGGCAGTAACGGGGTAGTGGGGGTGGAGGGGCAGTGACGGGTAGTAACAGGGGGTGGAGGGGAAGGCCACTGGGAAGTGCAGCCGCCTGAAGGGGGGCAGGACAGAGGTTAGTGGGTAGGGGGGCAGTGACAGAGGTTAGTGGGATGGAGGGGCAGTAACAGGCTGGGGGATAGGGGTAGTAACAGGGGGTAGGGGGATGGAGGGGTAGTAACAGGGGGTAGGGGATGGGGCAGTGACAGGAGGTAGGGGTGGAGGGGGGCAGTGACAGGGAATAGTAACAGGGTAACAGGGCAGTAACAGGGGGTAGGGGGGGTGGAGGGCAGTGACGAAGTAGAGGAGGTGGAGGGGCAGTGACAGGGGGTAGGGGATGGAGGGGCAGTAGCGAGGTAGGTGGGGTGGAGGGGAAGTAACAGGGGGAAGGGGGATGGAGGGGCAGTGACAGGGGGAAGGGGGGTGGAGAGGCAGTGACCGTGAGTAGGAGGATAGTAACAGGGAGTTTGTATTGGCCCTGAATATATTTGTACAGGTGGCCCTCACTTTGCGACCTACCTGTCTTGCGATGGACACACTTACAACCAGCTCTCTAGTGTGGGGATTCAAGGGATTCCCCACGCTAGAGAGCTGGTCTATGTTCAGGGAATTTTCCCCGAACATAGATTAGAGGGATTCCCTGCTCTAGTGCGTATATCTACGTTTGGGGAAATGTCACCGAACATAGACAAGCGCACCAGAGCAGTGAAATTCATCTAATCTATGTTAGGTTATTCCTAATTCAATACCATTTAGGGTGTAAATTTCTTGTGCATTGTTTTTTCTACATTAAATTTCATCTGCCATTTGAGTGCTCAGTCCCCCAATATGTCTAAATCCCTCTGCAGCAAAGCAATATCCTGCCCACATTGTATTAATTTAGAGAGTTCTGTGTCATCTGCAAATACTGAAAAAACAATCTAAAGAACAATTTAAACCTAAATCCAAATTTTCCCAGTACAAGCATTTGGAGACCTTTGAGAATAGGCTGTAAAAAGATTTTAATATGTTAACTGAATCCAATACAAATAAAAGGAAGAAAACACAAAATTGACAAAGGGGGGACAAATGGCATTAAAAGATCTGACCTCAAGAAAGGATATTATTATCAAAGAGGCAGACAAGGGTGGGGCCATAGTTATTATGTCTTCCCAATACTATCGACAAGAAGCCTTTAACATCTTGGCAGATGAAAAACCATATAGAAAACTAAAGAGTGATCCCACACTGGTCTTTAATAAAGCTCTGAAAGAGTTTTTGGGTAAAGCAAAGAAAGAGGGCATAATTTCTAATAAGAATTTAGATTTTTTTTTGTGGAATACATATCCTGTGATTCCAATTTTTTTATTTTATCCCAAAAATTCATAAGAATTTACAAGCCCCCCAGGACGCCCCATAATTAGTGGTATAGATTCAGTCACAGCGAATCTGTCTGCCTTTTTAGATTTCGATTTGCAAAAATATGCACAACAGGCTTTATCATACACAAAAGATACTAAATCATTTCTTCAAGAAATTGAAAATATTGAATGGAAAGAGAATTATAGTTGGGCCACACTTGATGTGGCCTCGCTTTATACAGTTACCAGCTATGATTTGGGATTGGAGGCAGTTAATTTTTTTATGAATCAGAATAATGAGATCTCCCAAGGTCTCAAAACTTTTATTTCAATAGGAATTAGGTTTATACTGGAACATAATTATATTTTCTTCGATGGGTTGTTTTGCCTGCAGATTATGGGAAACGCCATGGGTACCACGTTTGCCCCAAACTATGCCAACACTTACATGTGTAGATGGGAGGACCTCTTCGTGTGGTCTGGTCATAACTGGGGGGAGAACCTGGTCCTATGGCGACGATACATTGATTCCACTTCCATCTCTAAAACATTGCGCACATCTGACCCTACTTAACGCCAGATGCGACTAAGGTGCTGATCCATTCCACTGTCCTTTCTAGCCTTAACTACTGTAATCCGCTTCTCAGTGATCTTACGTGCACCATTACAGCCATAATGAATGTGGCGGCGAGGTTCATCTTTCTGTCCGCCCGCACCTCCCACGCCTCACCCTTCTGTCAGTCCCTACATTGGCTTCCTGTAAGATATAGGGCTCAATTTAAAATTCTGGTTCTTGCTTTCAAATCTCTACATAATGCTGCTCCCATCTATCTATCCTCCCTAATATATGTCCCGTCTAGGCCCTTACGCTCTTCTGAAGACTTACATCTATCTTCTGTCCGTACTCCCACCTCTGATACTTGCCTTCAAGACTTCTCGAGGGCTGCACCGTTCCTGTGGAACTCACTTCCCTACCCAGTCTCCACTCCTTCAAAAAATCATTAAAAACCCACTTCTTCATAAAAGCGTATCAATTAAACTGTTAATAGCTCCCGACTGATTTCTCTCTTACAACTGTCATTAGTCTAATACTATCCTTACCTTTTGTGTCACTTTACACCACTCCCTCTAGCATGTAAGCTCATTGAACAGGCCCTCAAACCCTCTTTTCCTGTGTGTCCAACTTGTCTGGTTACAACTACTTGTCTGTTCGTCCACCTATTTGTAAAGCGCTGCAGAATTTGTTAGCGCTATATAAATAATAACATAATAATAATCAATAAGCAGCACGATTATTTGTGGGTGATTTTTCTTTCTTTATACTGAGGTTTTACTTTAAAAAAATGATGTGGATGGAAGTATATATATATATATATATATATATATATAATTTTTTTTAATTCTGTTCTTAATTACATATATAGTTTTAAAAAAGTATATATTTCAATGGTCACTAGTAAAATATGACCCCAATTATTTATCTTAATGCACCAACATTCTTAATTTTTCTGTTTTCATAAATACTTGGCTATGCATCTATCAGTGTCTTTTTCTGGATAGAAATGATTGAACCACTTGGTTTTTAAATTGCAACAATTTTTCATTAAAAATGCAAGTGGTGTTATGGGGTATGACCAAGAGAGACGCACGAGAGAGTCCCAGAACCTTTTTTTTCCCCTCTCTGTGGGATTGTGTTCCTTTTTGTGGTGCTCTGTGCCTGCATCCTGCAGTCTTACTTGACTGCCAGATTCCCATTTATACCAAGTAAGTGTTTTTAGCCTAGTTTTTTTCAAGTAAATGTGGCAATATTACACTATATAGTTTCTGTATATTTTTAAGTGTTACTAATTTTTCATTTAGTTATTTTATGTTATTATAAACGGTTTCCTGAACCAGAATTACTAGGTATTAAAGCGGCACTGTCATGTCGAACTTACCTTTCCCCAATCGATTCCTCTTCTCTCCCTCTGTCAGGATCTGTTCTTCATTTCTTCCTGTCTGCTCTAGTTTTGTTTAAAACATAAGACAAAGTGCTTCGTTTCTGGTGATCAAAGCTGTTTTCCCACAATTCTTACCTTTCCTCCGTGATCTTGCGATGCTTCCTGTCAGTATTCCCGAACATCCGGTCACTTAGACAGAACGCCAGCAAAACGACAGAATTTTGTCCTAACAGAATGAGAACAGTTTGTTCATTCATGTAAGGACACATTTAGAGACTTTGTTTGTATCGGAATTTCATTCATATGAATGAAACTCCAATCCTATTCGTGCTGCGGCTGCATCTTCCACCCGCTTAGTAGATAGCTTCTTGATACCATGGGAATTAGTGAGCTATCTACCAAAAGATTACTTAGTATTAGTAAATTCTGCCCCTACTCACTATACTGCGAGTAGAGGCATGTCTAGTAGACAGTGACTGCTTACTCTCCCCCCAACCCCGACCCGTGCCATGTGAGTGGCTATTACAATGAACGGGGTACCTAGGCCCCTCCCCCTAGCCCCTGACCTATTGTCCTCCCCCCGTCCCCCACATATGAGCGGTGGGTGGGGACCCAAAATGATAGTAAGGGGGGAACCTATTAGGGCCCCCACCCACCGCTCTGACACCATACTAAGCAAGATGGAAATCATTGAGAACCATGTGGTGCCAGTGATTGGCTGAGAGTGTCAGGTGAGGCGCTCAGCCATTTAACGGCATGGCAGCATGCAATGCTTCCCAATGACTCAAAAAAAATAATGGTCTCCCTGGGAGCACTTTATTTAGCTTAAGTTTAGACTTCACACAGGATCTCCAGGCCTCAAAACAACTTTATTGAGATAAAAAAAACAAAAAAAAAACAAACAGTTGTGGCACCATTGAAATTATAATTGTTATAGTGGCAGGAGATCTCTGGCACTGGCTCACGTACCTTTACAAAGCCAATTTTATGAACGGGAAGTCATGGATTAGTTGAAAGCATCAGATGAACACTCTCTCAGCCAATCATTGCCACCATCACCTGATTCTGCTAGAGCCTTCTGGTTTAACTAATTTAAGAAAATGGAAGGGTAGAGAGGCAGGGAGATACTGCACCGAAACACAAACTTTGGGGTTAAATTGTTAGCAAACTGTTTAAGTCCTAAATGGGAGCCAGCACCAGGGAGCTCCTGGCACCATAAAAATGTTATTTTGATTAAGTTGTTATAGTGCCCAGAGTGTTCTTGATTTGAGGGGGGAAAAGTCCTTTAAATTCCAAAGTTACACAAACCAAAGGACTTTGCACCTTTTGAATCAAATTCTATAGCAATATCAGTCAGTACATGTTAACATGATAGTGTTGCATGACTTTCCAAGAAAAGGAAGTGTAGTTCTAAAAATAAAAGTATGGTGTGCCAGAATGGGGAAAAGAAAGGTATTTCCTTTCGCAATAATTGTTTGTTATATTGTTTAAGAGGCAGCCTCAATTATGCAAAAAAGGCTGCCTCATTTGAAGTAAAAATATTGATCACGGCGACCTTCACGCAGCATGGTGGAGTAACTTCGGTGGACAAACTTTGAGAAACAAACAGTGTTCCCTCAGACCTCTAATTAATCAGGATGTGGAAATATGGTCCCTCTTACTCCCTCCATTTAAAGGACCACTATAGGCACCCAGACCACTTCAGCTCAATGAAGGGGTCTGGGTGCCAGGTCCCTCTAAGGTTAAAGGACCACTGTAGTGCCAGGAAAACATACTCGTTTTCCTGGCACTACAGTGCCCTGAGTGTGCCCCCACCCTCAGGGTCCCCCTCCTGCCGGGCTCTGGGGAGAGGAAAGGGTTAAATCTTACCTTTTTTTCCCAGCGCTGAGCGGGGAGCTCTCCTCCTCCTCTCCGGCTGAATGCGCATGCGCGGCTGGAGCTGCGCGCGCATTCAGCCAGTCTCATAGGAAAGCATTTACAATGCTTTCCTATGGACGCTGGCGTCTTCTCACTGTGATTTTCACAGTGAGAAGCATGCAAACGCCTCTAGTGGCTGTCAATGAGACAGCCACTAGAGGCTTTAGAGGCTGGATAAACCTATTTTTAAACATAGTAGTTTCTCTGAAACTGCTATGTTTATAAAAAATAAAAATAAAAAAAAGGGTTAATCCTAGAGGGACCTGGCACCCAGACCACTTCATTAAGCTAAAGTGGTCTGGGTGCCTAGAGTGGTCCTTTAACCCTGCCTGCTGTAAACATAGCTGTTTCAGAGAAACTGCTATGTTTACATATGGGTTAATACAGCCTCTAGTGGCTGTCTCATTGACAGCCGCTAGAGGCGGTTCCGCGCTTCTCGCTGTGATTTTCAAAGTGAGAAGACGCCAGCATCCATGGGCTGGCTGAATGCGCGCGTGGCTCTTGCCGCGCATGCGCATTCAGCCGATGAAGTCCAAAGGAGGAGGAGAGTCCCCAACGCCGAGGGAGCCCGTCGCTGGAGAAAGGTAATTGTTTAACCCCTTCCTCCAACTTCAGCCCGGCGGGAGGGGTGCCACGAGGGTGGGGGCACCCTCAGGGCACTATAGTGGTCCTTTAAAGGACCACTATAGGCACCCAGACCACTTCAGCTTAATTATTATTATTTTATTATTTATATAGCGCCAACAAATTCCGTAGCGCTGTACAATGGGTGGACTAACAGACACATAACTGAGATCAGACCACTGACGTACAGGAACAGAGGGGGTTGAGGGCCCTGCTCAATGAGCTTACATGCTAGAGGGAGTATAATGAAGTGGTCTGGGTGCCAGGTCCATCTAGGTTTAACCCTTTTTGCTGTAAATGTATGGGTTAATCCAGCCTCTAGTGGCTGTCTCATTGACAGCCGCTAGAGGCACTTCCGCGCTTCTCACTGTGGAAATTGACAATGCTTTCCTATGAGACTGGCTGAATGCGAGCGCGTGGCTCTTGCCGCGCTTGGGCATTCAGCCAGTGACGTCAAAAGAGGGAGGAGAGTCCCAGTGCCGAGGGAGCCCGGCGCTGGAGAAAAGGTAGAAATTCCTTCCTCCCCTTTCCTCGCTACGGTAGTGGGACCCTGAGGGTGGGGGCACCATAGTGCCAGGAAAACGAGTTTGTTTTCCTGGCACTATGGTGGGCCAAATGGTAGATATCCATCTTGAATTAGAATGATAGCCAGACTACTTAACTTATAGTTTCCATTCCACCATTTATCTGATGGGAAAGAAGATGTGGCTTGTGACTTGCTCTATTTGTATTAAACCAAACATGACACATTGAATGAGAGTGTAGATGAGAACCATTGGACAAATCCTCCAACATTTTTTAAATTACTTTTATAAAATTGTGCATCCACTTTCTGGAAAAAAATGCAATTTGATCAAATTTTGGCCCATCAGTAAATTGTCTGAAATTCCAAACTGCCATATGACCGAATCACAAAATAAACAAAACTGTCAGTGGACAGGCTGTTTTGTTTGTTTCCTAATTTTAAACTTAATGATTGTGGGGGTATATATACTAAACCATGAGCAGCCAGCAGCTGCTCACTTTAACCCCTTAAGGACACGTTGTGATCAAAACGTAAACAAAAACTTGAATTTGCGCTATATGTCTGTTCAGGCGTAATTTGCGTCTTTCATATGTGCATCCACACTTATTATACATACAGGGAGTGCAGAATTATTAGGCAAGTTGTATTTTTGAGGATTAATTTTATTATTGAACAACAACCATGTTCTCAATGAACCCAAAAAACTCATTAATATCAAAGCTGAATATTTTTGGAAGTAGTTTTTAGTTTGTTTTTAGTTTTAGCTATGTTAGGGGGATATCTGTGTGTGCAGGTGACTATTACTGTGCATAATTATTAGGCAACTTAACAAAAAACAAATATATACCCATTTCAATTATTTATTATTACCAGTGAAACCAATATAACATCTCAACATTCACAAATATACATTTCTGACATTCAAAAACAAAACAAAAACAAATCAGTGACCAATATAGCCACCTTTCTTTGCAAGGACACTCAAAAGCCTGCCATCCATGGATTCTGTCAGTGTTTTGATCTGTTCACCATCAACATTGCGTGCAGCAGCAACCACAGCCTCCCAGACACTGTTCAGAGAGGTGTACTGTTTTCCCTCCTTGTAAATCTCACATTTGATGATGGACCACAGGTTCTCAATGGGGTTCAGATCAGGTGAACAAGGAGGCCATGTCATTAGATTTTCTTCTTTTATACCCTTTCTTGCCAGCCACGCTGTGGAGTACTTGGACGCGTGTGATGGAGCATTGTCCTGCATGAAAATCATGTTTTTCTTGAAGGATGCAGACTTCTTCCTGTACCACTGCTTGAAGAAGGTGTCTTCCAGGAACTGGCAGTAGGACTGGGAGTTGAGCTTGACTCCATCCTCAACCCGAAAAGGCCCCACAAGCTCATCTTTGATGATACCAGCCCAAACCAGTACTCCACCTCCACCTTGCTGGCGTCTGAGTCGGACTGGAGTTCTCTGCCCTTTATCGCCTCTTTCCGGTCTTCACACTTCTCATCTTGGCGTACCAATCCCATTGAGGCAGCCATTCACAATACCCTATAATACGTAGGATCATAGACCTCTTCCGCACCGCACTCTACATCCATTCCCAGCATCAACTCCCTCATTCCCGCTAAGGAGTTCTCCCTGCACTGCGCAAATCGAAGATCCCATGCAAGCTATCACTTCAGCAGGTAGTGAGGCCTGGTTGAGCAAGACAGACTTAGCCAACGCCTTTAATCTAGCACCTATTCACCCTTCACTATGGCCTAGGAGCAGCACTAAGTATTCAACATCTTCGCACAAACCCTCTGTTGGCCACTCCTAAAAATATTCAGGTGTCCATCAGTCATCCACTATCTGGATGAATTTTTTGTTGATTTAAAAGGTTCACAAACACCTAACAGTGTTCACACCACCACAGCCTCCTTTTCACGACACTCGGGGTCCCTCTGTCACCAGGCAACCACTGGTTAGGGATGCCTGGCCCACTGTGACGGATGCCTTGCCGGCCTTTAGAGAGACTTCTACTTTGTCGGAGATCTACCCCATCGTGGCGGCCACCCTCACATGGGGTCATCTTTGGACCGGCAAGGCAGTTAAATGCTGCTCTGACAACTCCGCAGCCTGCAACATCATTAACAAGAGCGCCCATCCTCGATTTTCAGGCTGACTTGGCTGGCAGCAACCTCTCCGCTCTTTTTAGTCTGCTTTTACATTCCTGGTGTCTACAACACAGCCGCTGACGTTCTTTCACGCTCAATTTAAGGTCTTTTTTCAGGCACTCCCTATGACCCACTACCTACCAACCAGGATACCTCCTTTCCACGAGCTAATCTTGGACTAAGCACACAATTACACTTAGTACAGGTACGCATGCGTCACGCAGTTTCACGATTACTATAGCAATCACGCCAGGGCTTTGTATTTTGTACCATGTCACAAGTAAAGTTTGCTTGATTCAAGACTTTTGCGGTTAAACTATGGTAATTTTTGCCTCTTCCGCTAAACCTACAAGTCAAGCATCTTACTTATACCTCCTATGCTGTCACTCTGCTTTTACGTATCCAAGGTCAACCACACACTATCAGTCCTAATCCATTACTTCACGTCTAAACGTGAGCTACATCATGGCTTCCTTCGCTGGTCTCTCTTTTTCGCAAAAGCGCTGCAGCAGCAGCTTCAAGCTCTTACACCCCAGTCTACATCACTAAGTGATGGGGCAACAGGTAATTCTCAGCTTAGTTACATATATACCTCAATCAGAGTAAAAGCTCCTTACAAGCTTTCAGTACCCAAGCTGTATAAACTTGCAATAAAGTATTTTTTCTTTGAATCCTCTTTTGCCCTCTTTTATTACCAACTCGTACGTTTATTTCGGCACACCTCTACCAACTTTGCCTCTCCTTCTACATTCCATTACGTATTAGAAATTCCGAGCACAAGTTGGAAGGCCATTTGGCCTGAATTTATGGGAGGAGTTATGATCCTATTTAAACCCTACCACCCTACTTACCTTTGTCGTGCAAGCTGTTTGTCCCCACCCACCTACACCCATCTATATTAACAATTCACCTTTGTGGGCCCTCTTTTATTACAGGCCTACTCGTATGTTGGTTTCGGCACACCTCTACCAACTTTGCTTCTCCTTCTACATTCCATTACGTATTAGAAATTCCGAGCACAAATATATATATATATGTATGTGTGTGTGTGTGTGTGTGTGTGTGTGTGTGTATGTATGTATATATATATATATATATATGTATATGTGTATATATATATATATAATAATAATTCTACATATATATATTTATGTAATACAGTTACATAATTACGTCATTTTATTAATTACAATTTGCGGGACCTGCCTGACATCCCAGGCCGAAAGTATAAGGAATCTAATTTGCTAGCACTGTTTCCCCTGAATAAAATGATATACAGGGAGTGCAGAATTATTAGGCAAATGAGTATTTTGACCACATCATCCTCTTTATGCATGTTGTCTTACTCCAAGCTGTATAGGCTCGAAAGCCTACTACCAATTGAGCATATTAGGTGATGTGCATCTCTGTAATGAGAAGGGGTGTGGTCTAATGACATCAACACCCTATATCAGGTGTGCATAATTATTAGGCAACTTCCTTTCCTTTGGCAAAATGGGTCAAAAGAAGGACTTGACAGGCTCAGAAAAGTAAAAAATAGTGAGATATCTTGCAGAGGGATGCAGCACTCTTAAAATTGCAAAGCTTCTGAAGCGTGATCATCGAACAATCAAGCGTTTCATTCAAAATAGTCAACAGGGTCGCAAGAAGCGTGTGGAAAAACCAAGGCGCAAAATAACTGCCCGTGAACTGAGAAAAGTCAAGCGTGCAGCTGCCACGATGCCACTTGCCACCAGTTTGGCCATATTTCAGAGCTGCAACATCACTGGAGTGCCCAAAAGCACAAGGTGTGCAATACTCAGAGACATGGCCAAGGTAAGAAAGGCTGAAAGACGACCACCACTGAACAAGACACACAAGCTGAAACGTCAAGACTGGGCCAAGAAATATCTCAAGACTGATTTTTCTAAGGTTTTATGGACTGATGAAATGAGAGTGAGTCTTGATGGGCCAGATGGATGGGCCCGTGAAACCAGCGTATGATAGTTGTGGACAGAAGGTGGTCCATCATAAGAGGGTCAATGGATGCAGATAATAGGTTAGGCATACGAGTGTACCTGTGGGAATGGCGATAAGGCCTGTGAGAAACCCGGCACTAGAATCTACCAGATGCCTAGCTGGGTGTAAATGCAGATAGTATACCAGGATATCAATGTTAACCTTAGTTAGGCATATCTTAGGTGACAGACGGTCTGTATATGTGGACTCTGGAGCAGATATGCGATACCCTGCATGTAGTGAAATAGCATACCCCAGCATTAAAGTGATGGTGCACCCGAGCCTTCCCCAGAAATTAAATGGTCAGCCTAGCTTGTCCCTCTGCCTCCCGTCTAGTGCGTGGGGTGAAGCAGTGGTGAGAAGTGGAAGTGGCTGTCTCTATGAGAGAGGCAATGACAAACAGAGGAATGGAAGGATTTAAGTCGTGGGTCTCACTCTTTAGGACTACTGAAATGCCACCATGAATATAACCTTTGTACTATAGGGTGTCTTGGGAAGTTAAGTAGTGATGTTAGTTTAACATCCTTTCCATCGAGAATTTCCTTCTCCATGGAAATTGGAACAGAGTGGGCCGGTGAGACGTATGGAGTAGTGATAGTGGGTGGTGGGGGACGAGGAGGGAAATGAGGGGTAAGCCAGACTGTATGACCGAGATCGCCAGGGGAGGGGACTGCCAGGCTTAACGAGACACCTGGTGTGACTATAGCCAATTCCACTTACCAGCCTGTTGATCGTTTGGAGGCTGGCAGGGACAGCGACCGGGTCTCCTGACTGGAATCTGAGGAGTAAGCTGGTGGCCCTTGTGAACTTGATGCCGGGCCTGGGGATGTTGGCCTGAGCCGTTGTGAGCCTGTGTAGTACTGGCAGTGGCTGGAGATGGGATACCCCTGTGTCTGAGCTCTGCTGACATTTTAGGAATGGTCCAGAATCCCAGGTAACTGAGGGTAGAAAAGGTGAGGGATTACTTCGGAGACCCAGGCCTGATTGGCGTGCAGGGTATTTCGTCCAACAGCAGACCGATTATTGGGATGGATTCTTGTGACATTCTGAAAAAGGAATAATGATTTGGATAAGTAATGTGTCTTAGAGGTGTGGATGAGACCTTCAGAGAACTGGCCTGCTAACTAGTGCCGAGGCGAAGAATTTACCTAGAACCAAGTGACAGGTGAGGCCCTGCTAGTGCCAAGTGGTGGAGAAAGGCTCTACCTATGATTCGGGCTGAGGGAATTTTGTGGCCACTTAAACGTGGTGGCAGGGTGTCGGCCTGACGGTGATCGTAAGAGATTCAAAACGTGTGGCTGTGACTTGGGAAGCCCTAGCTGTAGCCCTAAAGAAGGGGGAGTGAGGTAGCTAACTATGATTTGGTCGTGGGGCTGAACCTCCACGTAGGGGTGTAGACTTTGCGGGACCGTAGTATTACTTAGGATAGCTAAGGCCAACGCCTAACTCTCAATGCCAGTTCACTAGCCTGATGGGGCTTGTCTCCTTGAATGATGTAATGGAACATATGTATATACTTAACCTTGAGTTTTGTCCTATTTCTTTGGTCAATGCGCAGGAAGATTTCAATATATTCTTGCTTCTGCAGGGTCGGGTGAAGATATCCTAAGGGTAATAAAGATGCTAGAGGGCCTGCGGTGTGCCACTGGTATGCCAAGTGTAAAAATGTCAAACGTATGGGTATAGTGTAATCGTGAAACTGTAACGTAAGAATCCGTTGGTCCATAAGTAGAGACAAGCCCCCTGGGATCCCCTGATTGGGTAATTTACATGATACAAAGGCGAAGTGAGGCCTTAAGGAGAAATGTAATCGTAGTGAGTAAGATTTAACAATACCGGAGACTGAAATGCAGGGAAACAGGTAGTCTTGTTGGTGGTTGATGCCGTGTAACTTGGCGAAACTGCAGTAATGACACAGGTCTGAGTGAAGAAATGTAGAAACAATAGAGAAGAAGGGTACCGTTAAATAAGCAGTTGCACACTTTGCCACCAACAGAACCCCCACATTCGCCCTCCAAGATTACCCCACTCAGTACCATGCCACCCACTCCTCAAAATCGCGAGGAGTCTCTATTCTCTTACATAAATCACGAACTACGGAAATACTCCATGTTAAAAAAGACAGCCAAGGTCGGTTCTTGATCCTACACTGCATTCTGAACAACCTACCATTCTTGCTGGTATGCCTATACAGCCCAAACGACCAACAAAGAAACTTCCTACATAAAATCCTCGCCAAATTCGACGAACACACCTAAAGTTATCTGCGGAGATTTTAACCACACCATGAACTCCTACATGGACTCCACAGTAAAGGCCGACTCCGCTAGGCACGCTAACTTAAAGACGGCGAACAAAGCCTTCACGAAACTGATCCACGAATACGGACTATACGACACATGGAGAACACGCAACCCGAACGAAAGAGAATACACGTTCTACTCACAAGTCCACAAAACATACTCAAGGATTGACCATATCCTGATATCAGGCACCCTTCTCCCGGCCATCACTGACTGCACCATAGGGAATATAGTCTGGTCTGACCATGCACCGCTTACAATGACCATACTAACTCAATACCAACACAGAGGAAAACCACCGTGGCGTCTAAATGACAACCTGCTTCACAACACCGTATTCACGACAAAACTCATGAACAGCCTGCAAACATACTTCGAACTCAATGATCTCCCGGAAACCTCCGCCGCAGCCATTTGGCAGGCCCACCAAACTGTCATGAGAGGCCTCCTGATAAGCCAAGCATCATTCCTGAAAAAACAACAAGAACGGGAACACTTGGATCTTCTAAGGAAACTGCGAGACACGACCAACGAACACCTATTTAAACCGTCTGAAGAACTAGCCAAGTCTATAGCACTCATAACCAACCAAATCAACACACTAGCTCTAAGCAAGACAACTCATATCTTAACGAAGTTGAAGATGAAAACATATACACAAGGCAATAGAGCAGGGAAACACCTAGCAACCATCCTCCGACAAAAACAAGCGAACTCTAAAATCCCATACCTGCTCACTAAAGAGGGAGGAAAAATCCACAACCCACAAGACATAAACGATGAAATGGCAGATTACTACCAAGCGCTATATAACCTAAAAGATGACCCTGCACTACACCAACCTTCAAACGAAGACATAAAAGATTATCTCCAAAAAACAACACTGCCCACGCTATCCATAACACACAAACAAAGCCTTCAGGCCCCAGTAACGGTCCAAGAAATAATAGACACAATTCATACACTCCCCTTAGGGAAATCCCCCGGCCCCGACGGGTTAACTAACTCGTACTACAAACAATTCGCACACATCCTGGCCCCCCACTTAAACAAACTAATCAACCACACATTACAAACTGGAACACTGCCAGAAGAGATGCTAATGGCTCATGTAGCTACCCTACCGAAACCGGGAAAAACCCCCAACAGAAGTCAAAACTTACGGCCAATTTCCCTACTGAACACTGATGTCAAACTCATCGCAAAAATCTTCACAAACAGACTTTCCCCCATCATCTCCGAGCTAATTGGCAAGGACCAGGTGGGATTTGTCAGCGGCAGACAAGGAGCAGATGGCACACGGAAAGTACAAAACCTCTTACACGGTCTGCGGGAGAAAAGGGCCCCAAGTATCCTCCTATCCCTAGAAGCCGAGAAAGCATTCGACAGACTCCACTGGCCGTTCCTACTAGCGGTCCTACAAAAATTTGAATTCCCTCCCCAATTCCTTGCCCTCATCAGAGCACTATACTCCTCCCCTACGGCACGAGTGACAAATGTGGGGATTTATCTCCAAACCCTTCAAAATTTCGAATGGTTCCCGCCAAGGCTGCCCACTCTCCCCAATACTATACATCCTGGCACTCGAACCCCTGGCCCAAATGATAAGAGATGACCCCGCCATAAGCGGAATGCACATAAAAGGGAAGGAATATAAACTAACGCTGTTCGCGGATGATATTTTGCTATCATGAGAGCACTCGCACATATCTCTACTACAATTCCATAAAATACTGGCCCTCTACAGTAGATGCTCTTTCTACAAATTAAACATAGCAAAAACACAGGCCCTGAGCATTAACATCCCAAACCACGACTTGAACGCCCTGAAAACACACTTTAACTATGAATGGAGACAAGACCATATCAAGTTTCTAGGGGTCAACTTCACACCCACACCCACCACCTTATTTAAAGCAAATTACATAAAACTTTTAGGGGAAATCAAATCCATCACACAAGGATGGAAAGGCAAATACGTATCATGGATGGGACGAATAGCATCGACGAAAATGATACTTTTACCTCTTCAGAACGCTCCCCCTCCAGCTCCCCACAAAACATCTCCTGGAAATACAAGAACAAATTAACACATATGTCTGGGAAAACACAAAACCCAGGGTAGCGCGCACCACTATGTTCCGACCACTCTCTCAAGGAGGTATGGGCTTACCTGACATAAGAGGATACTATCGAGCAGCGCACATAGCCCCACTCCTCTCAGCATTCCACCACAAGGAAGCGATGGCCTGGGCAGAAATTGAAACAAGATATGCTAACGGACTTTCCCTACCAACTATGGCCTGGATAACGAAACACAAAAGACCAAGCAACAAATCACTCCTACCAACAACTCAACTTACTTTAACAATATGGGATAACTATCGCAAAAAGATGGGCATATTGACGAAAATATCCCCAGCCCTCCCACTAGAAGCTTTGGGCGTCATCATCATGGACTTCAACTACAAAATATGGAACAAACACGGCGTACGAACCCTTTCCCAACTCACGACAGACTCCCATCTCAAACATCTGCCAGACCTCCAACGAGAATTCCACTTACCTGCAACAGCTGCCTTCCCCTACAGGCAACTGCAAGCCTGGTTCGCTCTACAGACAAGGAAATTGGCGATAACCTTCCCGGAACCACCTCTACTGGAAGTCGAAAAGGTATGTCTAGCAACCAAACCAGCCAAGAAACTGATCTCACTGATCTACACCTCAGAACACAATCTACCCTCGAAAAAAAAACCATCCTTTAAAACAGCATGGGAGAAAGACATCAAACACCCACTTACTGAAGCCCAATGGCAGAACATTTACAAAGCACACAAACAAATGACACTCTGCATGAACCATGTGGAACTCTCCTGAAAAGGTCTCTACAGGTGGTACCTGGTGCCCGCACGCCTCAAGTCCAGCTTCCCTGACACATCGGACATATGCTGGAGATGCCAGGCAGACAAGGGCACCATGATCCACATCTGGTGGCACTGCCAGCAACTCACGACATACTGGCTGGAAGTAAAGGAACTAGCAGCAAGATGCACCAAAACGCACCTGCCACTCCTACCGGAAATATTTCTCCTCCTACTACTCCCGAACAAACTGCGGAAAAGCCACAGATACCTCCTCTACCATATCATCATCTCAGCACTAGCAACCATAAGCAGGAAATGGAAACAAACAACCCCACCGACAATAGAACAATGTATCAAAGCAATTGACAACTCCAAACAATACGAAATAATGGCAAGGAAAGCAAGACCAAAAGCAACATACCACACTACAGCATGGGAAATGTGGGACGAGAACAAGCTACAACCCCGTAAATGAACTCACACCCAACACACCACATAAAAACACCACATGAGGACACTTAACCACTTCCTGACAACATGCTCCACGATGGAAGCACTTCCCTCTTTCTGCCACAACCCCAACAAAAGAACCAGAGGATACCACATCCCGCCAATTCACCCTGCCCCCACTACCCCACCCTCCCTCCCCAGGGAACAAATAAAAACACAGGCATACTAGCTCACAACGTCCTTATACACCGACCCATACTCTTAAGGATAGGCTAAAGGACCCAAGCAAAAAGGTGAACGACTCCAACAGCAGCAGGGACGAGACACAAGACATCATCAAGCAGGCACACCTTAACAGTGTAAATATACCCCCCCTACTCTGGAACACTTTAACGAACACGCACCCTCTGCAACCACACGTTACACATGGTAATCTAGCATGAGGCACAAACAAACAGAGGACTAGCAACAAATCGTAAAACGATGCCCACATACCAAAACTCGCACACCTGAATCAAACTGTTTACTGTAAAAATGACTATGTGTACAAAGTATTGAACTTGGATACTATATACTGTGTTCCCCCTCCCTCCCCCCCCTGCTTTCTTCTGTACCCCATCTCCCCAACCCGACAAAATAAAAATTGTCAAATTAAAAAAAAAAAAATAAGCAGTTGCAAGGTGGTGTAGGTTTGTGTGATTGATGTTTTAATCGCAGTGAGGAATCTCAGACCTGGCCCGTTTGAAGTTTAGAACCCACAGGATACTGGGATACCACTTCTTGAAGACTGTTTGTAGGAAAGTAGTAAACCCTAAAAACATATGCAGTCTAAGTGTAAGGAACCAGTATATAAGGACTTTTAAGAAACTGAGGTTTTTAAAATCGTGCTAAGTGTCTGCAATGAGCCTGGTGAAAAAGGGCCGTAAGGGCTTAACCTATGAGTGGAGCGACCTTAGTCGCGTAGAAGACTAATAAATTAGGGAAAGTAAAATAGTCTAAGTCCCAGCAGGGTTAAATAATAATGCCTGGAGGTGTATTTTTTTATTAACGTAACTTATAAAGTGGAAGTGGCCAACTGCGCCTTTAAGAAGATTACCCTGTGAAAGATAATTATGTGACCATGGACGGGAAATTAGTGAAACATATTATTTAACCAGTGGTGACTTTAAGAGCCATTTAATAAAACACAAATTCCTAAAGGATAAATAATGTGAGTGCTTGGTTTAAGTGAATGGCATAACTAGGTACATTTACAGTAGATTTGTGAATTTAAACACTGTAGCCTCTTGCGTTAAATGAATGAACAGGAGAACTGTAAAGAGAAAGATCTCCTGCGTTCGGTTAAATGGAGCATATGAACAGATTTAAACGAAAGCCAATTGTACATGTGGTCGGCTGAACGAACGGATGAAATAGTCGAACATAAGTTAGTTCAGTGCGGTCTTAAGTTAGTTTATACGAAAATACAAACGAAAGGAGTGTGTACTCTGCGGTCGGCTGTTAGCCGCACGAACACAGAAGTACACAAACAGTGTAAGAGCACGAACGGGTAAGTAATGAAGGGAGCCTATCCCCGCGTTTTTAGGCCCGAACATGGGAAATAGACGAACGCCATTTCCCATGTTTATGCTTACGTGGACGTGCCGGTCTCGTGACCGGAAGCCGGGTAGCGAAGTCGGATAGAAGCCAGTGGACGGGCATGGAAAATGGAGGCAGGAGCTGCTGGCGACAGACTGCTTGCTGGAGACTGCTTGAGACAGGACTTGGCAGGAACGATGAACCGAAAGTGCAGGTAACTATGGAGACGACAAACACCTTTCACGACAAAGGTAAGTCGGGGGGGGGGTAGGGTTTAAATAGGATCATAACTCCTCCCATAAATTCAGGCCAAATGGACTTCCAACATATAATATATATATATATACATATATATATATATACACATATAGTGATATATACATATATACTTATGTATATAGATATATAAATTATTTTGTTCTACGTGTATTTTTAATATATATATATTAATTTTAAAATACAGTTAGAATGGAATTACACATATTTTTTTATAATTTTTTAAGAATTTTTTACATATTTACATATATTTATTTTATATAATATATAAATATATATTAATATTAAAATACACTTAGACTATGTATGTGTATTTATGTATGTGTGTGTATATATATATATATATATATATATATATACACACACATACACATACTTAGATCATACATATAATATATATAATATATATATATATATATATATATATATATACACACACACACACACATATATATATATATATATATATATATATATATATAATCTAAGTATATATAAGTCAATTTTAAACTGTTTTAATCTTTTTTTACTTTTTTTTTTTTTTTTTATAGGCAGCAGGGGCAGTACCTGTCATTACACCCTACTGGCACTGCCTTGTACAGCTATGCTGTCCATGTGATCGCAAGGACCTCGTGATCACATGGCCCAGGAGGGTCGGAGAGGAAGCAGGGGGACTCCCTGGGCTGCCAGGTGAGTCCCCACACCGGGTAAGTAGAAAGAACAGCGGGGAAGTGCTATGCCGCCCCCTGGCGTTTAGAGCCGGGTCCCTAAGGATGGCATAGCACGCCTGCTGTCCTTAAGAGGTTAATTAAAAACTAGTGATGAAGTGATGATTGCACATTAATTGTACCTATCATGGTACACACAACTTGGTCTTAAATTAAACATCATTATTTTTAATGTATACAGTGTGTTAGTAGAAATACCGGAAAATGTTTAGGTTTTAATTTAGTGCCCCACTCCATCTGTCAATCAACTTCTCAGCATTAGACTTTCTGTGCTAGAGGCACACAGGTTCTAATTCATAGTAGTGAGAGAAAGCAGGAGTAAGAGAACTCTCTCCCCAGTCGTTCTCAGTTGCTCCTGGTTACACGGTTATTCCAACAGCAGATGTTTCTAGCACTTTCTGGGGGCTTGACAAAGTGTTCCCAAGCAGGGCTAATTAAAGCTGGTAGGGGCTGCAATGGCAAGTGGATGTTACTGCACTGTCCTGGGGATCTCTGAAAATTGCAGAACTTGAGCGAGTAGTAAAATCTCTCGAATCCGCTAATTACATAATTTATCATGACCAGAAACTAATACAAAGTGGGCAGATATAAAGTGTATAATGTGGGGGTAGCCCATCACTCTGTCCTGGATAAGAACTAAAAAATCCAGAAAATCTACAGGTGCTGACAGCAAGAGGTGTCCTGGCTACAATATAATACATTATACTTGTAATCTGGGAGCACTCAGAGTCAAAATGTATAAAACCCTAAGACAACTCTTGAATGGAAATAGATATAAACCACATTTTGGCCCCTCTGAATTAGTTATAATGCTTTACCTTTGAACCAAATGCTTTAATCCAGTTCCTATAGAAGAAGAAAAAAAAGTGTAGATTCCATTGTAGCAGACTTATTCCTCTCTGTACGGTTGTCCGTACCCCCCTTGTTAGTTTCCCAAATGTGGGAATGTGTGGTCCCCCTTTTATACCCTTTGAACACCAACCACCCCTGGCTTGTTAACTTCAAAAGAGCAATTAGCTCAAGTGCTTTCCCTTGGTGGCCGCCATTCGTATAACGGAACACATGTGCTCTAGTGAATGGTGGCCATTTTGTCTCCCGAGTGCAGACAGCTGTACATGGTAGTTAAACGCGTGGAAATCTCTTTGGCGAACCCCGGGGAAAACTGTACCGCTGCCCGTTCAGCTCCCAGACAAGTTAGGAGAACGCCGTTCGGGAGAAGAGAATTACAAATTGGAGGAGCATTCACGCCCTAAAATCCAGGGTGAGCATTTGTCTGTGTTCGCACAGGAACATCTGAAAGTTGCCTCTTTTCCTCTGGAACTATTTTGCGCTACAACCTCATGGTCAGAACTTTACCCAAATGGCAATCTGTTTTATCGAATGGATCTGAGCGCTATTTGGACAACTTGGGAACTCAGATCTGAGCTATTCGGATATATAATATTTTTAGGGTTCCTGTGTATTCAGGGAGGAGTTTGTGTTGTGTGGAATGGAGGCCCCGTGTTGGGGGGGTCTGTGCATAAAAGGCAGAGTGTGGCATAATAAAACTCAGTTGAACTCCCAGAACTGCCAACTGTGTGTTGTCCAGTTACTGGGGAAGGATAGAGCTATTCACTCCACAGTGCCTTGTTCCAAACTTACAGTACTACGGGTCCAGCGGAGAAAAGTCCTTGTCAGGACTAGAGCTTTGCTACATCCATGTTGTCAGAATCTAATTAAAATGATCACCATAACCACTACAGTGAATTCATACAAAAGTTAATTTAATAGCTGAGCCACAGCAAGAGAACCCTTTTTTTTCTTCCAAAAACACTCAACTACAGTCTGATACAAATTGGCAGAATACTGTCTACAGCAAGCATGTCAAACTCAAAGTCTGGCACGGGCCACATAAACAAGGTTTAAGTTTACATCTGATATTCAAAAAATTTGAATATCGTGCAAAAGTTAATTTATTTCAGTAATGCAACGTAAAAGGGGAAATATATGAGATAGACGCATTACATGCAAAGCAAGATAGTTCAAATTGTGATTTGTCATAAGTGCGATGATTATGGCTTACAGCTCACGAAATCCCCAAATCCACAATCTCAGTAAATTAGAATATTGTGAAAAGGTGCAATATTCTAGGCTCACAGTATCCCACTCTAATCAGCTAAGTAAGCCATAACACCTGCAAAGGGTTTTTGAGCCTTTAAATGGTCTCTCAGTCTGGTTCAGTAGGAATCACAATCATGGGGAAGACTGCTGACCTGACAGTTGTGCAGAAAACCATCATTGACACCCTCCATAAGAAGGGAAAGCCTCAAAAGGTAATTGTGAATGAAGTTGGATGTTCCCAAAGTGCTGTATCAAAGCACATTAATAGAAAGTTATGTGGAAGGGAAAGGTGTGGAAGAAAAAGGTACACAAGGAGCAGGGATGACGGCAGCCTGGAGAGGATTGTCAGGAAAAGGTCATTCAAATGTGTTGGGGACTTTCACAAGTAGTGGACTGAGGCTGGAGTCAGTGCATCAAGAGCCACCACACACAGACGGATCCTGGACATGGGCTATGTCGTATTCCTCTTGTCAAGCCGCTCCTGAACAACAACGTCAGAAGCGTCTTACCTGGGCTAAAGAAAAACAGACCTGGTCTGTTGCTCAGTGGTCCAAAGTCCATTTGGAAACCAAGGTCCCACAGTCTGGAGGAAGAGTGGAGAGGCACACACTGCAAGATTCTTGAAGTCCAGTGTGAAGTTTCCACAGTCTGTGTGGATTTGGGGAGACATGTCAACTCCTGGTGTTGGTCCACTGTATTTCATTAAGTCCAGGGTCAACGCAGCTGTCTACCAGGAGATTTTGGAGCACTTCATGCTTCCTTCCGCAGACTAGCTTTATGGGGATGCTGGCTTCATTTTCCAGCAGGACTTGGCACCTGCCCACACTACCAAAAGTATCAAAGCCTGGTTCAATGACCGTGGGATTACTGTGCTTGATTGGCCAGCAAACTCGCCTGACCTGAACCCCATAGAGAATCTATGGATTGCCAAGAGAAAGAGGAGAGACATGAGACTGAACAATGCAGAAGAGCGGAAGGCCTCTATTGAAGCATCCTGCTCTTCCATAACACCTCAGCAGTGCCACAGGCTGATAGCTTCCATGCCACGCCGTATTGAGGCAGTAATTGCTGCAAATGTGCCCCAAATCAAGTACTGAATCCATATGCATGCTTATACTTTTCAGAGGTCCGATATTGTTCTATGTACACTCCTTGTTTTATTGATTGCATGTAATATTCTAATTTACGGAGATTGTGGATTTGGGGTTTTCATGAGCTGTAAGCCATAATCATTGCACTTATGACAAATCACGGCTTGAACTATCTTGCTTTACATGTAATGCGTCTCTCATATATTAGTTTCCCTTTTTACCTTGCATAACTGAAATAAATGAAGTTTTGCATGATATACTAATTTTTTGAGTATCACCTGTATGTGGGCCGCAAAAAAATACCCTAAATTTCCATAGAAACGTAGTTTTATTTTAAAAAGTACAGTATATATATATTAAAAAAAACAAAAAAAGAGCACCCCCCCTCTAATAAACCACAGCACCCCCTCTACTACCCTGTGCCAAATCTGATCCTCCGGCTACTTTTTGAAACCCTGTGAAGGTGGAGCACGTCGATGTGTCAGGGTATTTATATCGGCAGACATCTTGTGCTATGATAGAAACTAAAAGTGTATATTCTGAGTCACTCTGAACAGACCAGACTCCATTTTGTTATTTCCAAGTTAACAAAAAGACACAAGATTTCTATCTGTAAACTAACCACTTTCCCAGAGCTAAAGGAATGCATAGTATAAACAAGTGATAAGCAGAAACGGGGGTTGGACAGACTGTCTAAATGCTAATGGAATAGATCAAATCTAAACCCAGACATTTGTGACAGAGAAGATTAAATAATTTAATTTTACTGTATATATATATATATATATATATATATATATATATATATATATATATATATATATATATATATATATATATATATATATATATATATGGTACCATTGTAAGTTTAAGGTTAAACTTAGTTCATGATCTGCCATTTTAGAAATTATAGCAGGATTTGCCAGACACATAGTCTGGACAAAACTTAAAGAAACCCTTTGATCTGTGAAGGATACGTAAGTTATGGCCACTATCTAGATAGGCCAAAATGACGTCAAAATAGCCACCAAGAAAAGTTAACTCTTTCCTGGATAGGTATGTTTAGTGGGACAAGACTGCCCTCTATAGACCAAATACCTAATTTGCGATCTGGAAGATAACCACACCTCTAGTACTTCTATTGGGTTATCAACTGATGACGTACAGAGAGTCTGGCCCTTTAAAAGTTAAGACAAAGGGAAGACAAGGAAATGCAAAGGAGAAAGAAAAAGAGGAGAGAGGAATTGGAAATATGGGGACTCCAACTCGGACAACATCTGAAACACTCTACTCTTAAAACTCTGACACTTAGAATTTTACTGACTTTCTAACCAACACCACCTTTCACCATAACTCATGCACCTACAGACATCCAAATAAGTTTCTGAGACTATCTACCAATCGGATGAAATATCTACTCAACTGGTAATTATACTGGTTTCATTTAATTAAATTAAATTAATTAAAATGTATTAATAGCATGATATATGACTAGGATAAAGCACGGTCAGATTTCCATATTAAGAAATCTTAGTTAACTAAAGAATATATAGTTATAAACATTCCATTCTGCAGGTGGAATTAAGAATAATTATATATTAATGTGATATTATCACGTGTTAGCATACTGCTGTTTTTATCCAGGTGTATTGATTTGCTCTAATATAAGATATCTGTTAGACCAATTAAAATTCTGCTTATATAAATATGGTAGATTCTCTTATTGGATGGTTCCAGGAAATGACTAACTAACTGGTTTAAATGTTATGTTATTTAAAATTACATAAGAATAGATCTTAATTACTTAGGAGATCTAGCCAGCATTGAAAGGGTTATTCTAACTGTCAGCTAAACTTTACGACCTTACGCTGCACTCTGAGGAATTCTGTTCTCTGCGTGAAACTTCGCTCTATGTCTGTGAAAGATAGTCATAAATAAAGTCTTGACAGAAAATGCTGTTTTAGCCATTGAAATCTGTATAGCCATTCCTTTGTATTGCATATCATTTTGTACTGGATATTCATTGATTATTGTCACGCATGTTACATATTATTATTATTAATTAATTTGTCATTATAAATAAAAATCTATTTTTATACATTGTGATATTATTATATGAAATACTTCTCACTTAACACGATAAACGTTCTTTGGGATCTGAGAATTGAATTAGTGGGCAATTTTCACTGTTTACTATTATTATCCCATAAATATCCCCACAGATGTTACGTGGCGTTGCGTGCCTCCATGCACCTCCAGGTACTCCACTGTCCAGTCGCAGTCAATGCAACACTGACAAACACACACACACACTCACAGACAGACACACACACACACAGACACAAATACTTACTGACAGACACACACACTTAAACATTCTTGCACTCATATCATTTAATTAATTGTTCCCTACCTTTGGGAGCTGGTGTGGGGATTTTCTGTCTGGAGATTTCCTTCCTGCTCCGGAATGCGCCCGGCTTCACTAAATGCGGCGCGCGAGGGAGCAGGAATACTGAGCTCCCTCGATGGCCCTCCTCTCTGGCCGGGTAAGTGTTAGCAGAGTAGGCACCTGCAATGTGGGGAAAGCAGGTGCCTACTCTGCTATAACACCAGCATGTACTCGCGGCTCCCGGCTCCCGAAGCAACAGGCCATTGGGTATTTCAGTTGTTTCGGGATTAGTTCCCATTTCTATTTGAGTTTAGTTTTTCTGCAGAATCCCCAATTGTCCCATTTCAATTTCTCCAAGTCTAGTAGTAATAGAGAACGATCACACGGGTCAGAAAAAATGACAACACACTTGGCCTACGCCTCACACATACAACACTGATCCTCCACCCACACTAATACAGTACTCAACAACTACATACACAGTGCCCAGTCACCATGCCCAATCACCTTTGTGAGCCGCGAGTTTGGCATGCTTGGTCTACAGACTCTTTGCTCTATAACCACTAAAATGTGCTAGCTGTAGTGGTTATAGCGCTTAGAGTGCCAAATCTTTAGAATACAGTCTGCTGTGCGTAGATTTTCTTTTGAAGTGAGAATAATGACCACAACTGATAAAAGTCAAGCTGCCCAGCTTCTGCAACGTCCTGTTTTGTAAATACAACCCATTTATCTGTTTCTGGAAAACAATGAAGTGTAATTAATGACTTTTCTTCCTAGTTGGTCTTACGTATTCAATGGAATTTAGACATTGCTGAATGTAGATATGATTTGTGTTCCGAAAAAGGTTACAGTGCCAGTCGCTTAAGAAGTCAAGGATATTATGTTTAAATGAAAACAAAGGACACATGAGTAAGACTGGTATTTCCCACTTGTATCTTCTTACAGTTAAAATATTACACTACGCTATTCAGGGGTCAAGTCCTGGGGGGAAAAGTGTGGGAACTCACCAAAGATCCCCCCTCCCCTCCCCAACAAACATATTAAAGACATGAAAGAGGATACAAATGCAGAAAGATAAGTCCTGCACTCACTCCCATCACTCCTGGGCGGCAGTTCACATCAGCCCCAATATATAATAAAAACCAAAGAAAAACAAGTTACCTGCGCTCTCCTTAATCCCTATGTATTTTTAAACAAATGGATGGTTTTTAGTTACCTCCAATGGCCATAAGAGGATATGCCCACCTGCCACGTCAAGCCAGACCTCCTAGGTGGGGATCTTTCTGCATTTGTATCCACTTGTTGTATCACACAGCTTTGTTACAATGCTGCCGCCCATTCCATGTGCTGCCGCCCATTCCAATCCCTATTAAGGATTAATAAATATATAGGGGGTTGTATAAAAAATACCCCTCTCTGTCTCATTGGAGATATCTTTGCCAAAAGCTCAAGGAAGCAAGGTGAAGGGTCAGTGTAGGGCTGCCTTGACGTGGCATGTGGGCATACCCCCTCTTGGAAGCGACAGGACATTTCACAATGCTTTCCTATGGACGCTCTGCGTGATGGAGGCATAATATGCCTCCAGCATGGCAGATGCGCCTCTAGTGGCTGTCCGAAAGACAGCCACTAGAGGCTGGCTTAACCCCAAATGTAAACATAGCAGTTTCTCTGGAACTGCTATGTTGCATTAGGGATTGACCGATTATCGGTTTTACCGATGTTATCGGCAGATATTCAGTATTTTCGGAAATATTGGTATCGGCCAATAGAGATACCGATATTGCCGATAATACATACCTGGACTGCCGGGCCCATTACAAGACTGGTGGTCCTGGGGGGGGCCAGCAAGCTTACTTACCTTCCCAGCAACTCCCTGTGTAAATATTGCGAGTCCTGCAGCCGTCAGAGCGCTGCCACGGGTTACAATGGCAACGCTCCGCGCAGCACGCACACCGCGAGATTTACACAGGGAGCTGCTGGAAAGGTAAGTAAGCTTGCTGGCTGTATGCAGTTTGTGTGGTGTGTGCTGACTGAATGCAACCCTAAACCTGTCCTCCTTCAGTTATAATCTGCATGCCACGCTGTATTGGTTTGTAGAATTCAGTGCCCTCCAGGAACCTATGTAGGAGCCCTGCTGCTTGCACACAGCAGGGATAAAGGACAAGAAGTAACCGTGTGATACCCGGAGCTGTATGTCCTGGGTATTGGGCGATAGATGTTCCACAGCCCTGTAAACTGCAGTCTGTGGTGAGACAGACGTTTGTGGCTTCAGACGTCCCTCTACACAGTCCATGCCACCGGACCACCAGGGAATGCTATATCCCCCCCTCCCTGGCCAGGTAACAAGCAGGGAAGGGGGACTAAAAAAAAAAAAATTGTTTTTAAAAATGTAATATTAAAAAATCAATAAAACAAACAAACAAAATCCCCGCCCCCCAATTTTACACAAATAACACAGAAACACACACACACACACACTCTGCATTCACTATACAAACACATTCTGCATTCACTATACACACTACACAAACATTCTGCACTCACTATACACACTACACAAACACATTCTGCATTCACTATACACACTACACAAACACATTCTGAATTCACTATACACACTACACAAACACATTCTGCATTCACTATACACACTACACAAACATTCTGCATTCACTGTACACACTACACAAACATTCTGCATTCACTATACACACTACACAAACACATTCTGCATTCTCTACACACACAACACAAACACACTCTGCATTTGCTGCGGGCCCCCCACACTGCTCAGTACATGCAACTGAACCACCAGGGAATGCCATAGCCCCCCTCCCTGGCCAGGTAACAAGCAGGGAGGGGGGAATAAAAAAAAACAAAAAACAAAAACATTAAAAATAAAATTAAAATAAAAAAATGCCCCACCCTCCCGGCCATTTTACACAAATTGCACCCCTTCACAAACACACACACTATACAAACATACTGTATTCATTATATACACACACTACACAAACACACACTATACACACTCTGCATTATATACATACTACACAAACTGCATTCATTACATACATACACTACACAAACACACACTATACAAACACACACTCTGCATTCATTATATACACACACTACACAAACACACTGCATTCACTTTACGCACACTACACACACACTACATAAACACTCACTGCATTCACTATACACACTACACAAACACTCACTGCATTCACTATACACACTACACAAACACACCCTGTATTCACTATACACACTACACAAACACACCCTGCATTCATTATATACCCACTACACAAACACACACTGCATCCTCCACCCACACACACAGCTTCCCTGTCTAAACACACTGCATCTACTACATGTGGCATGTATATTTTGTGCATTTACCTTTAGAAATAGTTTATTTTTTCAAAATGGTAAATGTACAGAATATCGGCAAGTTACCGGCTATCGGCCTGAAAGTTCACAGATTATCGGTATCTGCTCTAAAAAACCAATATCGGTCGATCCCTAGTTTGCATCTGAAGGGTTAAAACCTGAGGGACCTGGCATCCAGACCACTTCATTTAGCTGAAGTGGTCTGGGTGACTATAGTGTCTCTTTAAGAAGTATATAGGGGCTAATGTCTTCTAATGTGTGTCTGTATCTGAGTATGTTTGTGCATGCATGTATGCCTGACAGTGTATGCCAGGGGAGGGCCCACAACATGGCTTTTTAAGTGTCAGCCTTGATACCATGTGCTGAAAGATATATTACCCACAATGCTGGGGGGTTTAAAACTACTGTAAAACAACACAATTTGCAGGGGTGTAATAATATGTAGCAGTCACACACACCCCGGTTAAATCTATATAACCCCAGGTATAGGGAATTCAGAGAAACTGCTATGTTTACATTTGAGGTTAATCCAGCCTCTAGTGGCTGTCTTCCGGACAGCAACTAGAGGCGCGTCTGCATCCATTGCGCAGAGCTTCCATAGGAAAGCATTGGGAAATGCTTTCCTATGGACACTTTGAATGCACACGCAGCACTTGCCATTGATGGACAGGGAGGAGAGGGAGCTCGGTGCTGGATTAAAGTAGGTAACTGAAGGGGTTTAACGCGCCAAATGTTGTAAATAATATTTTGTATTACTTAAATTGTAAACATATTGCACTCGCATATAAATGATAGAAGCTTTTAACAAATTCTATTATGGCACCTGGAGACCACTGTAGAGTATAAAATAACCACTCTCTCTGTATTCTGGGTTGACACCAGTTGCTTCAACCATTGATAAAACACACATTAAAAACAGCAGAACTCTCAAATCTGTTAAAAAGACACTTATTTAATGCATGTAACTTTTAAAAATATAAGCAGGCATATACTACATTATCAATAGCCATCAAAATAAATTTTGGCTTCTGTTGTCCTGCCCTATGCTGGGGCTCAATGTGATTAATAGCATCTGTCCATGAGAATAGTAACATCCAAAGGCCAGGGAAAACTATTGCCTGTAGTACCCAACAAGCGACACAGAGGTGTGGGGAAGCACTGCCGAGCAACTGCAGCAGGAGTGAAGACACTGCTGCTGCAGGGCCGTTCTTGGCCACATTTGTATTTCTGGATTGGCACGGTGATAGAGCTCCTGTACTCCGACCGAGTACATCCGCCCAGTCCGCTTCCTAGCTGTTTGCAGGGACCCTGGAACGCTTCCGCCCCAGTCGCCGAAGCTTGACTGGGGTCTCTCCGAAGCTCTTCCAACCAACCCAGCTGCAGCTCTCTCCTTCCAGGCAGGTATTGTCCACTCTGCCTATACCACTGCAGCTCTCTCCTTCCAGGCCCTCTGCCTATGCTGTTGCACCTCTCTCCTTCCAGGCATGTATCGTACCCTCTGCCTATGCCGCTGCAGCTCTCTCCTTCAAGGCAGATATCGTTGCCTCATATTTATAAAAGGAGCGGGGAAGACAATTATAAGCACAAAACATCTCTACTGCCTGCAGAATTTGCAATATGCAAATCTAGCTAAACATGCAATTTGGCAATCCCTGGTAGTGCATACAGCTGCTGCTAGATCATTGCAACCAACGGGTGGCACTGTACAAGCTCCACATGGTATATATTGACTGTGTTGGAATTTTAATGAAAGACCAATGTCTATCAGGAATGATCACACATTCTTCACTGAGTAGAGGGCGTTATCAAAGAAGGTGACAGAGCCTTTTTAATGTAATTAATACAATACATTTTCTTGATCTTGATTAGTGCAGATGTCTGAGTATAACTGTCAGTGTTTTGTAACTGGTTCATATTCCTATTTTTACCATACTTGATATCAGAGCCCCCGTTGAGGTGAAAATTACCAAAATTAACATAATTTCATTGTAAACCTCTTCCTCTTCCAGAAGCATGTTGCAGCATGAGTATGTCAGTTGTCTTAAAAGAAATGGCTGGATGCTAGGCTCCTTTTTGTAATCAGGACTCTGAGGTTGGTCGGAGGTGGGTGGTAGCTGCATGACTAGCACTGCGTGATGGACTCCTGTACTCCGACTGAGTACCTCCGCAAGGTCCACTTCCTAACTGCCACAAGGAATTCTGGAGCCCTTCAGACCCAGTCGCCAAAACTTAACTTGGGTCACTCCGGAACTCTTCCACCCTTCTTCCAGGCAAGTATTGACCCCTCTGCCTTTGTCTCTTCAGCTTTCTTTCCAGGCAGGTATCGTCCCCTCTGCAGCTTCACCTTCCGAAGCAGGTAAAAACAGCACTGCTTATAGTGATTGCTCCTATCTTTATAATGGTTATAGGGTGACTTAGACATAGGCGTAATCCAGGGTCCTACATAGAGTGTCCGTATGAAACCCCAGGTGATGGTGACTACCGTCACACTGGTCCAGCTATCCCAGGAGTAATGTATTATAACCAGCATTTCAGTTTAAAATCAGTTCCGGGCTGATCAGTGGCTAAGCTGCATATATTTGCTGGAAGTAGTGAATCTTTCAGAATGTAAAAGGCGTGGCTAAGGTTAATTTTTTTTAAACAATTTGTGGGATTTTTTTTCCTTGAAAAACTATGCACATTTGCATATGAAAAAAAAAACAGTTACCCATTCTAAATACTATAAAAAGCATTATTATAATTTTTTTTTTGTCTGGAGTATTCCTCTAACATGATGAGAATTGCAACAATGTAATAGTACCGGATACAGTGGTTAACAACATCCCCCAGTGAATATTTATAGCAGCATATACCCACATGTATGAGTTCATTTCCCATTTGTAAAACCACAAATTGAATTGTAATAATCTTATTATGTGTTGTTGCCCAATAAGTACCATCTACATGGTTGATACATACTTAAAGGGACACTCCAGGCAGCTTAACAAGTTATGGTAAAATTAAAGCTAATAAGCTCTAAATACCTGTGGTTAGTTTTTATTCTTTCAATTCTGTGTAGTTTTCCTGCAGTGCTGTAACATGTTTTGCTGATTTCAGCAATGTAACCCAGTCCCATTAACCACCCCCTCTCACATTTCAACAAGTTCCTGATTCGGGACCATGTTCGTTTTTTTTAGTATGAAATACTCACGTGACGAGACCAACGAATGTATTGAAACAGCTGGATTCGTGCAAAAGCATATGAAGAGCGGAATTACGTCAGAGGTCTATGCGAACTGGAAGTAGAAACTGGAACTTCCAAAAAGTGACGACACACCCTGAACTGCCCAACTACGCACTTCGGTCATCCTTCAAAGAGATCAAGCTCATATGACCAAGCACCCAACGACTAGGTTTCTCTGGGTCCACATAATCAACACTATATATCTTCCACACGCCAAACTATGACCTATATACGGTTACATAAGTTTTGTTCCTTTTTGTCTGAAGACAAAGCAACCTTGTTATCGCACAAGTAACACAAACAACTCTAAGAAAATGCAAAGTAATGCCTTCTAGAGCCTCTGCGTAGGCGCATTTACTACTGCCCTTTTAACAAAAAAAGTGACGATAGGTAAGAAGGAGTCACCTGGGTTTAAATCAGTTGACAACCCTTCCCACAATTTCAGCTTACAATATATATATATATATATATCAGAGGTCTTGACAAATTTGTTTGGAATCTTGGAGCCAGCTAAAAAAAGTTAGGATCCAGGTTTTGTTTTTTTAAAGGGGCACTATAGTCACCAGAACTACTATAGCTTAATGTAGTGGTTCTGGTGCCTATAGCCTGTCCCTGTAGCCTTTTCAATGTAAACTCTGCATTTTCAGAGAAAAGGCAGTGTTTCCATTGCTGCCTACTAAGACCTCTAGTGTCTGTCACTCAGACGGCCCTGCTCAATGTGCTTACATGCTAGAGGGAGTGGGGTAAAGTGACACAAAAGGTAAGGATAGTATTAGACTAATGACAGTTGCAAGAGAGGAATCAGTCGGGAGCTATTAACAGTTTAATTGATACGTTTTACTGAAGAAGTGGGTTTTGAATGATTTTTTTGAAGGAGTGGAGACTGGGTAAGCATCTAACGGAGGAGGGAAGTGAGTTCCACAGGAACGGTGCAGCCCTTGAGAAGTCTTGAAGGCGAGCATCAGAGGTGGGAGTACGGACAGAAGATAGATGTAAGTCTTCAGCAGATCGTAAGGACCTAGACAGGGCATACTTGTGTATAAGAGAGGATAGACAGGTGAGAGCAGCATTATGTAGAGATTTGAAAGCAAGAACCAGAATTTTAAATTGAGCCCTATATCTTACAGGAAGCCAATGTAGGGACTGACAGAAGGGTGAGGCGTGGGAGGTGCGGGCGGACAGGAAGATGAGCCTCGCCCCCGCATTCATTATGGATTGTAATGGCGCAAGTTGGGAGCACGTAAGACCACTGAGAAGCGGATTACAGTAGTCAAGGTGAGAAAGGACAGTGGAATGGACCAGCACCTAGTCGCATCTGGAGTTTAGTAAGGGTGGATGCGCGCAATGTTTTTGAGATGGAAATGACAGGATTTGCCGATAGACTGAACATGAGGCTTGAAAGAGAGGTCGGAGTCAAAGAGAACACCTGGGCAGCGAGCCTGTGTGGTAGAGCTGATGGTAGCACCGTTGACTTGGAGGGAGACAGACACAGGAGTAATAACACTTGAGGGAGGAAAGACCAGAATTTCAGTTTTGGTCAAGTTTAGTTCAATGAAGTGGGCAGCCAGTTAGAAATAGCAGAGAGGCAGTCAGAGACACTAGTCAAGAGGGACAGGGAGAGATCAGGAGAGGACAGGTAGATTTGCATGTCATCTGCATAGAAATGATATTGGAAGCCAAAGGAGCTAATGAGTTTACCAAGGGAGGCAGTTTAGAGGGAGAACAGTAGGGGACCAATGACTGAACCTTGGGGGACACCAACAGAGAGGAGTTGGGGAGAAGAAGCAGAGCCAGAGAAAGAAACACTGAAAGAGCGCTGGGAGAGGTAGGAGGATCAGGTCAAGGAGAATTAGGATAGAGTAGTGACCACAAGATTTTGCAGCGAGTAGATCATTGGATACTTTGGTTAGTGCCGTTTCCACAGAGTGCTTAGCGCGGAAACCAGACTGAAGCAGGTCTAGCAGAGAGTTGGACTCGAGGAAGTCTGTCAATCTCGCATGCACAATTCTTTCAAGGATCTTGGATGCAAAAGGCAGTAGCGAGATAGGACAGCAGTTGGATGGGGAGTTAGGATCTTTATAGGATTTTAAGTAATACTTAGTGTTATATTTATCAATTGTTAAGCCCAGGGCTTGACAAATATGCTTTCAATCAAGGAGCCAGCTAAAAAAAAAAAAAATTAGGAGCCAGCTTTTTTTCAACCTCAAAAATTCTTAAAGGGACCTTATAGTCACCAGAAACACTACAGCTTAATTTAGTGACTCTGGTGTCTATAACCTGTCCCTGTAGGTTTTTTATGTAAGTTCTGCTTGTTCAGATAAAAGGCAGCGTTTACCTTGCTGCCTAGTCACACCTCTAGTGGCAGTCACTCAAACTGCCACTAAAGTGTCTCCTATCTCAGTGCTGAACAATGTGCAGAACACCTACATTCAGCCTGAACGTTCCCCTTCAAGATGCATTGCTTTAATGCTCACTATGAGGAGATGTTGATTGATAATTTCAGTTATGGAGGCGGGCCAGCTGTGGCGAGACTGGCATGGCGTTGGAAAACAGGTGAGTAAAAACATCATTCCCATGCGATCAGACAACACACAGACACACACACACACACACACAACCTCTCACAAACTCACAAGATATGTATTATTTGATATACACACAAAGAATCATAGCTGCACACAGACAATACACACACACAGACATACATGCATGACAGATATATACACAGGAAAAAAAAAGTGAATTCATATTTTTAGCCACTCTCCTGTTTCCTACCTTTTGGGTGCAGGAGAGTTTTTTTCCTGGGGTCCAGTGTGACTGGGGTCGGCAGCAGACATTAGATTAATTTGCCTGGCTGTGGCTAATGGGAGTGGGCTGCCACTGGTCAAGACTCCTCTCCTACACCAGTCTCGATATTATGTGCAGATATTATGTGCAGATCCCTTCACTTTATGCACACTAAAGTGAATGGATCTGCAATTACTTCCTCCCGGCGCTGAAGCCGTGCAGGGGAACGATTGTGCGAGCGGTCAGGTCTGTGAAATGCGGGCAGGCATTGGGTCTGTGATATGTGGGTGGGCGGTTAACAGAGACGATTTTACCAAGTATCCTGCTAGCTTGCTAGTTTTCTGTGCGGCCGCAGCGCCGGGAGGAAGTAATTACAGATCACACGGTACACCTTTGCACAGAAAGCTATGCAGTGATTTAAATAGGAGGAGGAGTGAAGGGGCTGACCAATCACAGGCGCCTGGGCAAAATTCTTAGTCGCCATGGCGACCTGGGATTTGTCGAGTCCCGGTTTAGCCTGTAAATGCAATATTCTATGCACCAGTGTCACTTTATTATTGGCACTTATCTGCACTCTGAATTTGAGTTTCACAGACACATTTATTCGCACTAGCACTTTATTATAGAGTTATTGGACATTACAGTCATATTTGTTTTGATAAGTACATGATTGTATACAGAATACAGTCACTTTAAGATATTTTTACACACTCCGTTTAAACTAGGGATCGACCGATTATTGGTTTTACCGATATTATCGGCCATATCGGTATCGGCCAATATAGATACCGATATTGCCGATAATACATACCAGGACCGCTGGGCTCATTACAAGCCCAGCAGTCCTATGGGGGGCGGGCAGCAAGTGCTTACTTACCTTTCCTGCAGCTCCTCCAGCTCCCCAGTGTAAATTTTGCGAGTCCCGCGGCCGTCAGAGCGTTGCCACAAGTTACCATGGCAATGCTCCGCGCGGCACGCAGACCGCGAGATTTACACTGGGGAGCTGCAGAAAAAGGTAAGTAAGTGCTTGCTGCCTGTCCCCCCACTACTCAGTACACAGTCCATGCCACTGGACCACCAGGGAATGCCACATCCCCCCTCCATGGCCAGGTAACAAGCAGGGAAGGGGGATAAAAATAAAACATATAAATATTAAAAATAAAATCAAAATAAGAAATGCCCTCCCCTCCTGCCCATTTTACACAAATTACACCCCTTCACAAATACACACACACACTCTGAATTATATACACACACACTGTGTGTGTATTTGTGTAGTGTTTATAATGCAGAGTGTGTGTAATGTGTGTGTGTGTGTATATAATGTAGTGTGTGTGTTTGTGTAGTGTGTGTATATAATGCAGTGTGTGTGTTTGTGTAGTGTATATAATGCAGAGTGTGTGTAATGTGTGTGTAGATAATGCAGAGTGTGTAGTGCGTATATAATGCAGGGTGTGTAGTGCTTATATATTGCAGAATGTGTGTTGCATGTATATAATGAATGCAGAGTGTGTGTTTGTGTAGTGTGTGTAAATGCAGAGTGTGTGTGTGTTTGTGTAGTGTGTGTATATAATGCACACACACACACACACACACACACAAACACTGCATTATATACACACACACACACACTGCATTCATTATATACACACACACTACATAAACACACACTCTGCATTATATACACACACTACACAAACACACTCTGCATTCATTATATACACACTATACAAACACTCTGCATTCATTATATAATTATATACACACACTATACAAACACACTCTGCATTCATTATATACACAGACTACACAAACACACTCTGCATTCATTATATACACAGACTACACAAACACACAGCATTCCCCTTGCGCACACTACACACACACACACACAGCATTCACTATACACACACTACACACACTGCATTCTCTTTACACACACATATATATATATATATATATATATATATATATATATATATATACACACACACACACACACACACACTACACAATCACACCCTGCATTCATTATATACACACACACACTACACAAACACACACTGCATCCTCCACACACACACAGCTTCCCTGTCTAAACACACTGCATCCACTACATGTGGCATGTATATTTTGTGCATTTACCTTTAGAAATAGTTTATTTTTTCAAAATGGTAAATGTACAGAATATCGGCAAGTTATCGGCCTGAAAGTTCACAGATTATCGGCTCTAAAAAAAACCTATATCGGTCGATCCCTAGTTTAAACACCACAAAGAAGAATCGTATTGCACTCCTGTGGGACACCATTTTACCCAGCCTGGCCACCCAATGAAGGACCTAAAAATAAAAGTACTGAAAGGGGGTTTTAAAAATACCCAAGAAAGAAAAACATTTGAAGTCAGAATGATCTATTTGTTTAACAGCAAGAATAGAGGACTAAATATTGATTTGGGTTTGCTGTCCTACTACCAACACTTTACATGAACACTCCCCAAATTATCTTACTGTTCTGTCAGATGTATCAACACTTCCAAAAGCATTCCAATATGTTTATTCTATTAATGTACAAAGTACTATGTGATGACCTATGCTTTCCCATACTCTTATGTATGTATGCTTATATATGTGACTGTACATTTATATGAGTTCATGTGCATGTATGTACATGTATTCATGTTTTTGTATATATATATATATATATATATATATATATATTTGTGAGTGTGTGTATATAAAGTGTGCCATCTACTGCACTGTCTGCTTGTTTTTTTTTCTCCCTCTCCCCCTCACTCTGATCTTGTCAGGATTACAAGTTGATCCAGCACGTAGAACTGTATCACACCTAGGACTAAAAGGTAACGTCTTACCAGGCCTTAGAATGGCCGGACTTAATGTACCAGAGAATAGTCAGAATATTTTAAGGTCGGGGACACAGAATGAGACAAAACGATGAGGGGAAGCCAAAAGTCAGGGGTACCAGAACACAGGAAAGTCAAATGAAGCCAAAGTCAATAACCAGAAAATAAACGCTCAGAAACACACTCTCGGACAACCACTAGGGAAACCACGACAGGGAAAAGAGGAGAAGTAAAAATGCGTTTAAATAAGCCATTTACAAATCTGATAGGCCGAAATCAGCCTTTGACCCCAGAACGCACGCGCGTCTCCTGCGAGACGTCACAAGCAGGCCATGGTCGTCATCACCGTGGGTGGACGCGTGTGATAATAGTCCATATTAATTAAGAATGATTGATCACTATTGAGCAAATCAAACTTTTATATATAGTTAAGATGGCGCCGGCACACAGCACTGAAAGTGTTAATAAAACCACAAAACACCGCACCAGAATGACCCATGCATACCATCACGAGAATATTATGAGAACAGAGCTAGCTTTTTAGATAATAGATAATTAAATCGCACAGACCTGGCATGGGATTGTTGGTGGGCCTGATCAGCCTGGCCAGCTTTCGGTCCCATCCAACGCTTTTGCAAGGTCTTTGCTGGGCTGCACTGATAAGGAGATTTAATGGAAAAGTACAGACTATCCATCTTATTAGTAATGTTATAAAAGAAGAGAAAATTTGGTCTCACTTGGAGCACTACCCACCTGTAATAAGGACGAGTACTGCTGGTTCTGCTGATTCCCAGTAAGAGAAGGTCCCCTTCAAGCCTGACTGCCAGAAGCTGAATATTTAGAGGATTAAGTTGTTTCTTTAAGCTCAATGATTACTTATTAATTAAGTCTCTGTTAACCCATTCCCGACTGGAGACGGAAATTTTCCATCAACCTTGTCCTTCAGTTAAGGACCGTTGACGGAAAATTTCCGTCATTTACTAAGGTTAACCCCAGATCGCCACGATTGCTGCGGTCGCTGGGTTAATGCTTACCCGGTCTGCCTTAGTATCCGAGGCAGACTGGGAGCACCGGATCACGCTGCCCCTGCAGCAGTGATCGCTCTGACAGGCTGTCAGAGCGAGCACGTGTTGCAGGGACTCACGATCCACCTCCCTGCACATCCGGGTTCACTGTGAAGTGCAGGAAGGCGGATCAGTGCTGATCGATCCTCTTCTCCCTGTAAAAAAAAAAAAAAAATCAAATCCCACCCCCCCTTTCCCCTGCTTTAATAAAATTAACCCCTTCCCTGCCAATTGACTACTGACTACAGTGATCAATTGGCAGGGATTACATTTTACTGTCATTTGATTTTTTTTAAACCCCTGAGGGTTATTTTTTTTTTTTTTTTTAACCCTCAGGGGTTAAATTAATTTTATTAATTAATTTAAATATTTAAAAATTATATATTTAGCTGGCTGAGATGGTTGGAAGTTAGTGGGGAATTGGGGGATTTGGTGTTAGGCTAACTAGTGGTTAACGTTAAAAAAAAGTTTTAAAATAAGCTTTAAAAAGTTTTTAAAAAATATTTTAGTAATGTTTAAGTAAAAAAAAAAAAATATATATATATATATCACCCCCCTTTACCCAGTCCAAATAAAAATTAACCCCTTCCCTGCCAGTTGATCACTGCCTACAGTGATCAAAATACAGATCACAGGATTATACAGTGATCTAATTTTTTTAACCCTTGATGATTAACTTATTTATTTTTTAACCCTCAGGGGTTCAATTTATTTAATTAATTTAAATATTTTATAATTGTATATTTTGCTAGCTGGGGTGGGTGGGAGTTATGTGAAAGTGGGGAATTTACTGTTAGTGCTGCTTACTGCTAGTTAGTGGTTAACGGTGAAAGAAAAGTTTCTAAAAAAATTTAAAACATTTAATAAGTAAAAAAAAAAAAAAGTTTAAAAACGAGTTTTACAAAGTAAAAAAATACATTAAAAAAATGCTCATTACCACTATACTTGGAACATACTAGCGAAAAAATGATCTAATGCTAAGGTTCACAATATGCCTTTTAAATTACCCCGTGGTGTATTCTTTCATAAATAGTATGTGTTTGTGGGGAAGTTTGAATAACCAGCCAGCTAACCTACTCCAAAATGGAACATGGACACAGCGTAAAACTTCAAAGTTAGAAAAAAAACTGAATGGCTGCATCTTCAACATTCACATATACCTGGCAAAGGTACGTACGGGGGTATTGCTGTACTCAGCCGACATAGCTGAGCAACATATGAAGTATTATACAGTCGTAGCACACAAGGTTTGCAAAATATACTGCGCAAACTCACTTTGTGTGTCAAAAAGGCAGAAAAAATGCTTATTACCACTACACTTGGTACAAGCTAGCGGAAAAATGATCCCACGCTAAGGTTCAAAATATGCCTTTTAAATTGCCCTGTGATGTCTTCTTTGAGAAATGGTATGCCTTTATGGGGTAATTGGATTATATAGCCTGGTAGAATACTCTAAAATGGGACATGGACACAGCATAAAAATTCAAAGTTTGAAAAAAACTGTAATGGCTTTGTCTCAAATGTGCCTCTTCCATGTCCACATATACCTGGCAAAAGTGCATACGGGGGTATTGCTGTACTCAGCCGACATAGCTGAGCAACATATGAAGTATTATACAGTCGTGGCACACATAAGGTTTGCAAAATATACTGCGCAAACTCACTTTGTGTGTCAAAAAGGCAGAAAAAATGCTTATTACCACTACACTTGGTACAAGGCAGAGGAAAAATTATCCCACGCTAAGGTTCAAAACATGCCTTTTGAATCGCCCTGGGATGTCTTCTTTAAGAAATTGTATTCCTTTATGGTGTTATTGTAATAGTTAGCCTGCTCATGTGCTCCAAAGTGGTACATGGACGCATTAAAACCCTCCATGAAAATTCACACTTAAAAACCTGAACTTGTCACATCTCTTTTACAGCTCTGCAACTTCACAAAATAGTGTCTAGGTCATACATTGGGCATATTGTTTTACTCAGAAGATGTAACTGAGCATAACTTGTGGGTTTTTATGACAGTGGTACATATCAAATGCAAGAAATGCTCAACAAAAATGCAACATATATGTAAAAATGCACTCCCCTCCCCCCAACCCCCCACCACAAACATTGACATAAATTGGTGATAAAATGGTGACAAGTTAAGGCACGATATACACCATAATAGATACCCTGGGGTGTCTGCTTTATCAAATGAAAGCCCATTGTGGGGTTATTTGAATAGTCACACTGCTGTAATACCCTAAAATGAGACATAGGCCAGTCAAATCCATCTAGGAAAATTCTAGCTATAGAAACTGAAATAGCGTTGTCTCTTATATGGCATTGTAGCTTTACGGAAAAGTGCCAAAGGCATACAATGAGGTATCGTTATACTCAGCAGAGGTAGCTGAATACAATATTGGGTTCTGTGCAAGAATAGCACACTCCAGCTTTACGAAATACACATTACAAAAACTTTGTTATATGTGTATATGCCAAAATAGAGAAAAAACTAAATTTTACTCCAATATTTAGCAGAGATTGGCAATGAAATGGTTACGTGAAAAGTGACAAACTAACCCTAGGTAAATAGCCTGTGATGTCTACTTTATATAAATATATACTTTTGTGTGGCAATTTTGTTCTCTGTGGTGGCTACTAAACCTACAAGACAAACATACCAACTTTTAAAAAATTGTTTCACATTAAAATTTTATTTTAGTCTTTTTTTGTGACCTGTAACTTGGAAAATAAGCTGAAATCCTATACATATTATGTATTCTATAAATCAAGACACATAAATGAATTTATTTTCAATTACTTTTTCTAAGCTGGACATATTATGCACACGCGATTATTGCCAAAACTGTGAAAAAAAAACAAAAACATTTCCCCATTTTGTGGCTATTTTTTTTTTTTTTTATAATTAATGAGAATGTATCTATGTATATGTGACATCAAATTAACCCCTTAAGGACAGAGCCAAATGTACACGTTGTGAACGAAACAAAATGTAAACAAAACCTGGCATTTGCGCTACATGTCTGTCCAACCGTAATTCACCTATTTCATAGTAGATGCACCCACCCTTATTATATATCATTTTATTCAGGAGAAACAGGGCTTTCATTTAATATCAAATATTTAGCTATGAAACATAATTTAATATGGAAAAAAAAGGGAGAAAATAAGAATTTTATAATTTTTTTTAGTTCTACATGACATTTTAACTGTCAATGTCATAATATTGTTTGCTTTTACTGCAATAAAATACACATATTTGTATTCAGCAAAGTCTCACGTGTAAAAATGTACCCCCTATGTACAGGTTTTATGACGTTTTGGGAAGTTACAGGGTCAAATATAGCACGTTACATTTGAAATTGAAATTTGCCAGATAGGTTACGTTGCCTTTGGGACTTTATAGTAGCCCAGGAATGAAATTTACACCCATAATGGCATACCATTTGCAATAGTAGACAACCCAATGTATTGCAAATGGGGTATGTCCAGTCTTTTTTAGTAGCCATTTGGTCAGAAACACTGGCCAAAGTTAGCGTTAGTATTTGTTTGTGTGAAAAATGCAAAAAAACGCCAATTTTGGCCAATGTTTGTGACTAAGTGGCTACTAAAAAAGACTGGACATACCCAGTTTGCAATACCTTGGGTTGTCTACTATTGCAAATGGTATGCCATCATAGGGGTAATTTTCATTCTCGGGCTACCATAGGGTCTCAAAGGCACCGTAACCAATCTGGCGAATTTTAATGTGAAAAAAATGAAACGCAAGCCTTATATTTGACGCTGTAACTTTTGAAAACACCATAAAACCTGTACATGAGGGGTACTGTTGTACTCGGGAGACTTCGCTGAACACAAATATTTGTGTTTCAAAACAGTAAAAAGTATCACAGCAATAATATCGTCCGTGTAAGTGCTGTTTGTGCATGAAAAATGCAAAAAACTTCACTTTTACTGGCGATATCATCGTTGTAATACATTTTACTGTTTTGAAACACTAATATTTGTGTTCAGCGAAGTCTCCCGAGTAGAACAGTACCCCCCATGTACAGGTTTTATGGTGTCTTGGAAAGTTATAGGGTTAAATATAGTGCTAGCAAATTAAATTCCCTTTACTTTCGGCATGGGTTGTCAGGCAGGTCCCGCTAATTGTAATTAATTAAGATACCTAATTATGTAAAAATATTACATAAATATATATGTAGAATTAATATATGTATATGGATATACACGTATGTGAATCTATATGTGTATATATATAATTTTTTAAAAATATTTTTATTTATATATAGGTATATATATATATAGTGATATATACGTATATATTTATGTATGTAGATATATATTATTTCGTTCTACGTGTATTTTGATATAAATATATATATTAATATCACAATACAGTTAGAACGAAATAACACATCTATATATTTTTTAAATTATTTTTTTAATTAATTTTTTTTTATATTATATATAAATATATATATATATATAACAATTATATATATATTTAATCAGTATCAGTCTACGTGTAATTTAATATATATATATATATATATATATATATATATATATATATATATATTTTAATAGTAAAATACACCTAGACAGTGTATGTGTGTATATATATATATATATATATATATATATATATATATACACACACACACATATATACACACACACATAGAAAAAAAGGCACTATACCTTGCACTCGAACTCCAAATTTCCAGACCGGGTGCACTCCCAGGGCTCCAGATATCCAAATAACAGTGTCAAAGGTTGCACTCACGGATTCATAAAAAATAACTTTTATTAAATTTCCTAAAAAAATAAAAAAAAAAATATCGACGTTTCAGTCTTATTCAAGGACTTCAAGGACCTGTTTTCAGCCAACAGGGGGGACCACCTGTCATTACAGGCAGCCCCCCTGCTGGCAATGCTGCAGCCAGCTACCCCCGGCCATGTGATTGCAAGGACCCCACTCTCACATGGCCGGGGGGCACCGGAGGAGAAGGATCTGCCGCGGGGGGGCGACCGGGTAAGTAAACAAAAACCGGAGGGCGTACATATAATGCCTTTGCACACATACAACTATTAGAATTCCAGCGTTCATTCGCAAAGAAAAGTTAATATCTTAGTGGGTTTGCCACAGGCTTGTGTCCTTAAGCGTAAGACAAGCTTTTGAAGCGGTGTCCTTAAGGAGTTAATCAATAAAGTTTGTATTGATTATTTACAAATACTTGGTGTCATTGTCTTTCCCTTTCTCAAATACTCAATTCACTCATCCCGAATAGGGTTTTGGTGCCCACCAAAATCTTTAAAAACCATGGGGTAATTGTTTTTTTTTGATATTGGTGCTTCATAAATTTAATGATTAGGCCTAACAACACGGAGCTATAATTTGGCGTGGATCTGCAGCGGCCGGCATCTATCAACATGCTGCAGGAGTCAGGTACACTGACACATGGCCGCTGAGTGCAGGTAACACAAGGTGAGGATGAAGCTCTTGGCAGCTGACACGGTACTCCTCAAGACAGAGGTGCAATTGGTCACAGACCAGGTAACAGCTGCAGAGCAAGACATGGTGGAGGTCAAAACACACCTAACAACAATGGATGAACATACAAAATATACAGCATCACCAGAAACTCATGGCACTCAAAATGGCGACCATAGAAGACCGACAAAGGCGCACACACATTAAAAATAGGGGAATCCCAACTGCAATCACAGCAAAGGGATTGCCTCACTATGTTAGGCGCCTCCTGTCCAGTATACTCCCCCATGCAGCTGCAAAGAAAATCGCCATAGATGGAATCCACCGCCTCCCGACCTATACACCTGAAATCCCCTGCAGCCAGAGACGTCATTCTACGATGCGTCACAGTCCAAGACAAGCTCTATATCATGGCGGCGCTGAAGGACCGAACGCCACTACCCTTTGAGAACTCAGAGCTAACCTTTTACCAGGACTTATCAAGGGCAACTCTACTATGGCGCAAATCATATGGCCCAGCCACCACACAGCTACGCACTGCAGGTATAGCCTACAGGTAGGGAGCGGGGAGCTCACTGGAAGTTACCCGTGCAGGGGCAAAACAGATCTTCACATTGCTAGACGAAGCCTCCAACTATCTGAAAACCCTCGGCTTGCCGAACCAGGCTCCGAAAAACCACGGAGAGCACAGGGATCACATGACTGCCTCACACCCCTGGAACGTGTGGACTGAGGTCTCAGGTTCCATTAACAGGTTAGCATTAACCAAGATCTGACTAAGTCGGACTATTATTCCACACCATCCTCACCACCAATGAAGGAGAAATTCCCTGATGTTATTTTAATGTTTCATGTTGTGGCGGAACCAACCTTGCCACTGGAGGAGCCGGGTCGCCCGCCTGCTGCCGCTGGACTATTGCCCCATGTTAAAAACCTTTTATTTTCCCTGCAGAAAGGCTTATTCCTGCCTTTCTGCCTGTGCGTTCGGTAGATTGAATCTACCGAACAAACTATCGACCGACCACCTGGGAACTGGAGTGTGCCGTCACTTTACCGCAGCTTAATCGACGAACGTTGGATGGCCTTTGTTCGTTTGCCGAACACGTGGCAGCAGCCATTTTAAACTCCCGAACGGCCAGCGGTGTTCAGCTCCAAATCTATGGAACTCAAAACGGACACTGATTTGCATGAACACCGCTGAGCCACCGACTTCCCTTCTCCTACAAAGAAACGAACACTGGTTCATTCGGGACTTTCATTATGTGAACAATGTTACCCCAGATAGTTATGCCATGGAGCCCATTCGTATACCGAAAGACTGTATGAAAGACTTTGGCTCCATGGCGATTTAACTATGTGTATGTGATCTGAGCGCCATTCGGTAATAATGTGCGCTCAGATCTAAGCTGAGGATATGTTGAATGTATATGTTTTGTGTAATATTTGCAACATTGTATATTTTTCTGTCTTTTTGGTAAAATGTGCTTAATGGAGTTTGCCTCTGTCCTTGGAGATAATTGGATTATTTCCCAATTATCTCCAGGACAGAGCGGAGGGATTGCAATGCATTGTGGGATTTGTTTAAATGTGTAAGCTGGTGATTGGTCCTTTTACCCTTTGGGTCCCAGTTTCCCATCTGGTTCCCTAGGGGAGTGTCCACCAGGTGGGAGACCTGCATAAAAGCCGGGCAGGTAGCCCCAGTAAGTCAGTTCTGCTTGATCCTCAAACGAAGTGTCGTCTCGTTCTTGGGGGGAATTGGATTGCATGCTGTTACAGTGCGACTGCCAGGAGTGTAAGCTGTTCGTATGGTTTTTCCTGTTCGGCTGTTTAACAGCATTCGTGTGTTTCCTGTTCGGGAGTTGGAGGATTCGTATGGTTCCAGTTAGGGAGTTGGAGAATTCGTGTGTTTGCAGTTCAGGAGATTGATGATTGCAGTAGCTGCCTGTGCATCTGAAAGGGGAATATCGCCTAAACGATTTTTAACCTCATGTGCAAAATGGTCCGTTACACATGTTTTCTATGATTTTTCTCTTCTGCTCTGACTAACTCACGGTCACTCAGGTCCCTGGGCCTATAACTCACATGGGCATAAGGCCCTATGACCTTGACTGCCGTACGGAACGTACAACAAAGTAAATGCCCTGACAGGCACCTAGTCCCCACAAACACACATCTCCCACTCCCCCTGCCACCCCCATGGTTAGGGGTCCCCAACGTCAATGCAGAGGCAGAGCAAGACACTCCCAACGTCAACACAGCCTACGGTTCTGCTACACCTGACACGAACACAATGTTTATGTCCCCAGCTTAATATACACACAGCATGACAGACACAACCATAGACGACTTAAACACCAACAATGCCCCTCTGAGAGCAGATGACCAGCGAGACATACAGCAGATACAAGACACCGTAGTGCCTTTGAACCACCATGCCTGCCCAGCATTCACACCCTACCACGACTAGCTAGTCCCATAGCAGACTAAAATCACACAGACTACATAGCCGAATATCACACAATACTGGACCAACTCCACTGTGTAGATGTGACTAACCAAATTGTTAAATTTGCCTGTTATTCCTTATTTAAAAATGTGCTGTATACCTTTGTGCCATGCAAATGCCACTCCAAATATATTACATCAAAGCTTGTTAGGTCTGAAATGGCAGCACACGCTTGTTTGAAAATGCTTTGCACAGCAAAATAAAGAATTTAAAAAAATAAAATAAAATAGAGAGCAAATATATTAAATACTAATTTTAGAACAAAATACTTAACATGACCTATGAGTAGGCCTACTTGCACCTTGACTTACTCAGCAACTATTACATACTGCCGAAAAGCTTCCTAGGTTGCTAGGAACATAAGCATTAAGAACTTAATGTAATGAATTAATTGATATAATTGGGCAAAAATTATACCGTATCCCAGTGAGCAATGTTGAAAGCATAAAACTTTGGTGGTTGTAAGATAATTTATTGGATGCTAGTCTTAACTAGCTGCTGAAAGGAAATACTAACTCTTCCCAAGGCTCTAGCCTCGGTACATCGTCCAAAAACTGGACCTGAAAACAAATTGTCAGAATGCCTATCGACCTCTAATCCCCAGTTTGTCTCCTCCACTCTGTCAATAAATGTGTTGTAGCAGCAGTTATATCCATAGTTGAAACAGAAGAAAATCATTATACCAACGATGAGTTGGGCTGTTGGGTTAGTATGCCACCGAGCTTTGTGGTGGGGTGTTGGCCTCTTGGTGATGATTAAAGAGATTCAAGATAAATTGCCCGTGAGAGGTGAGGCTTTATTTTGCCTAGAATACAGAGATGCAAGTCATTAATTATGATTTGGGTTGAGTGGTAAAATACTGAACCCAAGTGAATATGTAGCGTGGCCGAATATGTGCCAAAAATACAATATTAAAGAGAGGTTCACCGCGGGTCATACTTCATACTCGCGAATACAAGCTGAATTCTGCTCCACCGCTACCAGAAAGCCATCCTAAGCTGGGAAGTGAACCATCAGGATCAGCGTGAAACCTAAACGTGCAGACTATAACAATGAATAGACAAGCCGTATGCCGGTCCTACTAGTAGCCAGACTAACTGTAGAGGAGCCAGAGAGAATGTCGAGGTCAAGGACAGGAGAGATACAGATAAAAGTTATAACAAGCCAGCCAATGTCAAAGGGTACCAGAGATCAGGAGAATCAAGTAAACAGACAAATACAGAAACCAGGAACAGGAGATACAAGGAACATGCTTTTGGGCTACCAGAACCACAACAGGGCAACATGGAGTGGGAGAGCTAAGTATACATAGGCAGTACTTACTTTCTACTGGCCCACGTTATTGTTGCATTTCCTATGATTTGTGGGCGATAGAAAACTGCATTAGAGTGATTGGTAACAGATTTGTGAGCTGAATTCGGCTACCCATAAAACCCTGCGACGTACGAGCATTAAGTGTCGCAGAGAACATTGGAGGATTCTGGTGAGACATTAAGCGATTCCGACACTCATGAAGTGGAAGTTATGTGAGGTACCTAGCAACCAGGTTCTAGCTGGGTGGGGAGGGTTAGATACAGGGCCGGACTGGCCCACCGGGATACCGGGAAATTTCCCGGTGGGCCGTCGGCACCTGCGGCCGGGCAGGCAGCTGGCTCCCCTGCGGCCGCAGAGAGAGCTCTTCTGGCGGCTGCAGGGGGAGCTGGCTGTTCTGTCTCTGCTCCCCCGCCCTCGCGCGCTAGAAAGAGACCGGGGCCGGAATATGACATCATATTCCGGCCCCGGTTTCATTACGCGGCGCGCTGGGGAGGGGGAGCAGAGACAGAACAGCCAGCTCCCCCTGCGGCCGCCAGAAGACTCAGGTCCCCCATGCGGCCACCAGCACAAATTATGTGTGTCAGTGTGAGTGTATGTGTGTCTGTGTCATGGTGTGTGTGTCTGTCTGTGCCATTGTGTGTGTCTCTGTCTGTCATGGTGTGTGTGTGTCTGTGTCATTGTGTGTGTGTCTCTGTCATGGTGTGTGTCTGTCTGTGTCATGGTGTGTGTCTGTCTGTGTCATGGTGTGTGTCTGTCTGTGTCATGGTGTGTGTCTGTCTGTGTCATGGTGTGTGTGTGTGTCTGTGTCATGGTGTGTGTGTGTCTGTGTCATGGTCTGTCTGTGTCATGGTGTGTGTGTCTGTCTTTGTCACCGTGTGTGTGTGTCTGTGTCACGGTCTCTCTGTGTCGTGGTGCCTGCGTGTCATGGTGTGTGTGTCTGTCTGTGTCATGTAATGTGTGTCTGTGTCACAGTGTGTGTCTGTGTCACAGTCTGGTGTGTTTCTGTCATGGTATGTGTGTGTCTCTGTCATGGTGTGTCTGTGTTTCTGTCTGTGTCATGGTGTGTGTGTCTGTGTCACGGTCTGTCTGTGTCATGGTGTTTGTCTGTCACGGTATGTGTGTTTTTACTCACCTTTTTCCCCCCCACGTCGTGCTGGTCTCCCCTCGACTGGCCCTGCCTCAATGGCTGAGATCATCAAGCTTGATGATCTCAGCCAATCCGCACTGACACAGGAAGCACCTCTAGTGACCGTCTGAGTGTCTGTCACTTGAAAGCAATGTAAACACTGCCTTTTCTCTAAAAAGTCAGTGTTTACATTGAAAAGTCTGCAGGGACAGGCTATAGACACCAGAACCACTACATTAAGCTGTGTGTGTGTGTATGCGTGCGCGCGCGCGTTTGTGCGTGCCTGCTAATGAGTGAGCTTGTGTTTTTATGTCAATGACCTTATGTATATCAGTGAGATTGTTTATGAGGCTGTGTATCAATCATCTTGTGTCAGTGAGATTGTCTGTGTCTGCATGTGAGTATGCTTACTGTATAATTAAAAATTTTACTCTGAAAGGACCAATATTTTATATTGGAAAAAGCAATATATATATCAATCATCTAGGGTGGCAAGACATAGCCTTACATATTACATGCGACAATATATGGCGCAATAACTTATGGGGCTGGCATAGATTTTTTTTCCAGGGCTGCTTTGGAATCCCCAGTCCGGCCCTGGTTAGATAGAGTCCAGCAAAAATCCCTCCCATAACTTCAGGCATAGTCCCTTTACATATATAAATAATGTAATATGTATGTACACACTTGACAAGAAACCCTTAAATTACACTGGAACAAAATACGTTACGCAATTGTAGATTTTGTTTCTGTTCAGAAATTGGACAATTGCCTCTGTCCTTAAGGGGTTAAAAAAAGTAAAAATAAATAGTCAATAAGACCCCAACATGACTTTAACCACTTAAGGATGGAGGCAATTGCAAAATATCTGATCAAAAAAATTAAATTTGAGCTATATGTTTGTTAAACCATAATTTCTCTATTTCATATTAATTATACCAACAATTATATGTAATTTTGTTCAAGAAATACAGGGCAATTATTTCACATCAAATATTAATATATAAGAAGCATAATTTAATATGAATAAAATATAAATAAGATTGAGAAATTAAGACATTTTTATAAGTTCTACATGGCATTTTAACTGTGAATATCATAATACTGTTCGCTTTTTCTGTAATAAAATACACATTTTAATACCCAAACGTAGATAACCCAGGGTATTCAAAATGGTGTATGTCCAGTCTTTTTTTAGTAGCAACTTAGTTACAAACCTTACCCAAAGCTAGCGTTTATATATATTTTTTGTTCAGTTTTTTTTTTTACACAAAAAAAGCACTTTCAATGATGACATCATCCATATTATGCATTTTACGACTCTAAAACGCTCATATTTTTGTTATAGGACCACTATAGGTGCCCAGACCAATTCAGCTTAATGAAGTGGTCTGGGTGCCAGGTCCAGCTAGGTTTAACCCTTTTTGCAGTAAACATAGCAGTTTCAGAGAAACTGCTATGTTTACATATGGGTTAATCCAGCCACTAGTGGCTGTCTCATTGACAGCCGCTAGAGGCGCTTCCGCGCTTCTCACTGTGATTTTCACAGTGAAAAGACGCCAGTGTCCATAGGAAAGCATTGTGAATGCTTTCCGATGAGAATGTCTGAATGCGCGCGCGGCTTGTGCTGCGCATGCGCATTCAGAGGAGGAGGAGAGGAGGTGGAGAGTTCCCCGCCCGGCGCTGGAGAAAGAGGTAAGTTTAACTCCTTCCACCCTGAGGGGGACCCTGAGGGTGGGGGCAACCTCAGGGCACTATAGTGCTAGGAAAACGAGTATGTTTTCCTGGCACTGTAGTGGTCCTTTAAGCAATGTCTCACAAGCACACAGTATTCCCATGTACAGGTTTAATGGGGTTTTGGAAAGTTACAGGGTCTAATAAAGGGCTTGCCCACTTAAGTCTTCATACCTGGAAAAGTGTTTTTCTGGGCCTATGTCGCATTTGAGAGAGCATGGCAGCTCTCCGCCATTATGGCATAAAATTTTCAAAAGTAAGCAACCGAGAGCATTCCAGATGGTGTATTTTAAGATGTTTCGTCTATCTACTTTATCACAAATGCAGGGCCCATTTACTTTTATTTGTGTTTATTCACACACATGAACTCCATTTTCACAGGACAATTCATAATCCCAATGTGTGTTAGTGTAATACAGCCTCATTATTTTTAATTAGCATTGTCTTACCAACACGTTTCCCCCATGTACCAGTATTTCAGTTTTTTGGGGGGAAGTCACAGGGCCATATATATCAGATGCCCTTTTCAACTCGTAAAATTAATAAAGTGAATTTCTGGGCCTATGTTGCTTTTGAGACAGTATGGCTGCTGAGAAAGGAAAATAAACAGCATGATAGCATATTTTTAAAAGTAGGCAAATCAGGGTATTCCAAATGGCATAATTTGACTTGTTTGGTATTGCTACTTTATCACAAATGCTGGCCGCATTTAGTGGTCATGCAGTCCAATAAATGGTGATATATAGACTTAATAAATGCTTTTACACATACATTTAATTCAGCTGACACAATTATAGCAAACATTATATAGAGAAGAGGATATATGTCATGTTAGCCCTAAAATTTGCAAAAGGAGCACTAAATGCCCAATAAATGGTGAACTATACATAACAGCATCTTAAAAACAAAGAAAATGAATCTGATATGATGGGATATGTCCAAAGCACACAGGAGAAACAAACAACTTAAAGGACCACTATAGGCATCCAGACCACTTCAGCTTAATGAAGTGGTCTGGGTGCCAGGTCCAGCTAGGGTTAACCCTTTTTTTTTTATAAACATAGCAGTTTCAGAGAAACTGCTATGTTTATAAATAGGTTAATCCAGCCTCTAGTGGCTGTCTCATTGACAGTCGCTAGAGGCGCTTGCGTGCTTCTCACTGTGATTTTCACAGTGAGAAGACGCCAGCGTCCATAGGAAATGAGACCGGCTTTCCTATGAGACTGGCTGAATGCGCGCGCAGGTCCTGACGAGCATGCGCATTCAGCCGAAGAGGAGGAAAAGAGCTCCCCGCCCGGCGCTGGAGAAAGAGGTAAGTTTAACCCCTTCCTCTCCATCCAGCCCGGTGGGAGGGGGTCCCTAAGGGTGGGGACACCCTCAGGGCACTATAGTGCCAGGAAAACAAGTATGTTTTTCTGGCACTATAGTGGTCATTTAATTCAGTAGACACCAATAGCAAACATTATATGGAAAAATGTAATCCATAGATTTTTCAAAAGGAGCCGTTTGTTAAATAAATGGTAACATATACATTAAAGGAACATTATAGTCACCAAACAACTTTCGTTTAATGAAGCAGTTTTGGTGTATAGATCATGCCCCTACAGTTTGACTTCTCATTTCTCTGCCATTTTGGAGTCAAAAATCACTTTGTTTATACAGTCCTATTCACACCTTCCTGCATGTGACTTGCACAGCCCTCCTGAATACTTCCTGTAAAGCAAGCTTTTGGCTTTCGTGGGCCACATTGAGCGCAGAGGAATTGCCTTGGGTCACACACAAAATCTATAACATAAATAATTTATATAATATAAACTTCAAAAGCCCTTTTCTTAAATTTGTTTAGTAGATAACTCCCTTATTTGTTATCCTTGTGTGGGATTGCCATATTTAAGGATACCAACTTAGGAAGCTATTTACTAAACTCATCCACATGTATATACAAATGCACACATAACCACAAACACAATCACAAACCTATACACACATAATTACAGACACTCATACCTATACATACAATCACAAATATACACATGATCACAAATCCACATACATAATCTCACACACACATAAATCACAGATGTACACACACAGTCACATATATATATACACACACACACACACACACACTCACAGACCTAGACACAATCACATACATACAGATATAATCAGATACACACATTTAATCACAGACCCCCACACACATACAATCACAGACCTATACACACATAATCACAGATCTATTTGCACAATCACAAATATACACACACACACAATCACAGATCCACACACACGCATACAATAGCAGACTTATACACACAGTCACATACATACACACAATCACAGATTTAAACACACAGACATACACACATAATCACAGACCTATGCACACAGTCACATATATAAACACAAGAACACACAATCACATACATATACAATCACAGACCCACACACAGAGGCGGCTCTCTAAGTGGTTTAGGCGGCCTAAACCATGTAATTGTAGAGACGCTGCAGTGAAAGTCTTTCCCGGTAAAAAAAAAATAAAAAAATTATTAACCCTTCAATGCCAGCCAGCGGCCGCATTGCCGTGGCGCCGGCGCTAATACAAGATGGGACCCTTTCAGATGGGACTTGTGCAGCTCTAGAAATAAGGTAAGTTTTTACAACATTGAGGGGGGTGGGGGGGCTAAATAGTTTAACACGATAGGGTCAGGAATACACATTTGTGTTCCTGATACTATACTGTTCTTTTAATACACTGTTGACAACTTTATTTCAGTTTTAGGAGACACCAACAAGAATAACTGAGTAGTCAGCCACAAACCTTTTATCTATACCCAATGTTTGTGTATAGATATTTTGTAGAATAATTTAATAAAAATAAGTTTGTGAATACTGAGATTATGAGGTTTATTAATGTTTGCCTTAAAATATGCAATTTATACAGTTAAAAAAAAAATAAGCAGGCGTTAAAATTAAAATTATCGCTTGTGGGAGGCCTCATATTTGATTTTCGCCTAAGGCCTCAAAAAGTCTAGAGCCGCCTCTGCCCACACACACACACACACAATCACAGACCTATTCACACTTCCACATACATACATGATCAAAGATTCACACATTCAATCACAGACCCACACACAATCACAAACACCTACAATCACAGACCTATATGCACAATCACAAATCTACACACACAATCACAGATTTTATTAAGACACGGAGGCTCCTATTATGCTGCACTCTTTCTTTATTTTCCCTCAGCAGCAAAGAAAATGTTTTTAAAACGTAATCAAAGGTAACAATAAACAGTCTGAGAGGAGTATCCTAGCAACAGGAACAGCCAATCGGATTCCACTCTCCAGCATAATAGGCTCTGTGAACCAATCCAATTCCTCTTTCTTTGCTGCTCCCTCAGTTAAGTTACATCAGATCCCATGGTTTCTTAACTGTGGGATCGTCATTTTACATTTTATATTGCTGTTTATTTATTTAATACTACTTCTTTAAATTGCTTGATTTAATATACTACTCCTTTAAATTGCTTGATTTAATATTATGTGTGTTCTTGCTATTGCTGGTTACACTTTTGAGGGTTGTTGAACTTTGTTCCCCCCCTTCTTGCCTCCCATTTCATCTAGTTCCCTCATAGCTTAATTGGACGTTTCTGCTTGTCATTTGGCTGGCTTCCTTAACCCCTGAGCCAGTAGGTTTTCACTGTGCTCGGGGGTTTTTCTATTTCCCAACCCCGTCCGACCGTTGCTGAGGCGCGCGCTCCCCTCCCTGCACCCATTCGCCTATTGTCCTGCTGTTTAGATACCCGCATTCGGGTATTTGATGCGAACGCACTCTGGCATTGCGTTCGCACCACGAACCCCCATTGACAGTTTTTCTCGCGGTCTAATTCCGCGAACGCATTCCTCCATTGAAACAGACGCTCGCCTATGCGAACGCTTCTGTCCCTTCCCCGTTCGGGATTTTTTCACTGCTCGAGGCGGCCATTTAGTGCTTTCCCGCGCCCTGCCACTAGCACTGCCCCCCACAGACCGGAACTCTGAGTTGGGAGCTAGTGCTAGTGGCGGTCGGACGGCTTTCTATCTCTACGGTACCTTTATTAATTCTATGAGTGTAAACACTATATTGTATTGTTTTTTCCTTCATACATTTTGTCCAATATTGTAGATTCCCTCCTACAGGGTTACTCAACCCTCCCCTATAGGTTTGTTGCCAACAGGCTGGTTATCATATTTCAGATCCTAATATTTCTGGATATAATCCTGTCAATCACTGTCATTATTATGCCTTCTGACAAGGATGCACCCTCTGGGTCTATTAACCCTGACAAGGTTGGTTTTCAGACACCTTCAGGTGTATTTGCTGATATGGCGGTTCCACCCGCTGAGCTTGATACCCCTGCTGTTATGCAGACCTTGATTGATGACACCATGTCACAGGCTATGACTAAAGCCCTCATGTCGGCCATGGGACTAATGTCTGATTCCATATCCCAGACACTTACACATGCCCTAATCCAGGCGCAAAAATCAGCGCAACCGACTTCGGACCAGATTGTGCCTGTCACAACTCCTTTACAACCTCAGACCGGCCACAAGGCCTTAGCAAAAATGAAACACTCCTCAATGCCACAGATGGACAGGCATGCACCTGTCACAGATGGCGCGTCTATACAACCGCGCAAAAGAGCCACTAGCCGGGCAAAATCGGCTAGATTGTGGAAAAGGGCAAGGGCCCAAGTTGATTCTGAGTCTGATCTCAGCGACATTGAGGAGGAGGCTTCTCTAGATTCGGAAGATCCATCGGATCCCGACTCAGATTGCCCGGCCGGGGACTACGGCCATTCTCAGGACTACAGTCCGCTCCAGTCAGACATGCCTGTTGTAGACCACAAGGCACAAGGGGATGTGGATATGATTGTGGACCAACATGGTGAACCCCTGTTTGATCCCGACCTATTACGCCACCCACGGTCAGCAGAATGGTCCCCCCCAGAACATGTGGCCAAATATATAGCGTCTAGAGTACGCAAGCCTTTAGAAAAGGCGACACGGAATAAACTACGGGCAGAATGCCCACGCCCCACAGTCCCAGATGATGCCTGCAGCACACCTGCAGTTGACCCAAAGATTACCCAATTCTTGGGAAAGACAGGCTGGAAGCCCAACAAAGGCTTGGAGTTTGCCCTGCGCAATTGCCAGGACAAGGTCTTGGACATCCTGGGCCCAGCTACCAAAATATTCGAAGTGGTCCAAGATGACCAGGAGTTGGATCGGGCCGCCATAAATGGATGGATCCAACGGATTATTTGCTTGATTGGCAATGCCAACATGGCAATAGCCACGGAACGCCGCAAGGCGATACTATTGAAAATAGAACCGAAATTGGTTAATATGGCCCTGAACGAACCGGGCGCCCAAGCTAAGGGTCTCCTATTCGGAGACAATTTTGTCAAGGAATTGGGCTCCTTTGTCCATACATTTACTGCCCTAGATAAGGCGCAATCCAACATGCGCAAGGTGTTTCACCCCATGGTTTTTGGTGGGGCCAGAAGAGCAAGGAGCCGCCTGGCCGGCCGTGTTAACAGAAGTTATTTTAGACAGAACAGAGGCTCCTATACGGGACGAGCCAGTTTCACGGAACACCGCAACGCTCCGGCGTTCTTCCCACAGCGTGGGCGGCCATGGGTTGCCCGTAGACCACGGAATGCCCACTCGGGGCGACGACCTTACGGTAAGTCCTCTCAATTTACTTTCTTCCCTGTGGGCAGTGGGGGGCAGACTCCGACATTTTTCCCACATGTGGGCTCGCATATCGTCAGATTCTTGGGTGCTAAACACCATAAAAGGATATACAATAGATTTCCTGTCCCTGCCCGTACAATTCTCCCAACCACGAGAAATGTCTTTTTCCCTAGCAGACAAGACCCTGGTCACCCAAGAAGTTTCAGACTTACACCACAAAAAGGCCATTTCAGAAATCCCAATGGCCACGGCAGGCTATGTCAGCAACCTGTTCCTGGTTGCCAAGAAAGGCGTAGGGGTCCGCCCAGTGATCAATCTGAAACAACTCAACACTTACGTCTCTTACAACCATTTCAAAATGGAAGGAATACATTGTCTAAGAGATCTCCTCCAACCAGCGGATTGGATGGTGAAACAGGATCTCAAAGACGCTTATCTTACAGTGACGTGACGGCCTTACTTCGGAGCCGAGGAGTGCGTCTTATAATCTATCTGGACGACATCCTCATCATGTGCCAATCCGCCCAAATTGCACGGACCCATTTGAACTGGACTCAGACCCTACTACAGAACTTAGGCTTCCTCATCAATTGGGACAAATCCATCTTGACTCCCACTCGACACATAGAGTTCTTGGGTCTCATCGTGGACTCCACGTCTCAGACCCTACATCTACCGATGTCGAAACTGAACAATATCAAAAAGGAAATCAAACGTTCCCTGGCAGCTCCTCAGCTTTCCCTCAAACAGTTGGCAAGGGTGATTGGCCTCCTGGCGGCCTCCATACAAGCCATCTTCCCGGGGCCGCTCCACTACCGGGCGTTACAACGCCTTCACGCTGCCAACCTGAGAGACGCAGTCGCCTACACGGATCTGATCACTCTGAACTCGGAAGCGAAGGACGAACTGACATGGTGGCTCTACCATATGGAAGCCTGGAATGGTCGAGCCATTTTTGGCACCGCACCAGATCTGGTAATAGAATCAGACGCGAGTTTACACGGCTGGGGTGCTCGCTGTGGAGACGTCTCTACAGGTGGCAGGTGGTCCAACAGCGAAGCTACACTCCACATCAATTGCCTGGAACTCCTGGCAGGATCCTTTGCGATCCGCAGCTTTTCACCGACCCTGGTACAATGCTCTATCATTCTGAAGATGGACAATATATCGGCAGTCCGATATATCAACCATCTGGGGGGCACGAAGTCAAAGGTCCTGGCGAACATGGCACGAGATTTTTGGCAGTTTTGCCTGACTCAAGGCATTTCTGTGACAGCGGAGTATATTCCCGGGCTCTGCAACACCACGGCAGATTGGTATTCACGACACCTCCGGGACACCAGCGATTGGCAATTGGACCCCAGGGTCTTCCGAACTATTCAATCAATATGGGGCCCCATGGACAAAGACCTGTTTGCCTCCCGCTTGAATGCGCAACTTCCCCGATTTTTCAGCTGGAGGCCGGACCCAGCAGCGCTAGCGACAGATGCGTTCACGCAGGATTGGTCGTCCACAAGGAATTATGCCTTTCCACCATTCGCACTGATTCCTCGCTGCCTCCTGCAGTTACGACGACAGTCGGGAACCCTGGTGCTTGTCGCACCGTTATGGCCCTCCCAACCTTGGTTTCCTCCCCTCCTGGAGATGACGGTGGACGTGCCTCGAATTCTCCCACACTCCATTTATTTACTTCAGGACCCAGATGGGGCCCCTCACCCCCGGTACAGCAGGATCTGCTACGGCTAACAGCGTGGCTAATTTCAGGGGACCTTGGACAATCGAGGGAGTTTCGGAATCGACTCTCCGCCTTCTCGAGAACGCATGGGCACCCGGCACAAGACAGGCTTATAAGTCTTCATGGGGCAAATGGCGTGATTGGTGCCTGGAACGAGACTTGGATCCCATATCAGCTCCTGTGAGCGATATCCTCCACTTCCTCACGTCCCTGTTTGAGGATGGCAAGGCCTATCGTACAGTGAACCTATACCGCTCGGCCATTTCAGCGGCACACCAGGGGACTGCGGGTGTCCCGATTGGACGCCACCCGTTGATATGTAAACTCCTACGTGGCATTAAATTCACCCGACCCCCGCTCCCACGATATTCGATGCTATAGGACGTCTCCATCGTCCTCAAATTCATTGAATCATGGCCGGACAATGCGCAGCTGTCCCTGAAACAATTGTCGGCCAAGCTGGCTATACTCCTCTGCCTCATATCTTGCAAAAGGGTATCCGATGTCAGAGCTCTGGACATTACCGCACGCCCTTACACCCCAGAGGGGGTCTCCTTCGATATCTCTCGCAGAACGAAGACGTCCTCGAAGTCGGTGTCATACCCAGCGTTCCCCGACAGACCGCTCTTATGCCCAGTCAAGTGCTTACAATCCTATGAGCACCGCACCTCCACACTTCGAGACACGACAAAACACGAGCTTTTCATATCATTCCAGAAACCTCACCTACCGGTGTCTACTCCGACCCTGGCGCGATGGGTTAAATGGATGATGTCCATAGCAGGCATCGACACTTCACTATTCTTACCTCACTCAGTGCGAGGAGCGATGGCTTCCAGAGCCTCCATGATTGGCTGTCGACTGGAAGACATTTTGAAGGCAGCTGACTGGTCCTCAGAATCGACTTTCAGGGACTTTTACTTTAAACCCATTCAACACTTCGCGGGTTCTATAATTTCCCAGCTTTAAACCAGCATAATAGGAGCCTCCGTGTCTTAATAAAATTCACAGATTTTACTATTAGCATGACGTAAAGTCATGATTTTATTAACGACACGGAGGCGAGTATTATCCCTCCCTCCCATCCCGTGGAAGGATGGAATATGGGTAAGTTGATTCCAAGGTAAGTCCTAGTAGTTTGAGATTGATACACGTTAGGCTTGCCAATACTCCACTTAACCGCTCAGACTTCTTAAAAAATATCGTGACAGACATATTATGAGATATGTGGACATCCAGTTTAATACAAAGATATTACCATATTTCTCCTTGTCTTACAGCTTAACCTTCTTCAGGTCATTGGAAATACCCTTGTTACACGGTTCTCTTGTCTGGGCTGGATGATTACACTACTTCGGGATCGCAAATCAAGAGGAATTGGATTGGTTCACAGAGCCTATTATGCTGGAGAGTGGAATCCGATTGGCTGTTCCTGTTGCTAGGATACTCCTCTCAGACTGTTTATTGTTACCTTTGATTACGTTTTAAAAAAAATTTCTTTGCTGCTGAGGGAAAATAAAGAAAGAGTGCAGCATAATAGGATAATACTCGCCTCTGTGTCGTTAATAAAATCATGACTTTACGTCATGCTAATAGTAAAATCTGTGAATTTACACACATAATCACAAATCTCAGACACACACACCCACACACGCATACAATCACGAACTTATACACACACACACACACTCAATCACAGGCCTATACACACATAATCACAGATACACACACATTCAATCACAGATCCACACACACAATCCCAAACATACACAATCACTGACCTATACACACAATCCCAGACACACACACACACAATCACAGACCTATGTGCACAATCACAGATTGACACACACGCATTCAATCGCAGACTTCTACAGTCACATACATAGACACATAATCACAGATGTAAATACACACACAATCACAGACCTATACACACACACAATCACAGACCAACACACAATCACATACATACACACACCTATACATACACAATCACATACATACGAACACCTAATCACAGATATACACACACACAGACGCAAACACAATCACTGACTTACACACACACACACACACACACACACACAATAACAGACCCACACATGCATACAATCACAGACCTATACACACAATCACACACACAATTACATGCCTATACACACACAATCACAGACATACAAACACACACACAATCACTGCCAAAGCATACACAAAAATTACATGCATACACATTTTGTATCTAAGAGGCCCACCCAGCCTACCTACCTTGCTCTGGGAGGGCTGGATGGATCCTCGGTCCCTGGTGGCTAGCGGTAGCTGCTTGGCTGAGATCTCCTCTGTGCACTCCCTGCATAGGTCCCTCGCACTCCTAGCAGTGATGCTGGTACTGGGATGGCTTCATATCCCGGCGCCTGTCTCACTGCAGGGAGCACGAGGGAGATGCCCAGGAGGAGCACAGAATGTAAAGTGTTCCTTGCCTCCCTCGCATCCAGGCAGTGCGGACGGCAACCGGGCTGCACTGCTAGTGGCCTGCGGGTTTAGCACCACTGCTGTAAAGAATCATCTAAATGTTTACATTTTGTTTATTGCAAATTCCGTCTAATTTAGAATTTCTTATCTCCTGCTTCTAGAGCCTGCAGTGTATGATTAAAGTTCACTTTACAAAGCAGGATACCCTTTTAAAGTAAGTTACAGCTGATTGAAAATACATTTTGGTTTCATGCAGGCTGTGTCAATCTAGGGCTGTATAAACAGAAACAAATGTTAACACCTAAATAGTAATGAATCGAGCAATGAAACTTCAGAGGTATGATCTATACACAAAAACTGCTTTATTAAGCTAAGGTTGTTTTTTTGACTATGGTGTCCCTTAAATGCTTCTCAAACACACAGACACACACACACACACACACACACACAATCTCACTCATTTAAAACACACACCATGAAAGATCCACTGACACACTCTCAATGACAGAAACACAATGCCTGAAACTGAAACACTTACTGTCAGACACACTGACAGAAACTATCAATGGCAGACACAATCTCACTGATTTGAAAAACTCATCAGACACACTCACTAACAAACAAACCCACATATACACTGGCACACTATGAATTTAAACATTCACTGACACACTCTCAATGACAAAATACAATGACACACATTCTCAATGACAGACACTCTCACTGATTTGAAACACTTACTGACAGATACACTCTCACACACACACACTGAAAGACACGTTCACACATTTACACTTTCTTGCATACACACACTTCACAAATGTATTTTATTTTTTAGGTCTATCCAGCACTCCCAACCTTTAGTAGCATTGATGTCGGTCCTCTCCCTGGGGTCCAGTTGGGATCTTCTCCCTGGGGTCCAGTGGGGATCTTCTCCCTGGGGTCCAGTGGGGATCTTCTCCCTGGGGTCCAGTGGGGATTTTCTCCTTTGGGTCCAGTGGGGAATAAATCTCCCTGCAGTCTTCCGGGTCCTTACTGCTCCCTCGCTTGCCCTCTGTAATGATGCTGGGGCTGGAGTTATGTTATATTCCTTCTCTTGGCAATACTATAGAGAGCGCAGTGAGAAACTGGAAACACATCAGCGCTCCCTCACCGCTGCCTGCTCTCTCTTCGGCAGAGTAGGCACCTGCCATCCTGGGTAAGCCCGCTTTGTGGGTGCCCTAAAATGGCCTGCCTGCCACCTCCTGGGCTCCCTGTGACAAGGTATGAATTTGTGCAAAAACTGTTTTCTGCAAATTTGTACCCTGTGTGCACACCCTCAAAAAAGTAAATACTGAGCTACGTTTAGTTTTTATAAGGTTATGTTTTGATAAGTCCCATGGCCAAATATATTAGATGCTCTTTTTAACTTGTAAAATTGACAAAGTGATTTTCTCTGCCTATGTTGCCTTTGAGAGAACATGGCACACTAAGAAAGAAAATTGCACCTATGACAGCATACATTTTTAACAAGTTTTTTAAATGTAGTATTTTGACTAATTTGGTGTAGCCACTTCGTAAAACAGGGAAAGGACAAGGTCAGGCTAATCAAGAAGTCAGAGTAATCGGTAAAACAAGCCAACAAGTCAGTACAGGCAGCTAACAAAGAGTAGTCAGGAAAAAACCGAGGTCAGAAATCCAGAAAAATCTAACTGACAAAGTTCCATACAGAATCGTTCAATAGTTCAGCTCTGTATGGTAGACTTTGTAACAGTTTGTTATGCAAAGGGCAGGTAGAGATGGGCAGGAAGGGCAGTAATAACTGGAGTCCTTTCGGACTCCTTTCTTGTAGCAAACACGGCACTTTCTCTGGGGTGACTTTTTACAGGGTGTGGGGGGGATTCGGGAAGGAAAGTGTTTGCCAAAAAGTCTTTGAACATCATCTGATTCCAAAGAGGGAGGATTGGGGGCATGCGTAAATAAAATATCAGACAAAATTTTCAACATAAAATCTAGAAATGGGTATGATCTGCCTTTGGCTTCTTTTTTGTAAAGCACATAGGAATTGAACATTGCAATCTGGCTTAGGTAGATTGCAATTTTCTTGTACCAGGTCCTACTTTTTCTGTTCACCAGATAAGGCTGTATACATTGGTCAGCCAAGTGTACTCCCTCCATATACTTGTTGTAGTCTACAATACATTTTGGTTTTTCTAGCTGCTCAGTTCCTCCTCTCACAGATACTGGCACTGTACGTTCGTCATGCATTGTAGACAACATGTATACATCCTTCATATCTGTGAACCGAAGGGCCAACATCTCATCCTTGCGCAGAGCTGAAGACGAGCCTCTACTGCGTCTGCCTCTTGTCAGAGTTTGAGGAAAACCTCTGCGATTTTTACGCACTGTGCCACAGGCTAGGGTTTCGAAACAAGATAAATTTTGAAATAAAGCAATACTGGTATAATAATTATCAACCCATAGCTTGTAACCCTTATTTAACAAGGGAAGGATCAGATCCCATACAATCTTGCCATTTGTACCCACAGAATCAGGGCATCCTGGTGGGTCAAGTTTGCTAACATTCCCTTGATAAATGCGAAATGCCCATATATAACCAGTGGTGGATTCGCATAATTTAAAAAGTTTGATACTGTATCGTGACCGCTTAGATGGAATATATTGCTTGAACAGTAGTGTACCTTTAAATTTCATTAGGGATTCATCAATACAAATGTTTTCGTTAGGGACATAATTTTGTGAAAATTTGTCTGACAGGAGTTGGATAAAGGGCCGAATTTTGTAGAGCCTGTCAAACAATGGGTCGTTTCTAGGGGGACTCAGTGTGTTGTCGTTAAAATGGAGGAAACGCAGCATTTGCTCGTAGCGATCCCTTTTCATAACCCCAGAGAAAAGAGGGGTAGCCAGGATGGGGTGCTTGCACCAATAGGACCTGATACTTGGCTTTTTGACAATACCCATCACTAGGGTTAGAGCCCAAAATTTTCTCATTTCTGCAACATCCGTGGGGTGCCACATGTTTCTTCTGTTGTAATTTGACCCCGGATTCGCAGAAAGATACTGGTTGGCAAACAAGTTTGTTTGCTCAACCATTAGCTCAAATATGTCGTTCGACATAAAAAGTTCAAAGTAATTTAGTGGCTCACAAGCATCCACTGTTACTGCGATGCCAGGTGTAGCCATGAATGGGGGTATTTCTGGGGCCATCAGATTTGGGGGTACCCAGTTGTGCTCTGGCGCTGTACTTCCTGACCATCCTCTTGTAGATGATGGTGGAGCACCATGACTAGAGAACTCATTAAGGGGATCAATGTCAGAAGCTGTATTAGTGTCACTGTCTTCCAGAGTGTCACCATCACAGTCTACCAAAATGGTGTACGACTCCTCCGCCGTATAGTAGCATGCCATTCTAATGGACTAATTCTACCTAAAAACTAAAATGGTAATTAAATGTATTGCCTACCTAACACTCACACTATTACCCCCCAAATTCCCACTTCCATCCACAAACCCCCCCAAAAATAAAAAAAATAATTGATCGCAGTTCAAACCGTTGCGACCAGCACTTAAAGGTTTTTTGTTTAATAGAAATAACCCCCACCCCCAAAATGTCAGCCTGGTCAGAGAGTCCTCTGTTCACTAATACAGTACCATACAGTGATCATGCAGCAGGGAATGGCATAGAAAAAAAATTAAAACTGCTGCGGTTGACACACAGGGTAAAACAAAATATGATTATTTTTTCCAATCCTAAAGAAAAAAAAAAAAAAAAAAAAGTGAAACAGTAATAGTACCAAGGTACTAAATACCATAATCAGGCTGATTACAGAAATTAATGCTGTGATCAGCCTTGTCAAATAAGGAGTCTGACATGAAAGTCCTGGACCACCATTTTAAATTCCCCTTTGTGATATTCAGGGGAAATGCTGACAGGAATTCTGTTTAAAGTACTTGACTAATCTGAACAGCTTGATTTACGTGAAGTGTCTTGCGAAATGCTGGGAATAACACTGTTAGCTAACCTGACCCCCACAGACACACACACGTCGAGAGGTGCGATAGGGCAGGACGTGTGAGAGACGCCATTAAAAAGACTTAAAACAGCCCTCACAGAGAACAAAGCGCGCGAGAATGGGGGGCGGCGCGTCCCCGAGAGACCCGCGCGTGCTCGCGCCATCAGCGCGCGCGTCACCGCCGCCACCACCGCAGCCGCATTGCGCGCCACCATCTCCCCCATTTCGTCGCCTCTTCACCAAGCGTTAGCGCGGCCGACCAATCACAGCTGGGCCAAGGCTGCGCGTCGTTCACAGGCTGAGGCGTGACGTAATGTCGCAAAACTGACGTGCCCTTGACGGCTGTTGAACTGGAGGAGGTGTGCGGTTTGCGGCACTTTATGAGAAGGGGGAGGGAGCGGGGGAATAGTTAGTAGCTCTTGACGTCACCAGAGAGCGAAGCATTGTAATGAGTGCGCTCGGAGAGGACTAGGTCCTGAGTAAAGAGCGTCACTGTGATATGGCTGACGGTAGGGACACCTACAGTTCAATAATATGAGGTTTTAACCCTACAGCTGTCATTGATTACAATTCACAAGATTCTCAGACTGAAACTAACTGCTAACATCACCAACACCCTCATACCAAGAATCCCCAGTCATCCCTCCTCTCCTTTTCACTAACATGCAGTGATGGTGGTGGGTAACCTGGGGTATTGTGGCTGCAGTGGGCTATAATTGATATAGGATGCCAAGTCAGAGATTTGGCTCACAGAGCATTAAGGGAGGCAAACAGGGCTATTCTGGCGAATACATAGTGATTTATTAATATCAGGATGTAGCAAAGTCCACATGACAAATTTTCAGACTCTCCTATATATTGGCATGGCTTGGGTATTGATTTAAAAGGAATTATATTCTGCTTCAATTCAGAGCTCAGTTAAAAAAAAAAAAAAATGATTTAAAAGGACACTCCAGGCATCTAAATAAGGTTGTTATGGTGCCTGGAAGCACTCTCATCTCGGAGTTAAACCGTTCTCGAACGGTCTAACCCCAAAGTTGCCTCCAGCAAATATACTCCCCCTCCCGGCGGCTTCTGAAATTTCAAATTCAGGAAGCGCGGAGTGGTGCCTTGGCAAAGGTGCGTTTCTTTCCAAGCTACTTTAATGAATGGGGAGTCACTGATTGGCTGGGAGCATTAGCTGACTGCTCTCAGCCAATCAGCAGCGGTATTCTGCACTTTCTGAATCTGAACATTCAGAAGCCTGATGCCACCTGAGGGGGAGTGGACATAGATGCTAGAGGCAACTCTCGTTGATTAAACTGTTAGAGAACAGTTTAATCCCTTGAGGTAAGATTGCTTCCAGGGGTCTACTGGCACCATAAGAACTTCATTTAGATTAAGTTGTTTTGGTGCCTGGAATGTCGCTTTAACCCCTTATGGACACATGACGTGTGACATGTCATGATTCCTTTTTATTCCAGAAGTTTGGTTCTTAAGGGGTTAAACACCTTAAGACAAAATAGCAGAACTGAAGTCATAGCTGACTTGAAGAATTTTCCACATCAATGCCATTTCATTTTTTATGTTAAACTTCCCTTTGAATCACCGACAGTCCACATGTTCGTAAATAACCCTGATAGTTCATCTCAGACAAAATGCCAAGAATTAACCCTGTGACAGCATGTGGGAAAAAAAAAATGTTTTGTGTACATTGCATGTATGCTGTAGTATTGATTCCAGAAACTTTGGATTGTGTAAAATTGTAGACTGACATAAAAATTATTCTGAGAATAAAGTTGGAAACATTACTTTTCTATTAAAGAACCACATCAAGCACCATGACCACTACAGTGCCAGGTGTACCCTAGCACACTCTCGAGTTACTTACCTGGGGTCCGCCAGGTGCTCACCACAGACTCCTATGCATTTGCAAACCTCTTCACTGAGTTACACTCAGTTATGGATGGAGGTGTTCACTGGCTAAGAACGCTCAGCTGATGCTTTCAGCCAATAAACCAGCTTTGCTTCAGTGAAGCCAGAGGAATCTCCTTGCCGGAGAGTCCAGGTATAGAGCAGCGGATGCCTGGTAAACCCCAGGTTAGTTAGCAAGCCATTCTCAAAATGGGCATTGCCACCCTTGTTGGAGGATGCAAGGGAAGGGTGACCAGAGGGCACTATAGTTTTAGGTATATAACTCTGTATTCCTAACACTGTAGAATCCCTTTAAAGCAAAGTAGGTACTACTACTATGTATTTTTACTCCGCTTATAAAAGCTTGACAAAGGATAAAGCCTAAGAACAGCTCGGCCTCCTTTGCCAAGTAAAATCTTCCCAGAACACTTACTTCTGCTCCAATCTTGCAAGGCTCGTTTTTGTCTTTCACCATTTATTGCTCATGCCCAGTACAATCTCAGTCTCCCTGAGTCTCGATCTTGTGCAGTGAGTGACGAGAGGGAGTTACTGGGCATGCGCAAGATTGGAATCGTGTGGGGGGAGAAGAAGGAGGTGAACAAACATCATTGCCAGGCTACTAAAGATGTTGCCATATTGGAACAAGATCCTGCGCCTGAAGTATTAAATGTACCTTTTTTCCAGCGCTGTACCAACCTCGCTGAAACTGGCACCGCCCCACACCAGCTCCGTTGCTGAAATCATCAAATTTGTTGATCTTTGCATTGGGAGGCTATTGCTGAACCAATCAGCATCTCCTCGTAGAGATGCATTAAATCAAGACTTCTTTGCGCATTACAGCCATGTCAAGTACATGATAGTGAAGCAGAGTCTGTGGAAAATGGCAACCTGCATTTATCTACTTTGGTTATATACTCATTATTTCATTGTACCTTACACAAATGATATTGACAACAATCCTATTTTTAGGTGGGAATATCTGCCAATAACCTGAATTTGATGACAAATTTAAATGCAAATGTATAGATTTCAATATTTTCTTTCCAGAGGATTTCATTTATCTCCCGTGCCAGCATAGAGTTTTATATTGTGGAGGTATCATTTGAGATATTATTCAGAGTAGCACTTGGTTATAACAGCTGTTGGATTTTTATTCTTTATACACAGACAGTGTAATTTTGTTTCATGACCAGTGCACTTTAAACATTGTTACAGTCCTTCATCTTATGCTAGGTTGGCACTTTAATGCAACAAAGGTAGGAGTTGCTATACTCACAATATAACTAGCCAGCTGTATCAGATCCTTACCTGGGAGTGTTACTTAGTTTTTCAGACAACATCCTGATTTAAGCAGGATCTGTAAGTAGAATTCATTTCTCTTCTTGTTTTAATTGGTTTCATGTTCAAAATTTAATTTTGAAATTATGTATCCTTTATTGGGTTGTCAACAGGTAAATCTCTAATTTTGGTAAATCTCTAGTTTTGGTACAGCTGCTGCACCCCTAATCCCTTGCCTAATCTGATGTGCTTTGGGTTTGATTTCATGTATAATCCCACAAGGGCTAACATTGATGGTAGATCTTATACAGGTTAGAAGATAGGTCATGTACACAGATGATTAAATAAAAGCTACTGTCGACATTTACCATTACGTGGCTCATGGCAAGCATTTAATGCTTCGGCATGCAAGATTTATTTGAGGATGTATTTATATAAATATGCCCTATCCTATAATTCCTATAACAGGCCATTAAAGGACCACTATAGTGCCAGGAAAACACACTCGTTTTCCTGGCACTATAGTGCCCTGAGGATGCCCCCACCCTCAGGGCCCCCCTCCCGCCGGGCTCTAGGGGGAGGAAGGGGTTAAACTTACCTCTTTCTCCAGCGTCGGTAGGGGAACTCTCCTCCTCCATAGCGACGTCATCGCTGAATGCACAGTGAGAAGCGCCTCTAGCGGCTATCAATGAGACAGCCACTAGAGGCTGGATTAACCCATTTATAAACATGTCTATAGAAGAAAGGGTTAATCCTAGCTGGACCTGGCACCCAGACCACTTCATTAAGCTGAAGTGGTCTGGGTGCCTATAGTGGTCCTTTAATGCATTGAATGAAAGGAAATATGTAAAAGGACTGTGTTAGAGCAACAACTTTTAATAATAACCATTTGGGCACACCATATTCTCCTTTTAGTTGGTTTCATATTACAAAAAATGACAATGAATACATATGTGTAATGATACACATTTTAAATTTCTGTATTAGAAGCTGAAGTGCAGTTATTTTACCACTGAGGTGTTTTGTAGGATTTTTTAAAATATACTTTTGGGTCAAGACAATTTTCTGATAAATTGGTCTGTAAAATATTACTGTAAGTGTGGGTGGATGTCAGCCACTGCTACAGTCACTGGTTATTTTGTTCTGATTCATATAGTGATGTCAGGAATTATAATCCCATATAACATGGCATTAGAAATCTTTTGATTCAGATTTGTAATTTCTGAATTACGATTTGGTTAATACTAACATTAACCCCTTAAGGACAGAGCTTCAGAAGCTTGTCTTTCACGTAATGACAACATAATTTTTTGCTGTTTGCGTTCAACTGCAATTTGCAATAATTAGTGCAGGTTAAGGAAAGTAATTAAAAATAAATTCATTTAGTTGTTCTGATTTACAGAATACATAATGTGTCTGGGATTTTAAGTTTATTTTTGGTAGTTACAGGTCACAAAGCACAAGGAGTAAAATAAACTTTTAATGTGGAGTGATTTTAGAATTTGGTATGTTTGTCTTGTAAGCTTAATAGCCATAAAAGAAAACAAAATTGCCACACAAAAGTATATATTTATATAAAGTAGATATCACAGGCTATTTACCTAAGCTTGTTTTGACACTTTCTACGTAGCCATTTCACCGCCAACCTCTGCTAAATATTGGAGTAAAATTGTGTTTTGTTTTTGGCACACAAACTTATAACAAAGAACTTCTTGTGTGTATTTTGTAAAGTTGGTGTGTGCTATTCCTGCACAAAGTTTTATTTTGTGTTCCGTTACATCTGCTGAGTAAAATGACACCCCCATTGTATGTTTTTGGCACTATTTCGTGAAGCTACATTGCCATATAGGAGACCTGTATTTTTCAGTACTCACAGTATAATTTTGAGAGATGGATTTAATGAGCCTATGCTTCCATTTGGTGTATTATAACAATTTGACTGTTCAAAAAAAAAAACCCACAAAGGTCTACCATTTGTAAAAGTAGACACTCCAGGGTATCTCATAAGGTGCATATTGTGCCTTAACCCCTTAAGGACTGGACTGTTTTTGCGATGTTGTACATTTGCGACCAGGCATATTTTTACACTTTTGTGGTGTTTGTGTTTGGCTGTAATTTTCCGCTTTCTCATTTACTGTTCCCATACAAATTATATATTGTTTTTTTCAGGACAAAGGGGGCTTTCTTTACATACCATTATTTATATAATCTCATGTATTTTAATTTAAAAAAATACAAAAATCTGATGAAAAATTGAAAAAAATACATGTTTTTTTGACTTTTACTTGAAAAATCTTTTACTCATCTACAAAAGCGAATGAAAAAAACTGCTAAATAGATTCCAAATTTTGTCCTGAGTTTAAAAATACCCAGTGTTTACGTGCTTTTTTGCTTTTTTTTGCATGTTATAGGGCTATAGGTACAAGTAGGATATTGCAGTTTCAAAACATAATTTTTTAAAATTTATCAATAGTGACATTGTAACACTATTATCTGTCATAAATCTCTGAATAACACCCCACATGTACATATTTTTTTTAAAGTAGACAACCCAGGGTATTCAATATGGGGTATGTCAGTCTTTTTTAGTAGCCACTTAGTCGAAAACACTGGCCAAAGTAAGCATTCATATTTGTTTGTGTGTGAAAAAAGTAAAAAAACTAAATTGAACGCTAATTTTGGCCAGTGTTTGTGACCAAGTGGTTACTAAAAAGACTGGACATACCCCATTTGCAATACCTTGGGTTGTCTTCTTTTGCAAATGGTATGCCATCATGGGGGTAATTCTCATTCCTGGGCTACCATACGCTCTCAAAGGCAGCGTAACCAACCTGGCCATTTTCAATGTAAAAATATTTGACCCATATATTTGACCTTGTAACTTTCAAAAATGCTATAAAACCTGTACATGGGGGGTACTGTTTTACTCGGGAGACATCGCTGAACACAAATATTAGTGTTTAAAAACTGGAAAGCGTATCACAACAATTATATCATCAGTAAAAGTGCTGTTTGTGTGTGAAAAATGCAAAAAAAGTAACTTTCGCTGACAATATCATCACTGTGATATGTTTTACTGTTTTGAATCACTAATATTTGTGTTCAGCGAAGTCTCCCGAGTAAAACAGTACCCCCCATGTACAGGTTTTAGGGTGTCGTAGAACGTTACAGGGTAAAATACAGTGCTAGCAAATTAAATTCTCTGGAATTTCGGCCTGGGTTGGCAGGCAGGTCCCTCAAATTGCAATCAATAAAATTACTGAATTATGTAAAAATATTACATAAATACGCACGTAGAATTTAAATATATATGCATATTTATATATTTGAAGTCTACGTGTATATTTATATAATTATTTATGTAATTTTGTATATGGACATATGTATATTTCTTATTATTTTTATTTATTTTTATATACATAGATATATATACAAATTCATTCTAAGTGTATTTTGATATAAATATATATATATTAATTTTAAAATACAGTTAGAATAAAATTTCATAGCTATAATTTTTTTTTAAATATTTTATTATTATTTTAAAAATTTTTTTTCATTTAATTTAAATTACTTATTATTTATATTTTTATAATAATATATATACAATATATATAGTTATTATATATATTATACACTATATATAGTGTGTAATTTAATTATAAGTGTATGTTTTATATTAATATAGGTACATATTAATATAAAAATACGCGAAAATATGACTTATTATATATATATGATATATAGACTTATATTATATAGGTATAATATATACGTATACATATCATATATATACATATATAATTATTTATTTATTTTTTATTAACAGTAACTTTATTTATTTTTTGATTTTACACTAGCAGGGAGACTGCCTGTCAGCACAGACAGTCCCCCTGCAGGCAGACACATGGACACCTATTGTGACCATGTGATCGCTGTGTTAAGTGATCACATGGCCACAGGGGTCCTAATCTACCGTGGGGAGACTGTCTGGGCTGCAGGCAGTCTCCCCACAACCGGAGCCACGCTGATCGCCGCCGGTGGAACGACGGCGATCAGGTAAGTAGCTCTGACCGTTAGGACGGTTCAGGACCGTCATCGGTCGGCAACGCAAAAATGCCGATGACGGTCCTGAACCGTCCTCGGTCCTTAAGGGGTTAACATGCCCCCATTTTTTCACCAATAGATGCCAAAGTATGTGGTAAAAAATAATTTTGTGCGTTTTTTACATATGGATTGCATTTTTGCTGGGCATTTTGTATATTTCACATGTGCCACTAAGTTCAAACCCCCCAAATTATGTTCAGCTAAGTCTTCTGAGTAAAATGACACCCCCATTGTATGTCTTTGGCACTATTTTGTGAAGCTACAGTGCCATATAGGAGACCTGTCCTTTTCAGTACTCACAGTATAATTTTGAGAGACGGATTTAATGAGCCTATGCTTCCATTTGGGGTATTATAACAGTTTGACTGTTCAAAAAAAAACCACAAAGTCCTACCATTTGTAAAAGTAGACACTCCAGGGTATTTTATAAGGTGCATATTGTGCCTTAACATGCCCCCATTTTTTCACCAATAGATGCCAAAGTATGTGGTAAAAAATAATTTTGTGCGTTTTTTACATATGGATTGCATTTTTGCTGGGCATTTTGTATATTTCACATGTGCCACTAAGTTCAAACTCCCTCAAATTATGTTCAGCTAAGTCTTCTGAGTAAAATGACACCCCCATTGTATGTCTTTGGCATTATTTCGTGAAGCTACAGTGCCATATAGGAGACCAAGCCATATCAGTTTTTACCGAACTTTGAATTTTGACGCTGGGCCTATGTGCAATTAACAAGCATCTTAGCAGGCTTTAAATTCAAACTACCCCACAAAGGCCTACCATTTCTTAAAGTAGACAACCCAGGGTATTTCAAAAGGTATATTCTAAACCTTAGTGTAGGATCATTTTTTTGTTAGTTTGTACCAAGTCTAGTTGCAATTAGCATTTTTTCTGCCTTTTTGACACACACTTGGAGATGTTACTGTATATTTTGCTATCCTTATGTGTGCTACGTCAGTATAACACCTAATATGTTGCTCAACTATGTCATCTACCCCCATGTGTACCTTTCTCAGGGTTATGTGGATGTTGAAGGGGCACATTGGAGACACACCACTTCCATATTTTTCAAAAGTGGATGCTGGGCCCAAGTCTCATTTTAGCAGCTCAGGACTGCAAATTACCTCTCAAAGGCCACATATATTTTTAAGTATAAGCAGCTCATCAATTCAAATTATGAACAAGTGCATACTATTTGCTGTGAAAAGGTGGAATAGTTGGGGTAAACTTATCCGGGGGTAGTACCCAGTCATCTGCGTCCCGGGCAAAGCTGTCATGGATTCCGAAACCAAAACACAGACAGGCCACAAAGAGAGAGAACACAGAGAGAGAAACTTGTAATACCGGTCCTTAGAATGGCCGGGCTATACAAGCAGAGAATTGTCAAGGTACAAGCCGAGGTCAAAGGAGTAAAGAGAAACGTAACAACGATAGGACAAGCCGAGGTCAAGGATCAAAGAAGACAGGATAAGCGGAAGACAAAGCCAAGATTCGGTAACCAGTCAGACAGATGACTAAAAATCACACCCCAAAACTAGTCTACTTATTCGGCCTGGGTATGAAAATTTTTAAAACAGTGGCCAATACATAGGCCGGGCTGAGAGGGGCAATCAGGGCAGTAATAGCTGGTCTCAGCTCTTATGCCCCTCTTGTAACACACCCTGCACCTTTTCTGGGGGTTTTGTTTTTAGGGGTTGGAGGAATCTTTAAGCAGAAGTGACCTGCCTCCATTCTTCTTCTAGGCTCCACTGATGTTCTCTTTGTGTGGCACTCAAGTAGCCCAGAAATTAGCTCAAACTGGAATGAAAGAAAAGTGCTTTTCAGCCCAGCATTTGCCTTTTTAAAAATGACAAAGGCATTGTGGATTGCCATCTGCATCAGATATATGCCCACTTTTTTATACCATGCCCTGGTCTTTCGCATGATCAAATACGGCTGCATCAGTTGATTGGACAGGTCAACGCCCCCCATATGCCGATTATATTGCCGTATGCAGATTGGCACTCGTTTACATTCCTCTCGGCCACGAACTGCGACCCTCCGAGTGTTTTCACCATGGATGGTGGTTAAGATGAAAACATCCTTTTTATCCCTGTACTTGAGTACCAGCAGTTCATTCTGGCAGAGAGCTGCTGTTTCCCCCCTTTTCATTTTTTTGTTCGCAAGAGCCTTTGGGAAACCTGTGCGACTCTTCCAAATAGTGCCACAGGCCACGGTCTCGAAGCAGTACAACATTTTTAACAGTGGGATGCTATTATAAAAGTTATCGATGTATCAATGATAACCTTTATTAAGTAGTGGCATTATTAAGTCCCAGAAAATGTTCCCACTTGTCCCTACTATATCTGGGCAACCTGGGGGATCAAGGTGGCTATCCCTTCCTTCGAATACACAGTAGGTGTATACATAGCCACTGCCACTTTCACACAGTTTATAAAATTTGATCCCATATCGGGATCTTTTGGATGGGATATATTGTCTAAACCCCAACAATCTTCCCTTAAACTTCATGAGGGACTCGTCAATGGAAATGTTTTTATTGGGGGTATATATAGTGGCAAATTTACTGTTAAGGTGGGCAATTAAAGGGCGTATTTTATAAAGAAGATCATACTGCGGATCACCTTTTGGAGGGCACTTGTTATTGTCACTAAAGTGCATAAATCGCAGTATGTCTTCATATCTTTCCCTCGTCATTGTCTCGGCAAAAATGGGGGTATTGCAAATAGGATGTTTAGACCAATACATCCTAATTGTGGGCTTTTTAATTAGCCCCATTAACATGGTCAGTGCCCAGAATTGTTTCAATTCTGGCACACTGATTGGGTTCCATCTCTCTTTCCTGGAGATAAGAGAGTCTGGATTGCGTGCCAGATACTGCTCCGCATAGAGATTAGTCTGGGTGACTATCTCCCAAAAAATCTCATCCCCCAAGAACAGCTGCATAACATCCAGCGCACTATAGCCAGACAGGTCAGCCTGTATGACAGGATTGGCTGTAAACACTGGGATGTCTGGGGAAAAACTATTAGGGGGTACCCAGTCATCTGCGCCATGTTCAGCATTAGGGGAATTGTCGATTTCCCCTGATGGTCCTGCAGTAACTGGCACATAGTCCCTGTCCCCTGCGTCACTCTCTGAGGCAGTGTCTGTCGCCTCTGAGTCAGTCGCTAACAGGGCATAAGCCTCCTCTGCACTATACTTCCTGAACATTGTTAAATACAGTTAACACAGCTAACAAAACTTTAACTAAATAACAAAACTTTAAAAAAAAAAAAATTTTATTCCCTAATTCCCACTAAATTCCACCCACCCAAGTAACTAAATCATAAACTAATAAAATCAAATAATAAAATTTAACCCCTTAGGGTTACAAAAAACATAAAATTTAACCCTTAAAAGTAAAAAAAAAAAAAAAATAGATCACAGTAAAGTACTGTGACCTGTATATTGATCACTGCTAGCAGTGATCAAGCAGCAGGGAAAGGGTTAAATTTTTTTTTTTTTTTTTTTAATAAAGGGGAAAGGGATTAGGAACCTTTTATAGATATTCACTATTCTTCTGGGACATAATGTTGCAACGATCCGTCTCTCTCCACTTCACAAACCCACACGAGGTGGAGGGAGGCGGATCAGATATCCCAGCAGCATTGTGACCGCTGTGACTGGTTGTCACAGCAATCACATGGGCTGGGATATCGGGATTTGCTGTTGCTGGTCTGCCCCTAACTCTGAGGCACCCAGCAACAACGTTAACCCCGCGATCGCCGGCACCGCGGCGATCGGGGGTTAATTGTAACGCGTGACGGACAAGGTCCGTCACTCATCATTAATGCTTTCCCCTGAGTGACGGACCTCGTCCGTCACTCGTCATTAAGGGGTTAAATACACTATTAAAAATCCTGTTTACATTTTTTTATTTTTTATCTTTATTGAGATAAAAAAAATGCCATTACAGAATAGAAGTCAACAGTCATAGTTGTCTGGAGCATATATGAGATATGCAAAAATGAACGTATATATGCAGATCAGGATAGTGAAACAGGAGCCATATACATATTACAATACGGATTAGATTACTATTGGTTAGTTAGTCAAACAAAGTCTCGACCGTTGTGTTTTATTTGTGCATTTTCAACTATATTTGTATAATCAGTGGCGTCACCTGGTGCATTTCTTTCTTTACAATTACTTTATGCCAGTGACGGACTGAGAACTTGGGGAAATCGGTCAAGGACCGAGGGCCAGAGGCTTTGGGGGGCCCGCCCATGGTACAGTGCAGTAATAGCTGAGCTGGAGAGTTCAGCAAGTTCCCCAGCCAGCCTGCATTCAGTAAGGGGCCCGCACAGCCTTCTGCATGTGGAGCTGCATATAAGGCCAGTTGTGGCTGCCATTAAACTGTTCCTCTTCACCCTCAACATAGAGCCTTGTCTCATGTGTGGAGGGGACAGCTATATTCCCTCTGGGGATTGCTATAATCACTATACTCCCTTGGATTATAACACTTGCTCTTGTAAGAGCATCCTACTTTACTCTCTGGACTAAGAGAGGTCTACTCACTGGAAGCTGGATTCTGATCTTGGGTCCAGGGTAGATGGAGGACAGTGATACCCCAACCAAGCTGTAGCGCAGGCTGTGGGGTTTACGGTGGTTATGGTGTCTGGTGGAGAGCTTAGGAGTACTCAATGTTTCTAGGAAGCAGCGTTTGGCGGAGGCACTCCATTGGGGTGCCAGGCGATCCGCCACATCTGGTTGGCAGCGGTGGGATGGCTTCCTAGTGAGTATAGAAGCGTCCTGGAGACACTGTTTGGATTTACAAATTGAGGGCAATGCAAGTATTCGTACAGCTACCCTGTCTACAGCGGTATGGAACCAGCTAGTCCCAGGACAGCGTTCGCATATGAAGAGGAGGATGACCCGGACTGGAGGGATGCAGTCCGGAAAGACGTCTGGTATGAGGCCCTGGAGAGTGTACAGCATCAGTGGGGCTAATGCCTCTCCTGGGAGAGCAGCCCCTGGATGAGTGGGTGACGGAACTCGAGAGTCTGGTATGGAAAGAACTTTGGCTGGACGACGCCTACCAGGCACTATGGTGGGACACGGTTCGGCATGCCTCCTGGATGGCTGAGAACGACAGGCCCAAGGGTGATGATTACAAAGGCCCTGGCCTGTTGCGGGAGGGCTTCGCAGAACCGGAATTCGGAAGTTCAGGAAAGTCCCGATTCTGGGACATCTATGATTACAGGGAGGGCATGCATGATTGCCTACCGCTAACGAGGTGAGGCATCCTGACATCTTTGGTGACAATGCAGTGGCAGCTGGAGCAGGATTACCTACACCTGCTCAGCTTAATTCGGCCCCAATATACCCTGCAGGAGAGCTGGGTCCCCTACAGTGGGGGAGACCTGGCAGAGGTACCCCCTGCTTCACTACCAGATCCAGAAGTAGGGGACCTCATCAACTGGGCCTGGGAAGACCCCCAGTCGGCAGGTGAAGATGGGACAAAGGTCTCTCCACTGGCCCTACAGGGATGATGGGCAGCCAGCCCAGTTCCCCAACCACAGCCAGAGCTACTGGGAGTAGGAACAGTTGGTCCTTCTCCTCAGCGGCAGCTTACCTTACAGGGAGAGGAGACTCCCTAGCGGCAGCCGGAGATACCAGAGGATGAGACAGCTGGTCCCTCTTCTCAATTACACTGGTCCTGGGGGAACACCAACTGGCAGGTGCTGATGGGACAGAGGTCTCTCCACCGGCCCTACACTGATGCTGGGCAGCCGGCCTAGATCCCCAACCGCCGCTGGAAGTACCAGGAGGTAAGAGCATCCTTGCAAGAGCATCCTGCTTTACTCTCTGGAGTAGGAGAGGTCTACCTTCTGGAAGCTAGATCCTGGTCTTGGGTCCGGGGCTGGTGGTGGACAGCGGGACCCCAACCAAGCTGTAACGCTGGCTGTGGGGTTTATGGTGGTTATGGTGTCTGGTGGAGTTCTTAGGAGTACTCTGTATTGCTAGGAAGCAGCGATTGGCAGAGGCACTCCACCACACCCTCCTAGGCTGCCCCTCAGTGTGCTGTCTCAGTGAACTCAGGCTCACTGAGCTGCCTGTAACACTGCTCAGGGCAGCTCTGTGCAGCTAATTCTGCAGGAAGTGACATCATCAGTCACAGTCCAGCGTGAGCTGTGCGGAGCTGCCTGAGCAGAGTTACAGGCAGCATGTCAAGAACCTGTGCCCTGGGACGGTGAGGGACTTTCAGAAGAGGATTCTGGATGGACCACCAGGGAGGTAAGACTTAGGGAGGGAGGATTTATTTTTTTAAATCATTTTTAATTTTATAGTCTCCCCCACTACTGCCCCATCACAGCCCTTATACCCCCAAACCCCCTATACCTTTACACTAACTACAACTCATATCATCCTAAGCTACCCTCTGCAGCCACTACCCACTGTTCTCCCCTACAGCCACTATCCCCCTGCTCCTTCTGCAGCCCCTACACCCTGCTCCTTCTGCAGCTCCTACCTCCCTGCTCCCTCTGCAGCCCCCTGCTTCCTCTGCAGCCCCTACACGCTGCACCCTCTGCAGCCCCTACCCCCTGCAGCTCCTACCCCTTGCCCCCTCTGCAGCCCCTACCCCCTGCTCTCCCTGCAACCCCTGCTCCTTTGCAGCCCCTACACCATGGTCCTTCTGCAGCCACTGCTCTTTTTCAGCCCCTATCCCCCTGCTCCCTCTGCAGTCCCTACCCCCCTGCTCCCTTTGCAGCCCCTAGCAGTCCCTACACCCTCTGCAGTCCATGCCCCCTTGCTCCCTCTGTAGCCACTAGCCCCCTGCTCTCTGCAGCCCCTGCAGCTCCTACCCCCTTACAGCCCCTACCCTCTGCAGTCCCTACCCCCTTACACCCTCTGTAGCCCCTACTGCCCTGCTCTCTTTGCAGCCCTAACCCCCGGCAGCTCCTCCTCCCTTCAGCCCCTACCCCCTTGCTCCCTCTGCAGCACCTACCATTCTGTCACCCATGTCCCTCTGCAGTCCCTACCCCCTGATCCCTTTGCAGCCCCTAGCCCCTTGCAGCACCTACACCCTCTGCAGTCCATGTCCCCTTGCAGCCACTAGCCCCCTGCTCTCTGAAGCTCCTACCCCCTTGCAGCCCCTACCTCTGCAGTCCCTACCCCCTTGCACCCTCTGCAGCCCCTACTGTCCTGCGCTCTTTGCAGCCCTTAACCCCCTGCAGCTCCTCTCCCCTTGCAGCCCCTACCCCCTGCAATCCCTACTCCCTTGCTCCCTCTGCAGCCCCTATCATTCTGTCATCCATGCCCCCTGCTCCCTCTGCAGCCCCTTCACCCTCTATAGCTCCTAGCCCTCTGTCGCCCATGTTCCCCTGCAGCCCCTACCCCCCCTCCCCCGCATCCTCAATAGCCCCGGCGCCCACTACAGCCCCTGCCCCTAGGCATTTACTACAGCCCCTATACCCCATGCACCCACTACAGCCCATGCTCCCAGGCACCCTATACAGCCCCTACCCCATGCACCCACTACAGCCCCTATACCAACTTGCATTTACTACAGCTCCTATGTCCCCCTGCAAAGACAACAATGCCTATTACCTCCTGCACCCACTAAAGCCCTATCCCTCCTCGGCACCCACTAAAGCCTCTACTTCCCCTGCATCTACTAAAGCACTATTTACACTCCTATTTCCCCCTGCAATCACAACAGTTCCTCTGCATCCTCTACAGCATGTCCCACCTCTTCACCCACTACAGCCTCTATTCCCGCACCCTTTACAACCCCTACCCCTGTCACCCTTTACAGCCCCTTCCCCCTGCACTCACTGAAGCCACTTCCTACCGGTGCCCTCTGCAGTACCTTCCACTTTGCATACACAAGCATAAAGGGACACTATAGTTACCAGAACAACTATAGCTTAATGTAGTTGTTCTGGTGAGTATAGCCTGCCCCTGCAGGGTTTTTGCTGTACACACTGCCTTTTCATAGAAAAGGAAGTGTTTACATTGCTGTCTAGGTGCTTACTGTGTTTACATTGCTGCCTAGGTGCTTACTGTGTCAGTGTTGCAAAATGTACAGCACTGACATTCAGTGTCTCCATGCAGAGCATTTGTCATAGAGAACCACTGATTCAATGCATCTCTATGAGGAGATGATGATTGGCACAGCGTAGCATTTTGCCGCGCATGCACAATAGCCTTCCAGTGCTTTCCTATATTGAAGCATTGGATTGGCTGAGATCATCTAAATGGATGTACTCCGCCAAGGAGGCGCAACAGGGGCGGTGCAGCCACAAGTTTGGTCAGTGCTAGAAAAAAGGTGAGTAAATTGCCTTTTTAAGGGGGCCTATAAACCTATAGTGTCAGGAATACATCTTTGTATTCCTAACACTATAGTGTTCCTTTAAGGTAGCTCGTAACATTTAACAGTTGATTTGTAATTTAAGACGCGAAATTTGGAGGCCTGCATACCTCATACAAACACATTGCCAAAATCCACAAATGACCCCTTATACATATTGCCATGCTACACAAACACACGTGAAACAAATACAACCCTATTTACAAAACCAAAAATCTGTATTCAGAAATACTCTGAATCCACATATCCTGACACTACACGCAAAGACATACATATATTCACTTACAGCAGGGCTCACACACAGAAGTGAATACACACACAGAAACATACATTCACTTTACATGTACATACAATCAAATACATGGTACACCTACACCAGCATATATATCGGTCTGCTGGGGGCCCAGGTGCTAATTTTGAGTGGGGGTCCAGGCCATTGTCAGTCCGTCCCTGCTTTATGCTCTTGCAGCCATGGCTGTCGCAAAAGCATGCGATTGGCTACGGCCCGCGGGAGAAGAAACTGTCTTGAGGCTGATCGCAGGACACAGAAGCCTCCAGATGCACCCTGGTGCGGTCCGCATCCCCTTGTGACGTCACTGTATATAATGGGTTTATCAATGTAGAAGAAAACAATCAATGTAGAGGTTAATAAGTAAGCAAAAAGAGAGTTTGTGCTAAGTCAAAGGAATTTGTTGACCACTGAGAAATAACACATATTTTTAGAGTGTTACGTGTTACGTTGGTGGTCTCGCACGTCCTAGGATAAGCCCTAGGAGTTCCGTGAAAACTGCCAGCCAAGAGGAATTGGAGTATTTTAATAAAGAATAAAATGGGAAATAGAGAGTGAAGAGCACAGGTTATGGGATAATACATATAATGCTCATAAGAGTATTATATAAAGTGGTTCTTAAATTAATGAATTCAGAAGCAAGTAATGTAGAGGCATGTGTTAAATTTGTGATGAAGTTCAAAATCTTCGTCTGCTCTACAAGAACGCTATCCATGGGTCCCAAATAGCCTTAAAAAGAGTATCTGTTTGATGGAGATTTGACTGATGGTGCTGTGGGCTTTTTCCAACTTAAAGGAATTCATAAATTGGCTGCTGTCAGTAGAAGAATCAGCAGCTTTGTTGTGGGTTGGATAGTGGTGTTTGAAATGGGTAAAACAGTGGTTTTGGGTCAAGTGGGAGTTGGATGCCTGTAATGATATTAATTAATTTAGTAACATTTTCCCAGTATTTGTGAATCAGGCAGGTCCACCATATACAGTGCCTTGCAAAAATATTCACCCCCTCCCCCCCCTTGGCTTTTTACCTATTTTGTTACATTACAGCCTTAAGTTCAATGTTTTATTAATCTGAATTGTATGTGATGGATCAGAACACAATAGTCTAAGTTGGTGAAGTGAAATGAGAAAAATATATACATACAACTATTTTTTAGAAATAGAAAACAGAAAATTGGCATGTGCATATGTATTCACCCCCTTTATTATGAAGCCCATAAAAAGCTCTGGTGCAACCAATTACCTTCAGAAGTCACACAATTAGTGAAATGATGTCCACCTGTGTGCAATCTAAGTGTCACATGATCTGTCATTATATATACACACCTTTTTTGAAAGGCCCCAGAGGCTGCAACATCTAAGCAAGAGGCACCACTAACCAAACACTGCCATGAAGACCAATGAACTCTCCAAACAAGTAAGGGACAATGTTGTTGAGAAGTACAAGTCAGGGTTAAGCTATAAAAAAAATACCCAAATCTTTGATGATCCCCAGGAGCACCATCAAATCTATCATAACCAAATGGAAAGAACATGGCACAACAGCAAACCTGCCAAGAGACGGCCGCCCACCAAAACTCACGGACCGGGCAAGGAGGGCATTAATCAGAGAGGCAGCACAGAGACCTACGGTAACCCTGGAGGAGCTGCAGAGTTCCACAGCAGAGACTGGAGTATCTGTACATAGGACAACAATAAGCCGTACGCTCCATAGAGTTGGGCTTTATGGCAGAGTGGCCAGAAGAAAGTCATTACCTTCAGCAAAAAACAAAATGGCACGTTTTAAATTTGCGAAAAGGCATGTCGGAGACTCCCAAAATGTATGGAGGACGCTGCTTGTAACGAATCACCTGGCACCCCGACTGGGTACCTCCGTTAAAGGATGCTCCTAGCGCTTCCTGAGGACTCCAAGCACTGCAGCAGACACCACAGCCACCGAACCGGAGAAGCATACGAATGCTCTCAAGCATATAAATGCTGTAAACGGCTGAACAGGAAAAGCATACAATCAGCTTACACTCCTGGCAATCAGCATATAATCCAATTCCCCCAATAACGAGACAACACTTCGTTTTGAGGTCAAGCAGAACTGACTGTACTGGCACATACAGCCTCTTTTATTCACAATCCACAAACATAGTACTGCCCACAGGGTTTTGAAATACAACCAATCAATCCGTACAATACACACAGACACTCCCACACAAAATCCTCCCCTCTGCCTGTGATATGACTACTGAACACAATGGTTAATATGATTATCACAGGCAGAGAAATACAGTATTATAAAACATACCACAGGGACCCCAAAACATGCAATAACCCCATCTGGGTGAACCACATATCCAAAATTCACCCAGATCCGTTCAGTAGTTTGGAAGATACAGTTTAATACAGATTCCGCAGAACATATACAGGCTATAAGAAAAATAATTACTGTATAATGTGTCCCCTGTTGTATAGTTTAAAACTACTGCACGATGTCTTTGTGCACCAAATACCGGCGAGATGGCACCGTGTAGAAAACTCCAAACAGTGTCTGTGAGTTAAAATGGCCGCCATCCATTGTTCTCACCATGTGCCTCTGATACATGAAATGGTGGCCACCCAATAACTCCACAGTATGTCCCCAGATGGTTCTTAAAGGGCCAGCAGCATCATAATAAAAATCTATTATGCCCAAATCAGTTCCTAGACAGGCAATACATCTCAGGGCCATAGTTGCAGGGCAGGAGGCTGGCAAACAGTATTCTCCAATGCCCAGTGGCGAGGCTGATTCCGCCACAGTGCTCTTGTCTGATGAGACTAAAATTGAACCTTTCGGCCATCAAATAAAAGGCTATGTCTGCCGCAAACCCATCACATCACCCAAAGTACACAATCCCCACAGTGAAACATGGTGTTGGCAGCATCATGCTGTGGGGATGTATTTCAGCAACTGGGAAACTGGTCAGAGTTGAGGTAAAGATGGATGGTGCTAAATACACAGATACTCTTGAGCAAAGCCTGTACCACTCTGTGCATGATTTGAGACTAGGACGGAGGTTCACCTTCCAGCAGGACAATGACCCCTAACACACTGCTAAAGCAAGTCTTGAGTGGTTTAAGGGGAAACATGTAAATGGCACTATAGGTTATGAGGCAACAAAAACTTTAAAAATTGCCAAGGGGGGGGGGGGAGGGGGTTGAATACTTTTGCAAGGCACTGTAACTAGGGGGGGAAATAATACATAAGGTATGGATAGGCTGATCCTTATTTAACATTTCAATTCTTAACTTACTTACTTTTATGTTCCTATTTCAGTGATTTCATTTGGAGTGAAGATGAGCATGCTTGTGTTTTTTTTGTGTTTATTCTTGACATCCTCTGCATCCCGTGGACCTGATTCCTTCATCCATCCAAGTGAAGGAAACTCTGAACATCATGAACACAATTATGATGAAAAGATGTTCCTCGGAGGAGAGGTACTTGCAAGAATGACATACTCTTTTTCTACCAAATGTTTAAGTGACTGTAAACTTTCTTATTCACTTTCTGTTTCTTTATTCGAACCAAACTGTCCAGTGTCAAATGGACACTCTGGAACTGTAAAACACTTTATCTTGCTGAAATGCTTTATGTGTAAAGAGTGTGTCCTCTTTATTTATTTTTTTACAAAACGGATAGATTTCAATAGAAACAGGCACTTTTATAAATTAACCTTATTACACCCCCTTGGGTGTTAGTCAAACAACAGGTCCTGCTTCTTCCTTGCTTGGTTAGCTTAGTGCAGGGGTCCTCAAACTCCGGCCCCCCCAGATGTTGCTGAACTACAACTCCCATGATTCTCTGGCTATCTATGTAATTCAAAGAATCATGGGAGTTGTAGTTCAGCAACATCTGGGGGGCCGGAGCTTGAGGATCCCTGGCTTAGTGGAACTAAGCTCAAGAAGCAGCAAGTGCCCAGAGCACCTGCCTTACAAAGACTTCTGTTTGAGCTGCATTGGAGCTCATTGAGTCTGTGATTGGACATTCACAGAAAGTATGGGCAAGAATGGGATAGCTTGCAAAGTTTTCAGACAAGATATCTGCTGCTAGTGCAAGCTGGTATTAGATCTATCCCTATGAAAGAAAAGGCATAATTAAAAGCATTACTGCCCACTCCCATCTCCTACTTTCCTCCTGCTTTCCTTCCTATTCTCTTTATCCTATCTTTTCACTCCTACATACTTCACTTTACTTTACCCCTACTTACTCCAAGGCTTGGACTGTTGCCAATTCTATTACCTTAGTGCAGAACACCCGCCTGTTAAACCAATAAAGCACCAGTTGCAGGCTCTATCGAGCACTGAGTGGCCTAGGACTCACCGTTTCTATTTATTTTCCTTTTTATGTCTTCATTGTTAAAATACATATTGTAGAAGGCAATTAAACTTACCTATCGTTCTTCTAGTTATTTATGCATACAGTGGGACCTGTATGTCCATTTTTCTAGCATTGAAGGACCTGCGAGTCCTATATTGTTTTTGCAGCAATTTTTAAAAATTAATTTCAATAAAAAGAAATTACAGAAACATTTATTAAAAGCATTCATCTTTTTATTTGGGGTATATACATTGGGGTTTTTTGGGGTATAACTACTAAACAGTGATTTTATGTATTTCTTTTATTTTGGCAGTGGAGTGTCCCTTTAAGACTCGAGTGGCTTATAGTGGATAACCATCTGTATGAAATATGCTTAAATATAAATATAAAAAAATATTTTAATATAAAAAATATTTTATATAAAAAATGTCAACAAAATCTTAAAAAAAAAAAAAAATGTTGATTTAGCTCTCACATCATGTCAGTATTTAAAAAGATACTTCGGCCGATCACATAGAGTACTAACAAAGTAAGGGCACACACAAAGTGATTTTGTAAAAAGGTTTACTTAGAGACAAATATAGACAAATACAAACAATGTTACACTGGAAAAGTCACTTAGCTTAAGTTTGAAGTTTATTAGGAACATGGAAAAGACTTCTTTGTTGCATTTTTTAAATTTTAGATTAGTTATCTATGTAATGTGCAACAATTTAGTAATTGTTACCGTATAGTTTCCCTTTAAGTTAATGATATGCCGCAAATATCATACAGGCATATATGATATCATGTGCTGCAAAAGATAATACAGGCATAGAAGCATGTAAGATGTAGAAACACATCAGATTCCAGAGACTTAACCTGTAAACACTGCTTACTCTAAAGCTATGTGCTCTGTCATAGAGCTCTAAATTCATGTTATGTCATGGAAAATGTTCAGATCTGGAAGTCAGCTGTTATTTTGACTCAATTAAGACATCACACCAATACACCAAAAGTCTAACATGAATGTTTTTGGGTTCACGAATTAGTGAAGTGACTGGTTTATCAAACATAAAACCCATATGTCTTTTGTTAAATAAATGTATTTGAGTTGCTACCAAAGAATCACATGCTTATGGCAATAGTTCCAATACAATCGTATTTTTGATTTTCAAAAGGAAGAAGCAGAGGATTTCAGTGACCTTAGTCTAGAAGAACAGTTAAAAAGGCTAAAATCCATTATTCGAAAGATTGATCAGAGTGGAGATGGATATCTCACAGAAGGTAAATTACAGATATGGTGTAAAAAATAATAATCAATAAAAGTTGTCCCACCACTCACCAACTGCTGCAACTATTTTAGGGTAATTTTTTTCACACTAAAGCGCACAAACAAGTATATTTTACCAGTAAAATCAAAACAATATATGTGTTTTCTAATCATAATCAAGCCAGATCTATGTTTTTTACATATATTTTATTTTAAACAGTCAAATAGGCTAAGAATAAAACCAACAATATGCATAATGCAGAAACTGCTGTTAACTCGATCATTTAGTGCAAGGTGCCCTTTCATCAGTGATTAGGTCAATGCCCCATGTGTGAGAAGCTGCTATACCAGCTGTCTCTTCCAATGATATGAGAGATCCTGTAAATGTTTGTGAGGATTTGTACAGCACGGTGAAATATCATTTTCCGTGGGTTTTTGTCTTTTTGTTGTTGTCTTTTTTTCAAACCATAGGAACAAAAAAAAACAAAACATTCAGGGTTTATTTAGGAGAAACAAAATTAATAAGAATACAATACTCCAAAGTAAGATACATCGTTTGTATCAATATAAAATACATAATATGCATGAAAAGGAAGCAACCTATTGAGTATGTATATATTAACCCCTTAAGGACACAACTTCTTGAATAAAAGGGAATCATGACAGAATATTTACGTCATGTGTCCTTAATGGGTTAAGTTAAATCTGTAACTAAGTCTACATCCCATCTCTTGATGAGATCTTCCTTCAGCAAATAACCAAACTTACATTACTACAATGTGAAAAAACAAACAAACTAAATATTTAGAAACAGGAGTGGTGTATTAAATGGCAATAGTGGTATAGACATGTAGCTAGTATGTTTTAGGAATGGATGCAGAGGGAAGGTAGCAGCAGGGCCGGCGCATCCGTCAGGCAGCACAGGCGGCCGCCTTAGGGAGCAAAAGCAGGGGTGGGTGCAAAAGCGGGGGGGAGTGGGGCGCAAAAGCGGGGGGGAGGTGGGGCGCAAAAATTCCAGTCCCCTGCCTCTGGCTGGGGACTCAGATTTTTCAACTTACCTCTCTCTTCCTGTAACCAGTGGAGTCAGCCGGCCCTCCTGATGATGTCAGGAGGAGGGGGCGTGACTTCCACTGTTTTTCTCCCAGACCGCTGGGGAGTCTGGGAGAAGAGCCCCTATGTCCCCACTACATTTCCTAACCCCCCAATTACAGCCCATACCCTCCACTACAGCCCCTACTACGCCCCCTAACGTTTTAACTAACTAAAGCCACTACAACCCACCAGGAGTGCCCTTACTGAGATTAGGTTCCAGATCCGCCCCTGTTCTGTATGTCTCTATCTGTATGACTATATGACTGGATATGTATGCATTTGTATGCCTGTGTCTGTATGTGTATATGACAGTGTGTAGTGTCTGAATGTCTCTCTGTGTGTCTATATGTCTGTGTTTGTTTGACATTGTACCTGTATGTGTAGATTGTATGACTGTGTTTGTTTGATTGTGTGCCTGCATATATCTGTGACTGTGTGCCTGAATAATTCTGTGTGCCTGTATGGTTGTATATTGCTATATATATGTGGCATGGGAGGAAAAAGACACACAATGGGCCCTGGGTGGAGGAACACAAAACTACCTGGGGGGCAATAACCACAGAATGGGGCTGGAGGGAAAGAAAGAGACACACAAAGGGGTTGGGGGAAAGAAAGAGACACACACAGGGGCTCAGGAAAAAAAGAGATACACAAGGTGGGGGGGGTTGTAAGAGACATACGGGTGAAGATGCATTTAAGACATAGTAAAGGGGGGGATAAAAAAAGCTAAAGAGAATAAGAAATTCAAAATGGGGTGTGGGGGGGAACGACTACGAGACACACAGATAAAGATTCTTTTTTAAAGGGGGAGGTGAGGCGACAAAATGCATCTTTGCCTGTGTAGCCAAAATCCTTGCATCAGCCCTGGCAAGCAGCAGTGAGTTAGTGGGGTAGAGAAGATTGGGAAATCATAGAAAAGAGAGTGAGAGTGAAAGGGATAGGAAGAGGAAAAATCTGTTACATCAATTCCAAAAGGGATAGGAACTCTGAAAAACTATAGGACCCGCTAAATGTATTGTGGTGCACATATCCTGAATTCTAAGGACTCTTGAAGATAACAGTATTGGCCATGTAACCAAATCGAGGTGTATCTCTTTATACATTTTGCCAACAGATATAATTTTGGTATAGAATGTGTTTCTTTCACTCATGTAATATTTATACATACATTTATGATGTCCTGGTGCCCTGTAATATATAGTTTCTTACTTTCGAAAGTTGACTTTAAATTTGATTTGCAGTGACCTTCTTTATTTTTGCTATCCCTCAGAGGAGCTAAGTAAATGGATCCAAAAGTCATTCAGGCATTATATCCTAGAGGATACAAAAGAGTTATTTGCTGAATTTGATAAAGATAAAAATGGATATGTTTCCTGGGATGAGTACAATATTCAGATGTATGATCGTATCATTGACTATGATGAAGATGTGGTTCTTCAAGATGATGAGGAGGAATCTTTTCGACTGGTAAGAAACGAAAGGAATATCCTGCTTTAAAGAAATATAGCAGAATTGGAAATAAATAGATTAGCTTAAGATTTTTCAAGCTCAGTTTTTTTTTGGCCTAAGTTTGTGCAGAATATTCTCCAGCATAAAAAATTACATAGAAGTCATCAATAATTTTTATTTTCATGAAGATGATAGAGGCACATCCCAGTAAAGTATGCCATTTCTGTAAGTTACCTGTTACGAAGGTGACTAAAACCAAGACGGCTACAATATATTTTACCTATTGATTTTTTATGTTTATTGCACTTTCCATAGGAGTTTCCATAGGAGTCTAAAATCAAACAATAATTTCTCACTGACTTTCTATTTGAAACCGCAGTCTGACAATTGTACACAAGGTGGCACCCCAGTATAATGTACCATCATAACTGTGCACAGCACATTTCATTAGGGTGTGCACCCAGGAATTTTTTGCTTATGCTCTTTTTTTGTAAGGTATATATGGTAAATATTTACTTAAAGGCTTTATGTATTTGGGATTTAGGTAGGTATTAGATGCCTGTAAGTGTTTTATCTGTCTCTGTGTGGTTGTGAATGAGTTGCAACCAACTGTAACGAGCAATGTGTTGTGGGCGATTGTATGACTTTTAGTAGCTTACAACAGTAAGTAACCGGTATTACTAAAAGAAAAAGATGGGGCACAGATCTGGTCTTGACAGTTTGTAGATTAGCCGGTACGTTGGCTGATAGGGTGTGCATGGACACCAGAACACCCCATGCACACGCCTATGTGTTCAGTAGAATAATAATCCATTCTCCACCTACCCAACTGATTGCTTGAATGATTTCAAGTTTATGACCCAATAGTGAGACGTGTGTTAATTATGTGATTCTTGAGTTTAAGAGTTTAATGTGCTAAATTGCTTTTGCACTTTGTTAAAACTTGAATAATATGTCTTGAATGTGGTATGCAAATAAACACAGTTTTTGATAAAATAATAAAACTATATTGTGTTTATCAAGATTCACTTAAAGGACAAGAAGCGTTTCAATTATGCAGACAAAGAAGATCCTCCTGGGCTGAATCTGATGGAATTTACAGATTTTGAGCACCCAGAAGAATCTGATCACATGTTGGTAAGATTTGAATATATCCTGAATTCCTAATGATACTAACTAAAGTGGCCAAGCTAAACTTGTATCCTTTGCTAGATCTAGCATTATTTATCTCAGAGATTGTTTCTTATTATATTACAGTAAATGCTAACAAGAACATGATCTGAGTTTCAGTGTCTTTCTCTCTACAAAAAGAGAGATATATAACAAGTAAAACATTAGAAACTACCCAAATACCTGTAAGACACTTACAATCTGATTTGCTACCATTTCTAGTCCATTCTGCATTCAGTGTCTTTTTTATTTATCTTTCCAATGGCATTTCTTGGCATGTGCTCTGAGCATATCTTACTTTAGATAAATAGTCCTTATGCTGGAATAAATAAGTATAACAATAAAGACTGTGACCAACTGAGGTGTACAGACCTTGGCTCTGACCACAGCCAATAATAATGCAGATAAATAGGAATGTCCAGCACAAACCTTAAGTCCAGAGATCCTTTATTTAAGGTGCCAAGAAAAAAAAAGTTTTGGCCATAAGGATATTTGAATTTAAGGTTTGTGCTGAACATTCCTATGTCTTACACTGGAGCAAGATATTGTTCACGCATTTACTTTCAGGCTAATGCCAATAAATTAAAAGTATTTTGGATTATCTTTAAAAGAATACTCCACGCAATGTAACCACTACAGCATTCTGTAGTGTTTATTATGTCAGGTGTGCCCTGGTTCCCCCCTATGTAGTGTCACACTGTTTAGTAACAGGTGGACTTCTGAGGTCCACTAGATTCTGCACCCGCCTCACTCCCACTTTGTCTGAAGCTCTGTTCATTGAGCTAATCCTGGCAGTTCAGGGCTGAGCTCATTGGCTGAGATTAATAAGCTGATGCAGGGCTTTTTTCAGGAGATCCAACAGAAGTTCCTAAGCAGCAGCTTCCAGCTTTCCTTCTTGCAGAGAGGAGGTGAGGAACGACACGTTGGATTCCAAGTCAAAATTTAAACGTTTACTAAAAAATAATTATAATTTACTGTGACCACCTCCCAGAGAAAAGCAAGCAGTAAAATGTTAGGAAGCCTACCTTTCTAACCTCTGATTAATACTGTTCTGTTTGTAAACTGAGAAGAAAAGTGTATCAGCAAAGAGGTACTGGAGGCCCAGATAGACACTTCTTAATAGAGCATTTATTGCAAGTTACTCAGGAACACAATATCTGTCTGCAGCCTACCTTGCAATATCTTGAAGATTTGCATATACACTTATATAGTGAGCACTCAACCTCAATATGGGAGAATGTGTGGTAAAAAGGGATGTTGGTTGCTTCATGGGAAAAATCTGTTCCCCCACCAGATGCATGCACACAGTAAAGAATAATAATCACACCAGTAAGTTTGCATATGAAATAGATTTATTCATCCAGTGATTCAATAAAAATAGTACAAGAAAAGTGCAAGCAGCAGTATAGGCATGTAAACATTAAGTCACAAACCCATATCAAGATAAGTGCTTAGTTATAAATCCAACAAATCCATAATATTGTAGGCATACTAACCCAGAGCAGGAGATACAGCAACCCCAACGTTTCGGCGTCTAGCCTTCCTCAAGGGAGATCTGTCCGAGCAGGTTTTTGAAGAAATCAAAAGGATATTGTCTTTGTTCAAGGCTGAGCAAGACTTAAGTGTTGGAGTCAAGCAAGCTCTTGAATGTGTGTTCAAGAATACTGTGACGGTAAATTCGGAGCATTAACTAGCTACCACCATTGCAAAAAAAAAAACCTCACCACCCATGATAGGTGACATTCTTGTTGGTACTCTACAGTGCTGCATGACAGTAGTAATGACACGGACCATACAGTCATAAAGTAGCACTGTCACCAGCATCAACAAATGTTATTACCTTTCTAGGACTTATTATCCTAATGATTTTATTATTGATCGATTTTTATTTCTAGGCTGGGAATACAGCATTATAAATAAGGGCAACGATACCTTTGACTGAGCCTGAATCACAGAAAAACAACAAGTAGAGCAGCTTCACCAGTGATTGCTATAGAGTTATGGGAGTTAGGCTAAAGCAGCAGCTGCTATCACTTCAATTCCTCTTCCTTGAGAAATGCCAGAGAAAAATTGGGGAGAGTGAAATACATTGTCTTTCTTTGGCTTCTCTCGCTGCATATCAGTAGTTGAGAACGGTTGAATTAATAAGATTAAGTCTCTGTGCTGCACAGTACCAAACACTTCATGCAGCACATAATTTAAAAACGTAATCTGCCTCTATTGTTCTCACAGTGTGTGTGTATATATATATATAATCAATGCGTCATGAGGCATTTCTATTTTCCAGAAACACATGGGGCTGAAGCCCAAAGCAAAACTTGATAACTGCTACTCTAAGAGATAAGTGGAGATATATATTAAATCCCCACTGTATGTTTCCTGTCTCCTCCTTTCTACGCATGAACAGCGTGTTTCCTATGCTTTCCAGGATTCCAGTGAAAGCATAACGAAAAAGAAACACATGCTGCAAAGTTCTGTAAGTTCTGTTCCCAAGCACCCCTTCCCAACATCTTTTTATGTCAGACAGCTGATTTAAGGAAAAGAAACTATAATAAATAATACAAAAACACAATTGTGTTCCTTACCCCCTCCACTACCTGTATAGATCTGGGACTGAAAAGTACCACATCTTGGGTTTGTACCCCCTGCCTCCCACAGCAACACATATGGTTTTTACATCTGCTCGTGCCTGTTTGGTTCTACTTTACGTCAGTAATGCACAGAAGGAACGTGGCTCGTATCCGTCGAGCTCCAGCCCTTGTGATTCTTGCACTGATACCAACAAAATAATTATCAGTAAAAATGATGGGTTATGATGTATTAACAGTTGTTTTATCTGTTGTTTAGGAATTCGTCATCGACAGAGCTTTAGAAGAACATGACAAGGATGGCGATGGCTTTGTTAGTCTTAGAGAATACTTGGGTGAATACACAGATGATCAAGGCAAGTTGATGAAACAGTTTGGGTAGCTTCATCAGCCGCCTCAATGACAGGCATTTCAGACCTTCCCGGTAGATTTACGTTTGATTTAATCTTTAAATAATTACATTTAAACATAATCAGTTAAAAATATTCCCAAAACCAGTTAGCATGTTAAAGTGTACAGTATCTGAATGTCAAAGTCTGTTATGTGTCAGTGGCATATTTGGATATTTACATTGCAATGGAAAATAAATCGATAAATAACAGCTCTGCCATACTTTAGTATATAGGTGTAGAGAATTAAGCCCCAATATTAGTTTGAAATAAAAAAAAATTGTACAAATGCTTGTTATTCAACTAAAGCTAAGGGTAGGCAGCCTTCAGCACACAGATGTTGTGGACTGCTTCTACCCTGATGCTTTGCCAGCATTATCGCTATAAGAGTGTTATGGGAGATGTAGTACTGAAGCTTGCCTACTCCTGAACTACACAATACAGATAAAATTATATTAATGCCTGTAAAATGCAACTGTGGCAGATTAAAAGCTTTTAGCTGTGCTCTTTTGTAATTCAGCAATCGAAAAATCCCCCAAAAGAAGACATTTCCCCTGCAAAAGACCACCAATACCTACATTCAGGACCAGGGACGTGAGATACGAATAGTGTAACTGTGCAAATCAAGCCTTTATCAAAGGGACACTCCAGACCCCTAATGCACTTTAGCTTGTGGAAAAGCTTTGTGTGTGAAAAGTGTGTCCTCTATATTTCATTTTGCAACTAATGCAGATTTCAACAGAAATTTAAACTTTTATAGATAACCTGGGTACACCCCCTTGGCTTTCAAGCAGACAGCAGATCCTGTTATTTCCTTGATTGTTTAGCTCAATGGAGCTAAACTCAAGCGGCAGCAATTGCACAGGGCACCTGCCTTGCAAAGACATCTCATTGAGCTGCATTAGTAAGTCTGTGATTGGAAAGCCACAGGGAGTCTGGGTGGGGCTAGAAGGGGAGGGATTGCCAAGGCAGAACTGCAACTTATGCATGCTGTTTTTAGATGTACGTCCATTAGAAAATTACATAAAAGTTTTAACTTGGTGTATATCTGCTAAATAGCCATTTTTATTTTATAATTGGGGAGTAGGGTGTCCCTTTAATGCACTGCACTATGAGTTGTTTCTCTAACCTTTTTATTTCCTGAAAGGTTTTGTTTCTCAATTTTTCTGTTATATCAGATTGTTTTGGACAATATTCACTAGGATTTAAATGCTTCACGTTTATTTTTCATTTTACTACATTGATAAGGCGATAAGGCATATTTATGCTGCACTTTTCTTCACATTCAAATCTCTTTGACTTTACTAAAAACATTTTTTTTTGTTTAATGCTATTTTCTGCATTGCAACTCCACCTCTTAGTCACAGCCCTCTTTTCTTTTTCTTGAAGAAGTCCATATATAAAATGTTTCACGATTCCCTGTGTGTCACCAATGCATACACAGAGGATTGTGGGAAATGTATGTCTGGAGCATTGATGATCAACTGGCACTGAAACTGAGTTTGATTCTACTAACCTATGCTGTACACCTCTTCCCGTTAAACCTGAACATTTTTATTGTGCATACTAAGATGAGTAAAACAGGAACTTCCCCTGATAAAGTGCTAACAGATCCTCATTTATTGCCTTTATGACTGAATAGGACAGGATTTATTTGTACTATCTAAGCAAGTATCGCATTTCTATCAGTAGGAAGTGTACTCATCAAACATTTTACTGCTGACCACTGAATTACATTCTCTCTGTTATTCAGATTCCGTTGAATTCCCACAATGGGTCATTGTTGAGAAAGACAGGTTTGTGAATGATTATGACAAGGACGGCGATGGCAAACTTAACCCCACTGAACTGCTTTCATGGATAGTTCCCAATAACAGAGAGATTTCACAAGAGGAGGTGAGTAATAGAGAAAAAGGGGTAAGGTTGCACTCAGCCATAGCAATTTAGCCCAGGGTGCTACTAAGCATGGGTCAGCTAAAAACCCCAAAGAATATGTACAAATAGAAAAATCTCAGGCACTCACTGCGAATTGTATGCAGGCAGATTTATTGCAACATTTCGACCTGTTAAGGTCTTTATCAAGCAAACAATTTGGCAAACTTAACCCCACTGAACTGCTTTCATGGATAGTTCCCAATAACAGAGAGATTTCACAAGAGGAGGTGAGTGTCCTACGTTGAGACAGGTAATCATAGGTTTGGCTCTACAAACAAGTATTAGGATTGTCTATTGTCTGCCTGAACTGTGGAACCAGAACATGGGCTTGAGAGTATTTTCTCCAGTTTCTTAATAATGTTGAGAAATATATTACCAAAAGGGGCGCTGCAACCCTATTGCAGTGAAAGTCAGAGAAAGCATGGTATAAAATTGAAGCAGCCAGACTTGGTTTAGATAACCTTGAATTCCTCTTATGGAGAGAGGCAAGCCAGAATAAGCATTTGTGCGAGATTGGTTCTCATTTTCCTTTGTCTTTATCACAGACATTAAAAGAATGGACTAATATAAAGAAGAAGTTGAATATTAACAGAAAATTATATGAGAACCTGAGTTTAAGGTCGTTAGAACGTTTTATGCTAGAGATAAACCTGACGAATTGGTTTAAAGATCCTAATCATAAGATAAAAGATCTTTATAATGACCACCAATTGAAAAGCTTTGAAGTTCTGAAAAACTGGTTAGATTTACCCTCTAGAGAATTATTTAATTTTCTTCGTATTAAGAGCTATTTGAAAGATAACATATTGGCTTTAGAAGGCCGTTTTGGAAAATTGTTTAGGAAAATCTTTTCAGGGTGTAACGTTAAAAAGATTTTCTCTATTGCAGTTGAACTAATAAAAATGAAAAGGACCCCACTTATCCCCAAAGCCTTAACCAATTGGGAAACTGATCTAGCAATTTCCATTCCATTTAATAGTTGGTGTAAATTCTTTATGAGGACTAAAAAAAAAATTCACTGCCTGAATATTCTAGAGACTTTTACTAAAATATTATATAGATGGTACTTGGTACCGATCAGACTTGCTAAAATTTCTATTACTAATCCATCTAATTGTTGGTGGTGTCTACACCCAGATGGCTCTATGTTTCATATATGGTGGACCTGCCATCGAATCAAGTCTCTCTGGACTATTACATATGAATTTATAAATAGAATTGGAGGTATTTATTTGGAATTCAAACCGGAAGTCGACCTACTCCATCTTATGGACTTAGAAATAAAGGATAATCTTGATATTGTGATTATACATTGTCTAATGGCTACTAAAATATTAATTGCTAGATTTTGGAAAAGTACTGATATTCCTACGAGAGATCAAGTTAAAGCCCAACTCCTATTCCAAGTCGAGATGGAAAAGGGGTTAATGTACATGAGAGAATATCCTAATTTTAATACTCTGACGTTTTATTCCAGTCTTGTTGAAAAAATGAATGTGCTTTAATGAGTTTGAGGTGGTGGGGTTACTTCATACGATCACCTTATGGCTAATCTGATGATCTCATATCGGGCACTATTATCGGGCTCCTTGTGCACATACTGTATTACTTAATGTGGTATTGGATCTGCAATTTATATGACCAGTTTTGTCTTTGTTTTTGTCTGTCTTATCTATAAGATTTTTAAGGCCGATTTTGGACCATGATATCCCCTCGATGGGACTTTAATGTTACTATATTATTGTGTACTAGACGGCTTATTGATGTAATCTGAAATAGAATAAAGAATATTCTATTCTTTATACCTTTGTATGTTTAATGGGGATAGGAGTCCTTAATTTTTTCCTGTAAGGTTCCTTCCCCTAGATGTTGTTATGTCTATTAATATTTTCATGAAAGAAATTAATAAAAAGAATAAAAAAAAAAAAAGAAAGTCAGAGAAAGCATTCTGTCATGGTGAACACCATGTAATCGATAGGCTTATTTCTATTACTCACAGCATTTAAACATTGCCCGAGAGATGGGCCATTGATCTTACATAGTATTTTACATTGAAAAAAGACTTGGGTCCATCAAGTTCAGAATTTCACACATCTGTTTCTGCTGACGATCCAACAGAAAACAAAAAAAGAATTTGAAATTATTCCCTACTGTGCCACAAAAAGTTAAAACACCCTTCTTGCCTCTACAATGATTATAAGATTGGATTAACAGACTGCCACAGTGCCAGCTAATGATGTATTTGAATGTGCAATTTTCCAAACAAATATCCAACATCTCTATGGGCCTAATTGATTAGGTCATTGACTACTAATTGATTTTTGTCCCATTTTCCAAAAAGTAGTGTTTGTGTTCTTGCTACCTAGGCATTGTGAGTGTCTCTGCTGACCCTCTACCGCAGATATCCTGCATCTATAGTCTAACTTCTCTGATGGGACACATATAGGTGTTATTTTATTCAATTATTACATAAAATGCCACACACTATTCTATAAAATTCCTTGCAACCATTTGGTGTGCAATAGGTAATAAGTACATTGAGCTGGTGTGGGCATTTGCATCACTTCTCTCTATGCTATCTCTCTGTTGTCCCCTCCCCCCACGACTACTGACTGGCCCCGCTAGCCATTTTACACCTATGGACCCACAATGAGATTGAAGTGCTGTTTTATTATGTATGAGGAGCCTACACCGAAGCTGATAGAACATATAAGAATGCATGTATATTGAACATATCCACATATATGTTATACAATAAGTATATAATAAGTACATAAGTAAAAAAAAAAAAATGAAGGAAAACATAAAATGCATGTTTAACAAATTAGTTTACTGTTTAAGAAATTAATCAAGCATTTTGGTGTTAAACTCTACCAACTGTAGTTTTTGAGTGAAATTGTTGATACCATTTGTTTCTTTAAAGGCAACTCATTTAATTGAAGAAATTGACGATGATGATGATGGGCGGCTGAGTGAAGCTGAAATCCTCCTCCATCAAGACTTGTTTCTAACCAGTGAAGCCACAGACTATGGTCGACAGCTAAAGGATGAACACTTTTACCACGATGAACTCTAAAAGTCCTGTTTGTCCACAGTGGACTAATTATGAACTGATTTATTTTTTAATGTGTGTCACAAGCTTCACTGAAACATAGTAGGTATTTCTGTTCATTCCAGAGGTGGTCAATGTCTGGTTTAAGATATTTTTATTTGTTTGATATTAAAACACTAAGCAGCTAATTTTATGAAAACTATTAAATTGTGGACCAATGATTGGAACATAATTATTGTGTGTTTTGTTTTAGTGTTTGGTTATTGCTAAAAAAAAATACAGAACCAGAATGCAGACTAATGAACACTGTAATATGTAGACTTTTATTTTATGCATAGCACCTTTTAAGAACTTTAAAAAAAAAAACAGCAATCTACTGCTGAATTTAAATATAGGTATATATATTTTTAAGTTAGACATTGAATGTGAAGTCTTTAAAAAATTGAAGGATATAAAAAGGAAACTCATGTGCTGGCTGTCTGTCTGACATCAGTAAAGGCATGTTTTTTGGCAAAATGTAAACATTGAGATTTAGTGGCTTTGGTGCATGGATTCTCCCTTGAAAGAAACACTCCAGTGGTACATAAATGCATTTATGTATAACACAGGAGTGTTGTATAAACAATTTAGATTATATCCCCCACTTCCCCCCCTAAATAAAGGGTAAACTTACTTGTAATCCAGCAGTGGGATATCTCCAGTCTGCAGCTCAGCTCTTCCTCTTGGAGATCATCAGCACTGATGATCTTCTGACCAAAGAATGCTTCTCATAGAGAAGCATTGGTAGGCAGCCCACATTGCCTACTACTTTGTGCTTAGGTGAAAAGCGATCAGGAAGAACACCCTCTAGCTGTGTGATTGAGAGATGGGAAAGTGCAGTTTTGTCACTTTCTAAGAAAAAGTGTAGATTTTTCTTGAAAATGTCACTACTTGATAGACTTCCTGTAGAAGCTAGAAGAGACACCTAGTCTGTAGTCATTATGCTGTACCTCTGCATACCTGTTCTAGAAAGCCTCAGAAGAGAGATGGCAAGGTACCAACTCTTTTTAATAGGTAGCAAACGCCCCACAATGTATAGCTAATGGTCAGTTGAAAATGTAGGTATGGAAAGACAGAGTACTCATCTAAATTGCTAGAGGACAGAAGTAAAAAAAATAAATTACGTAGTCAAATAAAGGGAATACATCCATTATTGTGCCATTGGTACTAATAATATTAATAACAACTCCTCTCTGTTGGTGTCCCCCAAGGTTCAGTCCTTGGTCCCCTACTGTTCTCCATCTATACGGCCTCCCTTGGTAAACTCATTAGCTCCCTTGGTTTCCAATATAATTTCTATGCAGATGACACGCAAATCTACCTGTCCTCGCCTGATCCTTCCCTGTCCCTCTTGACTAGTGTCTCTGACTGCCTCTCTTCTATTTCTTACTGGATGGCTGCCCACTTCCTTAAACTAAACTGGACCAAAACTGAAATTCTGGTCTTTCCTCCCTCAAGTGTTGTTACTCCTGTGTCTGTCTCCCTCCAAGTCAGCGGTGCTACCATCATCTCCACCACGCAGGCTCGGTGCCTAGGTGTTCTCTTTGACTCCGACCTCTCCTTCAAGCCTCATGTTCAGTCTATCGCCAAATCCTGTCATTTCCATCTCATAAACATTGCGCGCATCCGCCCCTACTTAATGCCAGATGCGACTATGGTGTTGTTCCATTCCACTGTCCTTTCTCACCTTGACTACTGTAACCTGCTTCTCAGTGGTCTTACGTGCTTCCAACTTGCGCCATTACAGTCCATAATGAATGCGGCAGCGAGGCTCATCTTCCTGTCCGCCCGCACCTCCTATGCCTCACCCTTCTGTCAGTCCCTACTTTGGCTTCCTACAAAATATAGAGCTCAGTTTAAAATTCTGGTTCTTGCTTTCAAATCGCTACATAATGCTGCTCCCACCTATCTATCCTCCCTTATACACAAGTATGTCTCGTCTAGGCCCTTACTATCTGCTGAAGACTTACGTCTATCTTCTGTCCGTACTCCCACCTCTGATGCTCGCCTTCAAGATTTCTCGAGGACTGCACTGTTCCTGTGGAACTCGCTTCCCTCCTCCGTTAGATGCTCACCCAGTCTCCACTCCTTCAAAAAAAACATTAAAAACACACTTCTTTATAAAAGCGTATCAATTAAACTGTTAATAGCTCCCGACTGATTCCTCTTCTGCAACTGTCATTAGTCTAATACTATCCTTACCTTTTGTATCATTTTACCCCACTCCCTCTAGCATGTAAGCTCATTGAGCAGGGCCCTCAGCCCCTCTGTTCCTGTGTGTCCAACTTGTCTGGTTACAACTACATGTCTGTTCGTCCACCCATTGTAAAGCACTGCGGAATTTGATGGCGCTATATAAATAACATAATAATAATAATACAAATACGGTTCAGACTACAATGAGAATCTAAACTGCACTTTAAATACAGGATAATAATCATACTGACATTCTCATTAGCTCCTCCTCCTTCGTAAGATACATTGACCCACTTACATATGTGGGTCTACATAACCATCTTTACTATCTCAGGGCCAATCGTGGTATGAGTAAATAAAAGGCTAATATATAATAAAGTAAAAGTGTTACTCTCAAGTAAAAAAACCTTTCATTAAACATACCTTGTGCAAAACAAACTCAGAGCTTTGTACCCATACAGGCCGCTTCGCAAGGCCTCTGGAGCATCCCTGTGGGGGCTGGCAGTATGGACTTCTAAGTCTTTCTCCACTATGAGAGTTCATTAGTATGTCACTCCATTTTCTATTCTTAAATAGGCATCACTTGCTGGCCACAGGTGTGTACAGGCAGTGGACAGTAAGCTTTCTACCCACTTTATTTATTTTAAAGTCCTACATCCCATGCCAATGTGACCCCTTGTTATTTAATAGGCCCCATCCCTATGGGTTTTAAACATCGAGCAAATATCCCCCCACCTCTGTTATAATAATATGGTCTTATTTTTATTTAACTATTTAATGTGGTAATAGTAAATAAAAGAGATGAGACAGCGCTAAATAACTTTTTGCAGCAACCTTAAAAAGGGAATCCCTTTAAACCCTATAAAACAAGATAAAATAAAGACAATAAAACCATTTCAAATAGCTTTAACTAAACTTTCTCATTCTCGTTTTACATTTAAACATAAACTAATTAAGTTGTATAACTACTAATTATGCGTCTAAAGAGTTACTTCTGTATTTTAAAGTTGTAAATTTGCTTTTAATTTTGATTGGATGAACCAAGTTTTGGCGCCAAAATTCAATCAATTATGCTCCTATATAATCTCTATGTGCCAGGTAAATCATGTTAATCCATTTCCCTTTTGTGACGAAACGCGTTATGGATATTTGAATATTGTGTTTTTTATATATATTAAAGTATTTTTGGTCATTTGCTTGTGCCAATTATCTTTTTTATAGACACATATCCTTCATTTTACCCTGGCCTTTTTACTATCATTTTAATTATTTTTAATGGTTTTAAAAAAAAACCTAAAAAAATTCCTGGAAGTTTCCTGTACCCAAAGAAATCCGTAGGTGGGGATCAATCCACCCAAGCCATCACAAAAGAGCAGTGGGTCTGCTCTTTCTTTGTAAGTACATTTCTTTTATTATTTTATTATTATTTGCTATACAGTGAGCACTATTGGCTGTTTGTTTTATCCCGAGAATTGGATACCATTCACGGTGAGGAACCTGCTTTATATCCCACAAGCGGGGATTAAACCGCTGTACGCGCCTTACTCCAGAGCTGGACATTAGCTCTGGTAAATGTGAGTTTTATACTATTATTTTTACGTCTATACCTGTATTTTACATACTACACCATTGGATGTCCTTTTTTCCCTCTTTTTATTTTTCATAAACGAGTGAAATCACCACATAAATAGAAGATCCCACCAACCAAGGACACCTGTAAGAATATACCAGTTGGACTTTTTTTTCTCTTCTTCCCCTTTTATTGGACTCTATTTTACGTGCGCAGCCTTTTATTGTCTTTATTTAATGTGGTAGCTGGCTAGCAAGTGCTTGCCAACTTTCACATAATTAAGTGTTCTTGCATAGCAAGACCACTTAATGTTATCTCACATATATATTCTTATTATAGCCAAATTTGCCACCCTAACTCCTCCCACAGTTTTTACACTACATAGACAAAAATTTACCAAAACGTGCAGATTGTTTCCGATCGGATTGCTATTACTTTGTGGAAAGTTTCGCCGAATGGTTCACGGAATATCGTCGTTCTTGTGGCGAAATTTGTCCCATAGGAATGAATGGCAAAGCTAGAGTGGGAGCTGGCAAAAGCTGAAAATCAGGACATGATTTCTAAACTGCCACCACTCCCTTATTTTCAGGCCCACCTACACAAATCTTATATCAAAACGTTCAGCTATCCCTGCTGCCACTAAACATGTCAACGGCTAAGCCATAGTTCTGATAGTTTTCACAATATAATCATTTGTTTGCAACTAACGCCGTCCATTGACATTCATTGAAACTTCACTCTACAAAGCTCAAATGTGAAGTGCAATTTCTAAACTGCGACTGTGCCTTCATTTCTAATACTTCAGAGACATACTATGCATCAAAATGTAGGTCTGGGTCTTGTGATTCTCACAATATAAAGCTCTTCGCTGTAGGATTTATAGTTTTTAAAATACGACCGTTTGAAGATGGCAACCGCCAAAATACTCTGACCTGTGCCAGGCTGCAGCAGCAAGTGATGTCATAGACAGGGCCTTTTGAACACCTGCTAATGTTTTATAAATGTATGGTTTAATGTAACTGTGCAACAACGTTGCAATTAAATGTGCTATATAAATGATAACAGTTACTCCGCCCACTCCAGTTGTAGACTACTGGTGGAGGCAAGAACACTTCACACAATTTCCCCAGAAATTGTAGCTTTTCTAGTTCTTATTAAGTGTTCTTGCATAGCAAGACCACTTATTGTTATCTCACATATATATTCTTATTCTTATTAAGTGTTCTTGCATAGCAAGACCATTTAATGTTATCTCACATATATATTATTAAGTGTTCTTGCATAGCAAGACCACTTATTGTTATCTCACATATATATTATTATTCTTATTATAGCCAAATTTGCCACCCTAACTCCTCCCACAGTTTTTACACTACATAGACAAAAATTTACCAAAACGTGCAGATTGTTCCCGATCGGATTGCTATTACTTTGTGGAACGTTTCGCCGAATGGTTCACGGAATATCGTCGTTCTTGTGGCGAAATTTGTCCCATAGGAATGAATGGCAAAGCTAGAGTGGGAGCTGGCAAAAGCTGAAAAATCAGGACATGATTTCTAAACTGCCACCACTCCCTCATTTTCAGGCCCACCTACACAAATCTTATATCAAAACGTTCAGCTATCCCTGCTGCCACTAAACATGTCAACGGCTAAGCCATAGTCCTGATAGTTTTCACAATATAATCATTTGTTTGCAACTAACGCCGTCCATTGACATTCATTGAAACTTCACTCTACAAAGCTCAAATTTGAAGTGCAATTTCTAAACTGCGACAGTGCCTTAATTTTTAATACTTCAGAGACATACTATGCATCAAAATGTAGGTCTGGGTGATTCTCACAATATAAAGCTCTTCGCTGTAGGATGTATAGTTTTTAAATACGACCGTTTGAAGATGGCAACCGCCAAAATACTCTGACCTGTGCCAGGCTGCAGCAGCAAGTGATGTCATAGACAGGGCCTTTTGAACACCTGCTAATGTTTTTATAAATGTATGGTTTAATGTAACTGTGCAACAACGTTGCAATTAAATGTGCTATATAAATGATAACAATTACTTTGCCCACTCCAGTTGTAGACTACTGGTGGAGGCAAGAACACTTCACACAATTTCCCCAGAAATTGTAGCTTTTCTAGTTAACCCTTGTAATGCTGAGAGTTTTTAAGTATATGTCTGCTGGAATAGTTTGGGAACGGATACCAATCTTCTAGTGGAATTTGGTCCTGCTGAAGTCCAAACTAAATTCAGGCTGATTCAGGGGCCTACATTGCAATATCTAGAAATTGTTGAATAACGTGAACAATGTCTGGTTTTTGAAGTCAGAATGGCACCATATACATGCTTTAGTGGATAACCATGTGTGAGTATAAAGTCATATATCTTACAAGAACTCATCAGTGATGTCTTAAGAGACCATATTCACGACTTTGCAACATACATTCTTCCGACCTATGGTCCAATCATAGATCTGTATGAATTGTATTAAAGAAACTGTTAGACAAAGGTCTGTTCTGCAAGTTAAAGAAATGCTCATTTGACTAACCTCAAGTTCACTTTTTAGAATATGTTATCTCAAGTTCGGAATTCCAGAAAAACATTTGAAGCGATTTTACAATGGCTTATTCCCAACAGTCTCAAAGCCATCAGCTTCTCCAATTACTATAGAAGGTTCATAAAGATTTTTTCCCAATTTCCCTTGTAACCTCTATGACAAAAAGGGAGCTAATACATAAAAATGGTCTCCTGAGGCCATAAAAGGAATTGAGAATCTCCAAATCCATAATATTGCTACAGAAAGCTTGGAAAACATATTAAACGAGAATCTTCACTTCTATGGAAATTATGTAAATAATGTAATTATGTAACTTTGAAAATCACCCATTACTTTTGTGAATCTTTTTAATTTTCCTTCAAATGTGTTTTAAAGGTTTTAGCAATTAATGTTTAGTCCAGACACAACCATGGATCACACTGTGTTGATTGACAAACAGAAACACTGTTTATGCTTCTCATTCTCTCATTATGCTTACTTATAGGTACAAATGCAGGGTTTATAACATTAATTGACAGTGAGGAGAACATACTCAGTAACAGTGTGAGGACAGAACAGTATCTACTTCTATTTCATTTCATTTTAGTTTTCCAACCTCACATTCACCTATTTGTTAAACAGATAAAGAAACAATATAAAACGTAATCTGGGAAGAGATTGATATATGTGTTTGACATGGTGTCAGGAGTCCCCATGCATAGTCCCCATGTAAGTTATTAAAAACTGTGAACAGTTTGACACTTACTGTTCTGAGCTCCATGGAGCTAACATGGTAGTTTGAGTACTGCATTGGGTATGTCAATTTTGTACAATTATTAATATTATCATTGGCTGAGAGTGTGCACCGTAGTGGGTCTGGTACTTAGAGTATGACTTTTATTAACAGAGTGTTCCTTCAAAAAGCAAAACAAAACTTGTATTGATACATATAACAAGTAAACAAAACTTACATACAGTCAGACAAAAGGATATCAAAAATCACATGCATAACTAAAGCAAACCCCCTGATAGTTTTAATTTAGAAATGAGATCATGAGAAAAAAAAGTTTTTTTGTTTTTTTTTGCTTTGTTTAATTCTTTATTTTTTTATTTTTTTAAAATTCTTTATTTTTTTTCATCTTGACAGAATCAGCGAACATATCAATGGCCACATAGCTTGAGCGAATAACATTTATAGTGCAGTATCATAACTTATGTCAATGAAAGAGGAGAAGACAACATGTCTTCGAACAGTACATATTCTACACAAATAATTACAATTTGGCCGATCGTCAAGGAGTTTTGGAGAAAGAATGACGTTACCAGTATACCAGACATGTGTTTATGTTTGCAGTAATATCTTTACTTAACCATGAGCTTTCTATATCGTAAGGGTGGGGCATCCGCCACTTCTCGAGGGTAACGACATAGGCCTCACGTATTGTATACCAGTTTTTTCATGTCAGATATAATAACAACATCCACTAGTCCTGCCTCCTGGACTGGACCAGCAAAAACTGTGAGAGATAGGAGTGAAAAGAAAGATAAAGAGGGGAATGAGAGTGAGAGGTGGGACCTATTGAGAATTTATTGATCTATGGTGACAAGCACCTGTTGGTGCTATGTGGGGGGGAGGGGTCATGTGGTCTGAGCTATTGGGCAGCCATCTCAGCTCTGTCCCAGGTCACTACTATCCCAAGGTTCCCAAATTTTAAGGAATCTATGAAGTGAGCCTCTTAATCTGGCTGTCAGTTCGTCCATCAAATGGATCTCTCTAATTCTTGCTATAACCTCTGGGATCTTTGGGGTATCCTGTTGCAGCCATGTGGCCGCCACTGCCTTTCTAGCTGCTAAGGTGAGTTTATGTATGAGATTTTGTTCTGCCCTGGTCCACCCCTCGACCGTGCGGTTGAGTAGGTATACCCAGGGATCTAGTTTCAGGGTCCTGGAGAATATTCTCCTTATCAATTGTTTAATTGCGGACCAGACGAGGACCATCTTTGGGCATCCCCACCACATGTGGATATAAGTGCCTCTTTCTCCGCAGCCCCTCCAGCATGTGTCAGTGGTGGTTTTATTAATTCTGTATAATGTCTCGGGGGTGGTGTACCATCGGAGCATTATTTTAAAGGATTGCTCCTGGAGGGTTACGCAAACTGAGGTGGTATTACTCGCCTCCCATATTTCCTGCCATTCGACCCCCTCGAGTACTTCACCCAAGTCGCGTTCCCATTGGTCCTTATATCTCAGTTGTCCCCAGTCCCCATTAGCAGAGCAAAGGTGGGCATACAGTTCCGTTATCATCCCCTTGGGTATAATTTCCACTAGGCAGTGCCGTTCGAAGAACGTCATTTGCTGCAGTGCTGCCCTTTTGATATGGGGTTGTTTCGCGAAATCTCTCAATTGGATATAACGAAAGAAATCCGCTGGCTTCAAGTGCCTCCCTTGAACGAGGTCCTCGAAACCAACGAGCTCATTGCCCTGGTATAAATGGCAGATTCTCTGAATGCCTGTCTGTTCTATGTTTCTGAAGTCCCTGGGGGCCATGCCCGGGGGGAAAGCTCTATTCCGTGGGTAGGGCATGAGGGGGGAAGGTGAGGAAGCTAGTTTATGTTTTGTGTGGGAAGAGTCCCAGATTCTCAAGGAGTTGAGGATAGTTGGGCAGGTGACTCTAAGGATGGGTCTGTTTTCTTTCGGTACCCACATGGCGAATTGTGGCATATCAGCCCCTACCAGTGGCGGATCCAGGGGGGGGGCAACGGGGCAATTGCCCCCCCCGAGAAATCCGCCGGTCTCCCTCCCCTGCCAGCCGAGCAATGTGCCTGCGGACCGGAGAGGGAGATCAGAGCTTTCCCTCCCCGGTCCGCATGCACTGTGCTTGAGGCCGGCGGCGGTGGGAGGGAGTGAGAGGGAGGACTCACATACATTGCCCCCAATACACACAAACTGCCCCCCCCATTCACACAAACTGCCCCCCATTCACACAAACTGCCCCCAATACACACAAACTGCCCCCCATTCACACAAACTGCCCCCAATACACACAAACTGCCCCCCATTCACACAAACTGCCCCCATACACACACACAAACTGCCCCCATACACACACACACACTGCCCCCTCACACACACACATACTGCCCCCCATACACACACACTGCCCCATACACACACACTGCCCCCCACATACACACACACTGCCCCCACATACACACACACACACTGCCCCCATACACACACACTGCCCCCATACACACACACTGCCCCCATACACACACTGCCCCCATACACACAAACTGCCCCCATACACACAAACTGCCCCCTCATACACACACACACTGCCCGCGATACACACACATACTGCTCCACATACACACACAAACTGCCCCCATACACAAACTGCCCACATACACACACCTCCCCATACACACACACTGCCCCCATACACACACACTGCCCCCATACACACACACTGCCCCCCCATACACACACACTGCACCACCATACACACACACTGCAACTGTTACACACACATACTGTCCCACATATACAATGCATCCCTCACTCACACACTACAACCTTCACACACACATACACACACACTGCACCCCTTACACATTGCACCACTCACACACATCACTGCTCCTATGCCCTACTACAGCCCCATTTCCCAGCTGATCTCAGGTAAGTTGTCAAACTGTTCTTAAACGGTTTGACTACGTACTGTGGGAGGGGGTCCCGGCACTATTGACACCATAACCACTACACTGAGCTGTAGTGGTTATTGTGTCTGGATTATTTCTTTAAATAATCTACAAGTGCCCCTCCCGAGATCAGGCTTTGGATCCGCCACTGGCCCCTACCATGAGTGATTCTATATCCACCCATTTTCTGTCTCCCGGGGGTGAGTGCCACATTGCGACTTGTGTTAATTGGGCTGCTAAATAGTAATAGTAGAGACATGGAAGCCCCAGGCCGCCTCTAGGTTTGGGTCTATATAGGACCTGTCTGGAAATCCTATGTCTCTTGTTCTGCCAGATAAAAGCGCATATTGCCCTCTGGAGAGGGAGCAAGTGGGCCTTGGTAATGCGTATGGGTAGTGCCTGAAACAGAAAAAGAATGCGCGGCAGGACATTCATTTTGGCAGAGTGAATTCTTCCTATCCACGATATGGGTTTGTCCAGCCATTGATCTAAATCCTTCATCAGCGTTTTGATTAGGGGGATGTAATTGTGCTGGAATAGCTTGTCCGGGTCAGCTGTCAGGTGTACCCCCAGGTACTTGAGAGATGAGTGTTCTATGTGTATAGTATGCCTGGCTCTGATCGCTGCCGCGTCTTCCGCCGCCAGTCCCAGTGGGAGAGCGCTAGACTTGGTCATGTTGACCACGTACCCTGAGAGGGCTCCATAGTTCTGCAAGACCTCGTTTAGAGCAACCATTGATTCCGTTGCTAATTCTTTATTTTTGAGACCGAAACTGGTGCAGCAACGTAAATGGTAAATTTAAGTTTATACAGGTAAAGATAGCTATATCCTGCCCAATTTCAAGGATAATGAACAAATAAATTAGAGTTTCAGGTGATCTACAGCAATAATACAATGAAAAAAAATTCAACCCCTCGAAATCTCAGACAACCCTGTACTCCTGGGCTAGTTTATCGAGTCAGGAGACATCGATGGAATCACATTTTAAGAATATCTGACATTATAATTACACATGTATTTACACACATGCACTCAAATTTTAACATTAAAGAGACACTATAGTCTTTAGAACCACTCCAGCTTAATATAATTGTTCTGGTGTCTATAGCCTGCCCCTGCAGGCTTTTTAATTTAAACACTGCTTGGTAACACCTCTAGTGGGTGTCACTCAGACGGCAACTAGAGGTACTTCCTGGGTAAGGAATTGCAGCACCTATGTTAGGTGTCTCAATGCTTTACACGGAGACGCTGAACATTCCCCATAGGAATGCATTGATTCAACGCATCTCAATGATTGAAGCAGCGCAGTATTTTGTTGCGCATGCGCAATAGCCTCCGAAAGATTGTTTGATGATATCAAGTTTGATGATCTTAGCCACGGAGGTGGTGCCCACTGCAGCGAGACTGGTGTGGCATAGGAGAAAAGGTAAGTAAAAATCACCTTTTCAAAGTCAGGCAAAGGAGCTGGAAACCTAAACAGTGATTTTAACACTATAGTGTCAGAAATAGGTTTGTGTTCCTGACACTTTAGTGTTCCCTTAAAGCGGCACTGTCATGGCCGAATCCTATTGTAAAGCGGCTTATGGGTGGGGGCTGGGCGGGGGACTTTAGGTCATTTAGGATTGTTTATGGGGGTTGGGGGGGTGGCGAGAGGTCCCCCTTCAGTTTAATAGCCCCCAATCGTGCGGCACGGGTGGGGGCTCGGGAGGTGAGACACTAGATTTTTTAATTTATTTTTTACAGTGAGCAGCCACTGTCTGCTCACTGTTTAGTAGACATATGCAGCAAGTAGGGGCAGAACTTACTGATACTAAGTAATCTTTACTTAGTATTAGTAAATTTGGCTGAAAGACCAATTTAGGTCTTTCAGCCTTTTGGTAGAAAGCTCCCTGATACCATTGGAATTAGGGATCTATCTACTAAGCAGTTGCATGATGCAGCCGCGGCACGAATCGGATTGGAATTTATTCATTTAAATGAAATTCCGATCCGAACAAAGTCCTGAATAGCGTCCTAACACGAATGAACAAACTGTTCTCATTCTGTTAGGTTGAAATTCTGTAGTTTCGCCGGCGTTCTGTCTAAATGACAGGACGTTTGGGAATACTGGCCGGAAGCATCATGAGATCACGGAGGAAAGGTGAGAATTGTGGGGAAATTTCGCTGACCAAAGGAAACAGAGCACACTTTGCTCCTCCGCTGGACAGGTCTTTTGTCTTAAGATTTAAAGCAAACTAGAGCAGACAGGAAGAAATGAAGAACAGATCATGAAAGAGGAAGAGAAGATGAATCGATTGGGGATTGCAAACATGAGTTGAAGTTAGACAATTAAACACTAGGTGGCAACATGCAGAATTTATCTAGCAGTGGAAATCTCGTTCACTAACACAGACTCAATTGCTCCAATGCAGCTTCCGTCTGGCAGATAAGGGGGCGTGTGGAAGGTTGCCTGTTGTCAGACACTTTCCTACTTGCAGTACAGGTGTAGACAGGGCTAAACCCAGCAAAGCATGGCTGTCAAAAGGGCACTAGTGATCCTGGCCAAGGGGGCAGAAGAGATGGAGACTGTGATCCCCACTGATGTTATGAGAAGGGCAGGAGTGAGTATAATGTGTTTCTGCAGGGAGTGCTTGATGCAGATACAGTGGGAGAGGTTTTATCAAGGCTAAAACAGGGGCTATTATGGGGAAACGTTCTAAATAATATACACCACCTTAGACACCAATAGAATGATGCTCCACATTTATCACCCCCCTCCTATAGCATTTATTTTACATTGGTAGATGTGGCAAGTAACAGAAAACCAGTTTACAGTTCCCATTCTAAAAGAAAAATTTAACCTGGGGCAAACACAGCTTTCTTAAAACATTCTCTACCCCCATTAAAAGGACACTAAGCCAGATGTGTTTTTTGGGGGTTCTTTTTTTCTTTAAGTGCATGCTTTCTTACTGGTTTTTGTGACCATCCAGTTATGCCAGCTACCTGTTGTATGCAGATTTGCATAAAGTGTGAATTCAGAGTGAATCTCAAATTTAAAGGGGCACTATAGTCACCAAACAACAACTTTAGCTTAATGGTGTAGTTTTGGTGTATAGATCATGCCACTGCAGTCTCATTGCTCAATTGTCTGCCACTTGGGAGTTAAAGGAACACTATAGTCACCTAAATTACTTTAGCTAAATAAAGCAGTTTTAGTGTATAGATCATTCCCCTGCAATTTCACTGCTTAATTCTCTGCCATTTAGGAGTTAAATCACTTGCTAAAGTTGTTCAGGCGACTAGAGTGTCCCTTTAAATCACTTTGTTTATGAAGTCCTAGACACACCTACACGGCCTTCCTAAACACTTCCTGTAAAGAGTCATCTAATGTTTACACTTCCTCTATTGCACAATCTGTTTTAATTTAGCATTTCTCATCTCCTGCTCTGTTAATAGCTTGCTAGAAGACCCTGCAGGAGCCTCATGTACGTGATTAAAGTTCAATTTACAGGGATAAATAGCTTTTAAAGTATGTTAAAATCTGATTTGAAATAACACAATTTTGTTTCCATGCAGGCAGTGTCACAGCCAAGGGAGGTGTGGCTAAGGCAGCATAAACCGGAACAAAAGGGACTTAAATTAAGTGGCAGTGAATTGAAAACTGATACTTTAGAGGTGTGATCTATACTGCTTCATTAAGATAAAGTTGTTTGGGTGAATATAATGTTTAGCCCCTTAAGGACACGTGACGGAAATATTCCGTCATGATTCCCTTTTATTCCAGAAGTTGTGTCCTTAAGGGGTTAAAGGACCACTATAGGCACCCAGACCACTTCAGCTCAATGAAGTGGTGTGAGTGCCAGGTCCCCCAGGTTTTAACCCTACAGCTGTAAACCTAGCAGTTCACTGACAGCCACTAGAGGCCGGTTCCGTGATTCTCACTGTGAAAATCACAGGGAGAAGGCGCTGACGTCCATAGGAAAGCATCGAGAAATGCTTTCCTCTGGGCGGTTTGAATTTGCGCACGGCTCTTGCCACGCATGCGCAACTGGCGCTGACGTCGGCAGGAGGAGGAGAGTTGCCCAGCGCTGGAGAAAGGTACGTGTTTTAACCCCTTCAGCCCAGTGGGAGGTGGGCCGTGGGGGGGACCTAAGGACTACATAGTGCATGAGAAGAGCAAATCTATTGTTTTCCAAAGTAAGGTTTTTAACTATAGGTAAATTAAAACGTGTAAACATGCACGCTGTTTTGTGTACTATTGAGATTGATTTCCTGTGTGAATTATGAAGGGATTTACCACAAAACTGGAAAACTTGCTTGTGTGTCTCGGACCCCCTCGCGTTCACATTACATCTCCCATAATCCTTTGCTGTGCTCTGACTGTTGTAAATTATGGTAGCATGGCAAGTGACTTGTGTGAGCGCTCTATTTTTATGAAAATTACACAGTGATTATTTATACATGTTGACTTGCAGGACTACATGAAATGTTTTTAACAATATATATATATTTTTTTCTTCTAGATCAAAGTAGTTGTTGCGGGTTTAGCAGGGAAGGATCCTGTACAGTGCAGCAGGGATGTGGTCATCTGTCCTGATATGAGCTTAGAAGATGCCCGAGCACAGGTCTGTTGGATATTTGGTCCTAAATGAAATCATACTGTTAAAGGGTATTTTTAAGTAAAATGACCTCTATTTAAGATGATGCAAAAAAAAAAAAAAATTAAAAAGAGATGTCAAGTTTAGTTTGTCGGACTGACCTGTGAACTGATATCAACACTGCTGTGGTTGTTAGCAATTTACACGTAGCCCGGTTCACTGTGCCGCTATCAACATGCGCTTAGTAGATGAGAGAGAGCTCAGTCCAATTTGTGCCACTTTTACATATAAAACTTGAGCAAAAGGAACACATGTAACTTGGAGCTCTTGCTCTGGGCCATCTGATTGACAGCTCCAAGGGGCTGACTTAGAGCTGTGGTGGTTTTTTTTGTTTAGTTTTTTGTTTTTTTTTAGAAATCACTGCAGTTTTTAACCACTCGGAGGTAAGAGTATGCTTAGGGTGTTCTATGTCCAACACCCTCTCCATTGCAATATCCATAGATGTGATTTTGCAAAGAGTGACTCGTCTTGCATTTTTTTTTTCAAAAAGACACCTAAAAGTTAAGTCTACTCCTGTGCGCAATTTTTTTTTTTTTTTTAAATACAATATACAGAGGAAGTGGAGAAATGGGTAGCTTATACTAATTTAGATTGCCCACATACGTCCTAGTCTGGTTTTTGTGACATAGAAGCTAAAGGTTTCTGTAGTGTATTTACCTGCTTCGTTATACACATAGGTTTGCACAATAATTCTCTCACATTGAGTTTTGTGAGGTCCATGCTCAGCCATTTCCTTTTTTTAAAGGTGCTGTCACAGGAGAAGAATCAGAACAAAGAGATTTGCTCTGTAAAACCAGCTTGAGATTTGACCCACCGAAGGGCAGGCTAAGCGAGCTGTTGTCCATTCTCACCTCTCTTGCTACTTGTTTTTTTTTTCGCTCCAATATAAATGTTTTATATATACAGTGCGTTAAATATGATGGCAAATCCACCTTGCAGCTTCCCTTTTAAATTCTGCCGTCTGACCTTTATGCTGTCATTGGGCCTGCCAGCCTTCATTTCTAATTTAGGAAGACTCGCTCTGCCACTTGTCAGCTGCTATGTTACTATGTTACTGCTAAGCACTAAGTTATTAATTGTATATATAGTACTTTATAAATGTGCAACTCATTGCAGAGATTTCACAGTCCCGGTTCTGAAAGAATGTGTCGTTAGACATTTGAACCATCTGTCAGACAGGCGCACATAATCATTTATTGTACAGTCTTAACTATTTATATACAAAATAACAATAGGGAGAATAGGAAAGGCTACAGTGATGTGGCAAATTTGGTCAAACAATGTGATTACCAATAACCTGTTATTTTCAAATTTATCCGTCTACTTGGATCCTGCAGATTGATATGATTATTCAGTTCATGAAGGTTTTACAGTACTTGTTTCCAAAATGAACTGATCAGAGGCCGAATAGACACTATATTTAAGGAAACACACACTCCCTTTATTTTAAATTAGTCCGCTCTGTTGCAAATTCTCAGCTACTTGCGCTCTTTTTGCTCCTAATCTCAAATCCTGACCCCCAGCAACAGCTATGTCACTGTTTCTGCCCAGTTTCCTGTCTAACTGCCAAAATTCTATACCTTCCTAATGCAAGAATTCATGGCATTAACGCCTTCCTTGACATTTTAGCGACTTATAGAGACTCTGCTTAGTTTATGCTTTCCTGTGGTCACCTCCAAAGGTAGGGGTTCCCAACCCAAAAGATATCTGGTCTGGATTCTGAATATACATAGAAAAAAGGGAAGAGCACACCATGCATTTCTCAATAGTGATGCTGCCATAACCAGTGTTTGTGTTATCATTAAAGGACATACTCATAGGACGCTAAAACAAATAGACATTTTGTACCCACTAATTCAATGCCCTCCACTTTTTATGATTGCATGTTTTAGCATACGTAAAAAGTCTCTAGAAAAAAAAATATATCTAGCCAATTACAATGCAGCCCTAAGAAGATCAAATACATACAATTTTGCTTGTTGTGTTCTGATATCTATGCAGTGGAAAATAAATCGAAGCGATCTCACACATCTGGATTTTTTTGTAAAAATGTCTTCACTAATGTGAGAATTGCTGGGAATTCATATGTAAAGCCAAAGTGAATACAAAAATTGTGATTTTCTAGTTTGGTTGCTTAAGCCTAAATTTTAAAATTTGCGTTGAATTCCAAGCCGTGCACACTTTAGTCAATAACCTTGTTTTCCATTCATTAAACTGGAAAAATATATTTTTGCAAGCCAGTTTTATGAATGAGTCTGATGGGCTGAGAACCCTAAATAACTCCACCCCCAGCATACTCATCCTATAACTGTCTAAAGTTGAACCGCTAATATGGAGAATTGCCACTGCATTAGCAGAGGGGTTGAGGTGTAGGTCAGTTTCTGTCACACCTTTCAAGCTTTATGTATCAACAAAATAAATATTTTATATATATATATATATATAAATAATCTATGAGCATTTCATACATACATCAACATTTTAATACAACATGCTCTGATTTGAATTGGTTTTTTTCTAGGGACCCTATGATGTAGTGGTACTTCCTGGAGGAAATCTTGGTGCTCAGAATTTGTCAGAGGTAATGGAAAGTTATGTGAAAATGGCATAAAAGACCATGGGTGCAAAATAGATATTCATGCAATATGCATCCAGACATACAGTATCTCACAAAAGTGAGTACACCCCTCACATGTTTGTAAATATTTTATTATATCTTTTCATGTGACAACACTGAAGAAATGACACTCTGCTACAATGTAAAGTAGTAAGTGCACAGCCTGTATAACAGTGTAAATTTGCTGTCCCCTCAAAATAACTCAACACACAGCCATTCATGTCTAAACCGTTGGCAACAAAAGAGAGTACACCGCTAACTGGAAATGTCGAAATTGGGCCCAATTAGCCATTTTTACTCCCCAGTGTCATGTGACTCGTTAGTGTTACAAGGTCTCAGGTGTGTTACATTTGGTGTTATCGCTCTCATACTGGTCACTGGAAGCTCAACATGGCACCTCATGGCAAAGAACTCTCTGAGGATCTGAAAAAAAAAGAATTGTTGCTCTACGTAAAGATGACCTAGGCCATAAGAAGATTGCCAAGACCCTGCAACTGAGCTGCAGCACGGTGGGCAACACCATACAGTGGTTTCACAGGACAGGTTCCACTCAGAACAGGCCTCGCCATAGTTGACCAAAGAAGATTGCACGTGCTCAGCATCATATCCAGAGGCTGCCTTTGGGAAATAGATGTGAGTGCTGCCAGCATTGCTGCAGAGGTTGAAGTGCTGGAAAATAATGGTGGCTACATACAATATTGACACTTTGGACATTTCCACTTATAGGTGTATTCATTTTTGTGAGATACTGTATATGTGTTACATTTTACTTTATATAATATCCTGTCCATTGTGAATTGGAAAAATACAGTTTGAAGAAATGCAGAGTATACGGTATTAGTAAAGTTGTCTGAAAGACCAAAATTACAAAACAGAATGGAATTTCGTCATTTTGGTCTCTCAGCCTCTTAGTAGATAGCTCCCTAATGAAAGAGTACAACATTGAAGTGAGCTCCTGGGAGCTGAAATGCCAGGAGCTGAGGAGGACTGACAGTAAGAGCGTGGCAGTGTCTGCAAGGGACAGGTTCGCGTAAATCTACCTCCCCTTCCCCTGCACCACTTGGCCACCGCAGCCGTCACTTTTGGGTCTTTACAAAGGCACCAGACTTTGACAGTGCCGCTTTAACTGAAATTCAAATACGATTTTATTATTGTTAAATGGTCACAATCAACTTAGTTTTTTTATTTTGTCTGAGGATCTAGTGACACTTTGAGCTTGTCTAAGACGACATCATGGAATTAGAAACCAGGGAGCAGATGAGCAACGTCTTTGCAACTTCAGCACTGAGCTGGTGCTAGGATTGTTCCTTTTAATAGCAAATTCTCCATGTGTCTTATTGTGACTAGAATACCTTGGTCCATGTATACATGCTTGTGGCGAAACCAACCTCGCCACTGTGAACTGGAGAAGCCTGGTTGCTCGCCTGCTCCCTTTGGACTATGGCCCTGCAGGTTAAACCGTTTATTTCCCCTGCAGGAAGGCTTATTTGTGTGATCTGAGTGCCATTCATCTAATAATGTGCACTCAGATCCCAGCTATCTGGGGATATGTGAAATGTCTGTGTGTTATGTGTAAATGTGACTTTATGTATTTTAAAGTGTTTTTGTGTCTTTTTGCAACCATGTGCTTAATGGAGTCTTGTGTCTATCCTGGGAGATAATTTAATTACTCTCCAGGATAGAAGACTCTGAAACTGGTTTGGGCCAGAAAGCCATGCTTCATTTAGTCACAAGGACTTTTTACTAACTTTTGAACCCCTTGTCTGATTTGTGCCATTTTTGAATATGTTGTTCCCCTGAATGGATTGATTGTGAATATGTAATTTTATGTGAATGTGATGTATGGTTTTGGAGTTATGAAAGTTGGGTAGAAGGTATGTTTTAACTGTATGTATAATTGAGTTTCCTCTCAGGATAAGGGGAGGGAATATGTGGGATGTAACTGTGAGGTGATTGGTTGTTTTGTAACGCCCTGTGGGCTGTACTATGTTTGTGGATTGGGAATAAAAGAGACTGTATGTGACAGTACAGAGGGTTCCTGTTTTAACCCTCAAAGTGAAGTGTCGTCTCATTATTGGGGGAAGGATTCATTGTATGCTGTTCCAGTTTGACTGCTAGGAGAGTAAACCTATTTGTATGGTTCCTATTCAACTGTCTACAGCATTCATATGCTTGAGAGCATTCACATGCTCCTACGGTTCGGTGATTGTGGTGTCTGCCAGAGTGCTTGGAGTCCTCAGGAAGCGCTAGGAGCATCCTTCAACGGAGGTACCCAGTCGGGGTGCCAGGCGATCCGTTACAATGCTCAGTGAGGCTTACGAGCCAGACCTTTTATAAGTGATTTTGGGGAAGGAGAAATTTTTTTTTTTTTTTTTTTCTTTCCTTTGCAATCCAACATCCGGTCGACTCTCTCTTTCCTCACCGGCTTGCAGACATTGTCTGCGCTGGAAGCCTGGGTAATCACTGATCTAAGACTCTGGTTCTGTGATATCTAAGGAGGAACTTTACTTCCTCCTTTGATGTCCAAGGTTCATCTCTCTTGTGCTTGCGATCCCCTTATCAGAGCTGTGCAGGGAATAATAGTAAATAAACCCATTTTTCTCTATCTATTTTAGTCTCCTGCTGTAAAGGATGTATTGAAAGAACAGGACTCCAAGAAGGGCCTTATTGCTGCCATTTGTGCAGGTATGTGGCGTTAATCACAAATCAAGCAGTGGATAGGATAATTATTTTCATTCGAAGGGTGTCCAGTAAAATTCTTATATTGTCCCCAGCAGCTGTTTGACGTTCTATAGTTTTTCTCACTCTGGTATTCAGCATGGGGAAAAAAATATCTGACCTATTTTCCCCATATGTGAAGGCTTAGGTAAAAATGATTGTGGTGCCTTTGGGAAACTTTAATATATGAAGCTTTTGACATGGCCATACTTGCTAAATACCCCTTGGAGAAAGAGTCTCTTTGTAGCTTGTATTATGATGTTTGTGAATATAGCTGATAACTCTTTAGATCTGGTTCTGGTGTTTAATATTTTGGTATTACAGGCCCCACCGCTCTCCTGGCTCATGGAATCGGATTTGGAAGAAGTGTCACCACACACCCCCTGGCTAAAGACAAAATGATGGCAGGAGGTAATATCAAAACGCATGTTAAACCTGCTGTTTATTGATCTATTTGAAGAAGTTTTAGGTTGAATTGGTGTCATGCAAAATCAAGTTCATCAGTGGTCCTAAAAGAATATTGTCCATTTTTATATGTACCATCACAGAATTGGGATTTTTTTTTTTTTTTTTTTTTTAACTAGACAGTAAATTGGCAAAGTTAAAGATTAATTTATGTATAGTTTGTTTGCAATCAATGTGTATATTTTGTAAGCCACATCATAACAATCCTAAGGAATGGCTTCTCAAGTCCTTATTAGTGTTTCCATCTCTCAATCTTTCACAAGTTTTACAAAAGAAATTAGTGAATGTCATACATGGAATGTGTGTTTTATTTATATATTTTTTTATTTTTTTTTGTAAGCATGTTGTGATCACTGAAGTGCTTTGCTTTTGTTTAGATAACTGTAATAATGTCAAACAATTTTTCAAACAAATGCCATTCGCCCCAGTATTAAAGAATTGCCTATTTGCATTCAAGTGGTGATGTCCTTTTAAATCCTAACTCCTTGGTTTTATATGTTGATCAGTGCTTCATAAAATGGTCTTCTGCATATAGGAATATCCACACTGATAAATGCATTTCTTCTTATCAGATCACTATAAGTACTCAGAAAATAGAGTGGAGAAGGATGAGCATTTTATCACAAGCCGTGGACCTGGTACCAGCTTTGAGTTTGGCCTGGCTATCGTTGAATTCCTCCTTGGACGTGAAGTGGCTGATCAAGTAAAGGCACCTTTAGTACTGAAAGATTAACCAATGGATTTAATTATGGTTATGTTGCACTTAGCCCTTACTGATCGTGGTACAATGCATTTCAATACACGGTTTTCCTTCTTCGGTTTGTTAACTCTGTATCCAGTTTTGTCAAATAGTTTTATTTGGAAATCCATTCTAAAGTTAGGGCAAAATATAATAAATAGCACTTAATGAGTCTGCTATGAACATGCAATTTGTCAAACGTAAAATAAATTGGTCAATTAAACGATCTGTGTGGTTATGTTATGAAACCAAAATGTATAAAATACAAATCGGCCTCTCTTTGGTAATTTGGAGCAGACAATAAAAAAATTTAAAAATAAATAATATTTAAGCTCTTCGTAAGTGTTTCTCAAGTACTTAGAACTGGTCAGAAAAGCTGCATAGTTTTTATTTTTAGGCAAATAAGTTATTGTAGGATATAGCTGATAATAGGAATTTGTTGTAACCACAATAAGCACTCAGCATTCGGAGAACTAACAATACTCTCGGTTTACAATATGGTAAGTTGGTTTTATACCTCTGTTGGCTAGTCTTTTAAATGATGGAGCAAATGTTGGTTTTTACATACAGGGACACTAATACATTGCCCAATGTCATATTTAGTGTAACAAAAAGGACTGAGTGACCCCACTTTTGGGGGAAATTGTCCAGTATTCTTTGCAAACTCCGACTTTATTCAATTTAAAGGAACACTGGCACTACTACAAGCCTGTATTCCCAAACCAATAGTTCCCTAGTCTATAGCTTAAAGGGACACTATAGTCAACAGAATAACTACAGCTTATTGTAGTTGTTCTGGTGAGTATAATATCTCCATTCAGGCATTTTCATGTGAAACACTGCCTTTTCAGAGAAAAGACAGTGTTTACATTGTCCCTAGGGACACGTCCAAGTGGCCACTGGAGGAGCTTCCTGGCTCAGGGCTGCACAGTAAGCAGCCCTTCCGTTCAGCGTCTCCATGCATGATTCAATGCATTTCTATGAAGAGGTCCTGATTAGCCAAAATGGCATTTGGCTACGCCCCTATGGGAAAGCATTGGATTGGCTAAAAATCTGCCATTTTGATGTCACAAAGGGGCGGAGCCAGCACGGCAGACCCTCGTGGTGCTGTAAATAAGGTGAGTTTTAAACTTTTTTTTTTTTTATATAGGGGGGTCAAGCCACCTAAATGGTTGGTTAAACACTATATAGATTCAGGAATACATGTTTGTGTTCCTGACCCTATAGTGACCTTCCTCCCCCATCTGCAAAAAAGATTTAAAAACATTTTATTTTTTCTCTCCAGCACCAAGAATCCCTTGGTGCTGCTTCCCATGATGCCATTCGGCAGGCGTTGCTCTCTAGGCGATGGTCCAATTAAATGCGCATTATAGAAGAACATCATGTTTATGCATGGTGAATTTTAATGCTTTCATATGAACTACATGTGCTCACGTGACGGTGTTTCCCTCTGTCGTTATGGAGGAAGCACCTATAGTGGCAGCCCATTTAGATTATTGGCTAGTATAAGTATAGAGAGACTCTGGTATTGCTTGAGACACATACTCCATTCAGGCTTTCTTATAACATATATAATGATTGTTGGTGAGTAGAGATGTCGCGAACTTCTCGCGAACTGTTCGCCGCGGTTCGCGGCGAACTCCGGTCAGCTGACACATCCCGGCCAATCTCTGGCAGACCCTCCTACTTCCTGGACAGCATCCATGTTGAAGGCAGCTTCAACATGGATGCTGTCCAGGAAGTAGGAGGGTCTGCCAGAGATTGGCCGGGATGAGTCAGCTGACCGGAGTTCGTCGCGAGAAGTTCGCGGACGGTTCGTGACATCTCTATTGGTTAGCATCTAGGTAAGTTGTATACTGGCACTTGTCACTTACTGACAGAGTTCCATTCCTACGACTAGGTTGTAAAACGAGTCAATTGGTAAGTGAGGATGCCTCACACCAGTGCGACAACAAAGTCTCACATGCACTAGAGAGCAGGTCTATGTTCAGGGAATTTAGGAGCTAAATAAGAGAGTAGATAATGGAACAGAAGTCTTCCTGTAAACCACATTCCTGAGAACAGGAAAGAATACCATCGCTAATTACTGTGTGGGAAGTCTGTTTGTATATTCGAGAGACCAATACAAGGGATACTGGCTATACTTTGTGGTTTGTTTGCATACCACAGTTCTGAGAACAGGGCTTCATGGAAGTCTGCCTGAATATCTTAGCCCTAAAGACAGAGGAGAGACTGTCTCCAGTGAGAGAGAGCATTTTCCGGGTAACTAAAGTCTACACCTGTGTCCAAGACCTAACCAGAATGTTACTATAAGTGCAGTTGGATTAAGATATGTGGCATTGATTTACTGGCACCTATGCTTTTCGCACAAACCAGCAAACAGAGATTGGAATCTTTACTTCTCTACCAAATATGTGACAAATATAAATTCTGTGTATTAGCCAACTTGAAAACCGTCTATGTGTGACCTATACATGCTGTTGTAAAGCTCCAAGCCCAAAAGATAAAGTACCTCTAAAGGGTAAGCGACTATTCTATGGGATTCTGTTTTTATATATAATACATATCTTGTGCCAGAAAGCATTTGATTTTCGTTGGAGTTATTTTCTCTCGATTGGTTAATCTTTGGAGAATTGCTTAGCCTCTTCATACAGAAAACGGGTGCTGCACAGACTGAAAGGTTTGCCTCCAATTTGGAGGAGGCCTGCAGTCTAAGAGTGAGGTTGTTGTTTTTTTTTATTTATTTTGCACAGCGCTTGCATTGCAGGAATAAAACTATTTTTCACATATCAGAGGTTAAAGGGACATTATGGGAAACCCAGTGTCCCTGCCCCCCTTAGCCATGCACTTTTACAGAAACTGTTAACATTGCAGTGCTAAGAGGCTGTCTACCAGACAGTCACTAGAGGCATTTCATGGAGTTAGACTCCGTGAAACGACAATGGACATCCTCACACTTTGTGTGAGGATGTCCAGCATCTTCCAAATCCCCATAGGAGAACATTGAGTCAATATACACATGATGGATTAGCGGTAGTATACCAAGGGTAGATTACTAGAGGCAGCAAACACTGAAACGTGAAAGTTCCCCAAAGAAAGGAATAATATATTAAGGATCAGTATGAGCTGAGCTTCTGCCTTTGCATCATCTCAAAGCCAATCACCCTACTTCTTATCTCTAGCTTGTTTCTAATTCTAATATCTTATAAGGGGGAAAGGGGCAGATAATAAAAGGACGGTAACTTTAGAGGTGGAGTTTTGTTAGCAAACAAGTTGGCACTGATCGGTCTTGGCTGACCTGAGTACATATAATAAGGATATATTTTTACAGGACAAAGTTGCTTTGCGAAAAGAGGGCTGTGACTAAGAGGTGGAGTTGCAATGCAGAAAATTGCATTAAACAAAAAAAAAAGTAGTTTTTAGTAAAGTCAAAGAGATTTGAATGTGAAGAAAAGTACAGCATAAAAATGCCTTATCGAAGGCATGATTGGAGTATCTTTTTAAAGTGCATAAACTAAACCAATGTAGTAAAATAAAAGTGAAGCATTTAAATGCTAGTGAATATTGTCCAAAACAATCTGATATAACAGAAAAATTGAGAAACAAATAATCTTTCAGGAGGTAAAAAGGTTAGAGAAACAACTCATACTGCAGTGCATTAAAGGGACACACTACTGCTCAAATATAAAATAAGAATGGCTATTTAACAGATATACACCAAGTTAAAACTTTTATGTAATTTTTTAATTGACGTATATCTAAAAACAGCAAGCATAAGTTGCAGTTCTGCCTTTGCAATCCCTCCCCTTCTAGCCCCACCCAGACTCTCTGTGGCTTTCCAATCACAGACTTACTAATGCAGCTCAATGAGATGTCTTTGCAAGGCAAGTGCCCTGTGCAATTGCTGCCGCTTGAGTTTAGCTCCATTGAGCTAAACAAACCAGGAAGTAACAGGATCTGCTGTCTGCTTGAAAGCCAAGGGGGTGTACCTAGGTTATCTAGAAAAGTGTCAATTTCTGTTGAAATATGCATTAGTTGCAAAATGAAAATATAGAGGACACACTTTTTACACAAAGCTTTTCCACAAGCTAAAGCGCATTAGGGGTCTGGAGTGTTACACTATTAGTATCCCACATCCCTGGTCCTAAATGTAGGTATTGGTGGTCTTTTGCAGGGCAAATGTCTTCTTTTTTGGGATTTTTTGATTGGGTTTCTGACTTTAGAATCAACCTAAACCAGTGTGTTCTGTTTATAACATTTTAAGTACCCCACATGTACACATCCGTGTTTAGTAAAGACAAGCAGCACAGACTGTTCAGCTTACATGAATTAGACACTAATTAGTGCTGAAGTATTTTTCAGTAAGTTATACTAGAACCTTTTGTAGAATGAAAAATACAGTAGATTCATGTAAATGTGTTTGAGACTGTGTTCTTTGTTTTGTCGAACATTGAACGTTTTGTTGAACTGTAGAGGGCGATATCGCTCCATGAAAAAAATACATTTATGGGTTGTCTTAAGGTAAGGGAAAAAGTTCAATAATTAGAGTAAATAAAGTCTCTCATTTAAACATGACAAAAAAAACCATTGTAAATATATTGACAATATAGGCACAGGAAACAAATGCATGGATTTCATGAATACATTTTCGTAAATATATTTTCAGACATTCTGCTCCTGCCTTTTGTGCAAGTGATATATTTATGTGCCAACATATTTGGTAGTGCTGTAAATGTCTAGTAAAGGATTTAATGACAAAACATAGATTGACAGACAGAAATTGCATCTCTCTCCTTACTTTCTGTATTGTGTTAATACTAGGGCCAGACTGGGGATACAAAGCAGCCCTGGAAAAGACATTTATGCCAGCCCCATAAGTCATTGCACCATATATTGTCGCATGTAATATGTAAGGCTTTGTCTTGCCACCCCACATGATTGAGTAATATATATCTATATAGCTTTTTCTAATATAAAATATTGGTCCTTTTAGAGTAACAGTATACAGTAAGCATGCTCACATGCAGACACAGACAATCTCACTGACACTCACAAGATCATTAATACACAGCCTCATAGACAAACAATCTCACTGATATACATACGCTCATTGACATAAAAAGACAAGATCACTCACTAGCAGGCGCACGCACACACACACACACACACACACACAGCTTAATGTGGTGGTTCTGGTGTCTATAGCCGGTCCCTGCAGGCTTTTCAATGTAAACACTGACTATTCAGAGAAAAGGCAGTGTTTACATTGCTTCCTAGTGACACCTCTAGTGACAGATACTCAGACGGTCACTAGAGATCCTTCCTGTGACAGTGCTGCACAGTGTGCAGCACCTACAATTTGGGCCTCCACGCTCTGAAGGCGCTGAACGTTCCCCATAGAGATGCATTGATTCAATGCATCTCTATGAGGAGATGCTGATTGGTGTAACATTTTGCAGCTGATTGGATTGGATTGGCTTGGCTGAGATCATCAAGCTTGATGATTTCAACCATAGAGGCAGGGCCAGTCGAGGGGAGACCAGCACGGCGTGGGGAAAAATAAGGGTGAGTAAAAACACTATTTTTAAAACACACACAGACACACACATACACCATGACAGACACACACACACCATGAGACACACATACACTCACACTGACAGACAGACACACATAATTGCTACCTGTGGGCAGACAGCTGTCTGTGCTGGCGGCAGCAGGGGTAGCTGTGCTGTGTCTCTGCTCCCCAGCGCGCTGCTTAATGAGACTGGGTTTGGAATATGACGTCATATTCCGGCCCCGGTCTCATTAAGTAGCGCGCGAGGGCGGGGGAGCAGAGACACAGCACAGCTCCCCCTGCGGCCTCCAGCACAGCTCCCCCTGCGGCCGCCAGCACAGACAGCTGTCTGCCTGGCCCCAGGTGCCGAAGACCCATCAGGAAATTTACCAATATTCTGGTGGGCCAGTCCGGCGCTGGTTAATACCTTTAATGGGTTAGTGAGACCAGGTCCGGACTGGGAAAAAAATTCGGCCCGTGCACTTTTTTATCCACAGCGGCCCACTGAAAAGGTGGCGGGGCCAGAGAGAGTGTGTTGTGTCATCCCCAATGACAAACACGCCCCATCTCAAAGTAAGCATGTTGGTTCAATGTTCTTTCAGGGCAGACCATGCGCAGAGCTCTGCTGAAGAGCTCTAGCATGAGAAAAGGGCCCTGTATTTGTTCTGAACAGCGCAAGCAAATTTAATAACATGCTTGCGTTGTGTTTGCTTGAAACGTGTCTCAGGGGTTTCCATAAATTGGATACTCACTGTATCCCATTTATGGAGACACTATGTGTTTGCTTACAAGGAATCTAGTGTGTGCATAGGGGATCCAGAGTGTGTATGTAAGAAATGTAGTGTGTGTGTAGGTGGTGCAGCGTGTGTGTGTAGGGGATCTAGTGTGTGTGTGAAGGACTCAGAGTGTGTAAAGGAGATCTAGTGAGTGTGTGTGTGTAGAGGATTCAGATTGTAAATAGAAATCTAGTGTGTGTATTTCTGTAGGCGATCCAGAGTTGGGTAAGGGATCTAGTGTTTGTCTGGAATATAATGTGTTTAGGGGTGCAGTATGTGTGTGAGGGGTTGTGTAGTATATATACATATATGCTTGGAAGTATTGTGTGTGTGTGAGTGGTGCAGCATGTTTGGGGGGCTTCTGTTTGTGAAGGGTGTAGTGTGTATGTGTGAGGGGTATAGTGTGCATTATGTGTGTGTGTGTGTGTGTGTGTGTGTGTGTGTGTGGGGGGGGGTGCTGTGAGAGGGATATGTGTTTGTGTGTGTGTGTGTGTATGTGTGAGTGAGGGTGCTGTGTGAGGGTGATGTGTGTGTGTGTTAGGGTGATGTGTGTGTGTGAGGGTGATGTGTGGGTGAGTGAGGGTGCTATGTGTTAGGGTGCTGTGTGAGGGTCATGTGTGTGTGTGTTAGAGTGCTGTGTGAGGGTTCTGTGTGTGTGAGTGAGGGTGCTGTGTGTGTTAGGGTGATGTGTGTGTGAGTTAGGGTGCTGTGTGAGTGTTCTGTGTGTGTTAGTGAGAGTGCTGTGTGTGTGAGGGTGCTGTGTGAGTGAGGGTGCTGTGTGAAGGTGATGTGTGTGTGTTAGGGTGCTGTGTGAGGGTGAGGGTGTGTTAGGGTGCTGTGTATGTGTGAGTGAGGTGCTATGTGTTAGGGTGCTGTGGGAGGGTTCTGTGTGTGTGAGTGAGGGTGCTGTGTCTTAGGGTGATGTGAGTGAGTGAGGGTGCTGTGTGTGTTAGGGTGCTGTAGGAGGGTGATCTGTGTTTGTGTTAGGGTACTGTGTGAGGGTGATGTGTGTGTGTTAGTGTGTTGTGTTAGGGTGATGTGTGTGTACAGTGGTGTACATACCGCGGTCGCAGGGGTCGCGGCTGCAACCGGGCCCAGCCCACCAGGTTGTCCGGCCGCCCTGCAACCCGGTATGTACACCAGCGAGGCTGGCCCTGGTGTCACCGGGTGGTCCTCCGGGGGCGCGAGGGAGGCTTCTCCCCTGAGCGCTCTCTGCCCAGCTCCCTCGCCAGGGAGCCCAGCCA